GACATCTTAATTTTTTTTTATAAATAATCATTCTATGATGATTCAATGATATTTTTTTGGAAGATAATAATAATTGCGATGACAGCAAATCTTATCATTGTCAATTAGCCAAAAAGTAAAAAAAAAATGACTGTTTGAAAAATTGAAATGAAAGGAAAAGTTATCAGTGAAATTTTCAAATACAAATCATTTATGGTATGATTTTTTTTTTGATCAATCACCAAATTTTCATCCATGCTTGATGTTTTGAAATGATTTTGTTGTTGTTGCTTCTTTTTACCAATCCGATCGATTTGTTCTAATTTGAAATGATAATCATCATTATCAACACCATCATTGCCATTAAATCCTTTATTTTCATAAATATAAATTTTTATCAAAGAAAAGTATTTGGTTTTCATTTTTCTTCGATCAAAAATTATTGATCATTGAAACAGATATTGTTGTGAATATCAAATGAAGAAACTGATTAAAAATCCATTATCTTAAATTTATTATTGATTTTCTTTTTCTTTTTATCTCTGTCCAAATTTGTTTGATTTTATTCGATTTGTTTTTCTGATCCAATATTATTATTATCATCACCAATCATATTGTCTATTTTTGTTTTTTCATCAAATGTTGTTGCCTTTGTTGATTTAAACCGAATAATTCGGGTAATATTTCTTATTTTCAGGTTTTTATAACATATACTAGCTTATCATAATAACAGCTTCTTTTTTCTCTTTCTTTTTATTTTCATTAATACTTGATTGCAAATAAGATTTGTTTCTAGTTTTTTACTGTACAAATCAAATCAAGATGTACGGTAGATTGACAGACGAAAAAAAAATTCTCAAATTAATCAAAAAATGAAATTAGAGGCTACAAAATTTGAAAAAAAAGATCTTTGGTCTATTAGCAAGAAAAAAATGAACGAATCGCTGTGTAGATTATTGTTGAAATATTGAATATTTGTTGTTGTTGTTATCGTCATAATGATGTTGAAAATTTTCATCTTCAATACAACGTCATTCAAATTATTTTTTTTTGTTACAATGCAAAAAATATCAAAATTCAATGAAAATTCAAGGAAGTATTGATTGATTGCCTGTGACAATCAATATTTTTGATTCATTGATTTTATTTTTCATATATTAATCATCATATTTGATTACAGATATATTTTCACTGATTCTCTTTTTATTATTATTATTATTATTTGAATTCTTTTGTTTTTATTTTTTTTATTTGATCATCATTTGATTTCGAATCGGAATCATGATTGCAATAATGTTATTGTTTCTCTCTCTCTCTCTATCTGTATCCTGTTTTTTCTTTTGATAAAATATATTCGATTTCAAATATTTATCATGTTTGTTTTCTGTACATTTGAAATATAAAAACAGAAACAAAATTAAAATTGTCATATTTTTTGTTATGATAATATTCCAATTATGGAATATAATAATTTGAATGCGATTAGCATCCTTTTTTTTGTTTTGTTTTTTGCTGCTTTCCTTGTTTACTTTATTTCAATTGTAATTATTCACGAATCTAAAGAGGATAAAATAAAACAAAACTGTAAGTTGTGACTTCATAACTCGTGATTTTTTTTTGTTGAAAAAAATGACAATTTTTTCGTTAGCTGCAAATTATTTTTTTTTTTACTTCGATGAAACATTTTGATGAATTCGATCATCATCATCATCATTTATGAATTTTACATGAACACGTAAATGTGATGTGTATTTCACACTACCATTTGAACATAGATTCAAGAGTAAATGAGAGAAAAGGAACTCAATGCTCAACAGTGTTTTCAATTTGCAATAAAAAAAAGTAAAAAAAAAAATAATCCAACAAGCGATTGCATCTTTTTTTTCTCATCCTTTTTTCCAGCAATTTTTCTTGAATATATTCAAAATGTAAATTTTCACCATCACCACCACCACCACCATCATTCTCATTCTGCTGTTTATGCTCAATGATTTATGCAGGGGAAATTTTTTCCCAACACAAATATATTGTATGTATTCAACAATTCTTATATGCTATAGCATTCAATGGTTGCTTTTCAATCAATATCAGGCCAAGAAAAATGAGCTTCAAACTGTAAATGAATGAATGAATGTTATCATATTTGATCAAACCGAGGAAAAAAAAGGCAATTTATTATCGATATTTGTTCATATATATCAATGAATTTGTTCACAAGATTAACCTATAATATAAATTATGTTGTTTTTTTTAAAATTAATAAATATAACCGATAAAATGAAATGAAAACTTAAACTAAAATGATAAGATTTATGAGCGATAGAGAGAGAAAATACCATATAATAAAAAAAATTGCGAACAAAAAATCCAAAACAAATTTAGGGAAATTTTTCTAAAATTCTTTGATCAAAAAAAAAAGAAATGAAATGAAAAGCAAAGATTTTCACCTTCTTACCACCATCATCGCCAAAAAAAAACCAAACCAACCAACAATGCATTAACACTTTGATTTCAATGAAAATAAAAAATCGATTATCATTCAATAATTTTAGAATCTCAACATTATGAATTTCTCAAGGACAGGATTATATGTATATGTATGTATGTGTGTGTGTGTGTGTGTGTGTGTTTGATTTGTTCCTGTTAATAAAACGTTTCAATATTTCTTCTATATCATAATGAAAAAATCAAAATGAAAATTCAAGAAAAATCCATATTACTTTACTTTTTGTAGTTGGAAATGATTGGAAATAATTTTATTTTTATTTCTTGCTGCTGCTGCTGCTGCTACTAAATATTTAATGATTTTGAATTAAAAATCTCTCTCTCTCTCTCTCTCACAACATCATACTCTTTTGCTGTTACTCATTGATACTCTGATTTTGGCATTTTTTTCCTTTTTTCTTCTTCTTCTTCTTCTTCTTCATATTTCCAATTAACATCAATTTATTTTATATATGTGAATAAATGACGATCATCAAACAACATGAAATGTGTATGGATGGAGTTTTTTTTCTTCTTTAAATCTTTTTCCCCACAAAAAAAAAAAAAAATGATATTTAACATTTGTCACACGATCACACTATGTGAAAATGAAGGGAAAATTGTTGCGTTTTTTTCTGCAAAATCTTTTTCTCTTTAAATTCATTTCGTTTTTTTCAAATATTTATTTTCACTTTTGTACTCATACATTATTATCTACTTTGGTGAAGATTTTTGACATTAAAAATCCTATGATTTGAAGAAATGATGATCGATTTTTTTTTTGTTGAATCCAATTCATTACATATATCCCTTTTGTATGTGGATTACTTGATGGTGGATGTGGATGAAGATGTTTTCTTTTATCTTCCATTTTTTTCCTAATATTTTATTTTTTTTCCAATCACATTTTTTATCATTTTCGTGGCCTTGAATTATTAAGTTTATCGCTGTCATTATCTTTGTTTTCATTTTTGTTGTTGTTGTTTTTTTTTCTCTCTCATATTCGTATTTTAAATTATTCTTTCATCTCATATTGCCCAGATAATGATGATAATATTTCCAATATTTCTTTTTTTTCAATTTGGTTTTCTTTCAATTTGGTTTTGTTGTCAAATATTTTTTACGAATTTTTTTTTCCTCTCTTTCTCTCTCAATCTTCATATTGCTTTTGCACTCTTTTTTTTGTGTGTAAAGAAACAAACAAAAAAATTGTTGATAATTTCTAATCTTTTTTCCGTACTACTATATGCATAAGACAAAGTTATAATTATTGGAGATGTAATGTTTCGCTTGAAAAAGTATTTCAGGAATTTTTCCAATTTCTACCTTCTACTAATCAATTTATTAATTTATCTTTTTTTTTTCTTTTACCACTTTCTTTTTATTTTGTTTGTATTGTTTTTGATAAACCTTGAAAATTCTTTTTTGATCGTTTGATTTATGATGATGAGAATAATGATGATAATAATTAAATACTATAGTAGAATCATATGGTTTTTATCTCGATACACTTCATCGATTCATATGGAATTCAATTTTTTGTTTTGAATTAATTAAAATAATTATTTTGTTTGTTGTTTCATAAAATTCTGAAAAACAACAGCGTGCATATTTTTTTTTGTCATTCGATTCCTTATTGAATTTATTGTTTTGTTGTCATTGGAATCCTTTCCGTTTTTTTTATTCATAAACCAGATTTTAAAAGTATTAAATTTTTATATATGTGATCAAGTGTACATGTTTGTCAAGAGAAGTATACTCATCTCAAATTGATAATTGCGCATATTTTTTTTTCGTTTCCTTCATATCCAACAAAAAGAAAAAAAAACTAAAGACGTACATATTTTACTTTATATGGGAAACGTAAGAAAAAAATGATTTTTTTCCGTTGTATCCAACAGCAACTAAACTACTGACTGACTGACTGACTGACTAACTGATTGATTGATTGAATTGTAGAAAAAAAAAGTAAAAAATTTATTTTCATAAATGAATTTAAGTTTAAAATATCTAGTATGATGATGATACATACATACATACACATATATGATATCTTTTCAAAGATTACACATATTAATGTCATTTTATAATGTATCTCGTTGATATTTGAGTTTATGAGTTTTGGTTTTTGTTGAGATACAATATTTTTCTTTCTTTTGGTAACCATGATCAAATTGGTATCATAATCATCATTATTATTATCAATCCAATATTGTTGTTATCATTGAGTGAAAATTTTCATCGTCATCATTGAATGAACCAGAAAAAGGAGACTAATTTATCGACTCCATATTGTTTTCTACTATTCACTACTATTAGATTTTTTCTTGTTATTAAACTTTATGTGTTTCTGTGCCATTAAATTTATTTGTTGTGATTTTTTCTTCAGTTTTTATTCTATGTTATTGAAGAATATTCTTGGAAAATTTAAATTCTAATCATTTTGTTGTTGTTTTTTAAAATTATAGATAGCTGAGAAACAACAAACCAAAACAAACAAACATTCATTATAATTGTGTTTGATGCTTCAATTTTTGTTTTGTTTTGTTGATTCAAATAAAAATTCTCATCAGTGAAGAATAAAAACTTTTTGTTAAAATTTTTCACGATTGAATCAATCAATTGGCAACCGACACCATTGCCAACGAAACAATTTTATTGTTTCAACGGTTCTGGTTATGGAATGGAGCCTATCATCGAAGTTGAGGATACGAACGAAGAAGATTATAGTTTTTCTGGTTCCGTGTCCTCTTCAACACCATCACCTCCACATGTTACTTCTTTATCATCTGCTATTACAATTGGTACACAATCATCATCAGCATCAGCATCATCATTAACATCATCAACAACAACAAAAACATCAACCATACAACAATATTCACAACTACAAGCGATAACTACAGCAGTGACAGAAACGCCTACAGCTATAAATGAAACAATAGCATCAACATCGGCAAACATAAATGAATGTGATTTAATTGATGATCATTCAAATATACAACTTTTATCACCGATTCAAACAACAACAGTTACAATGAATCAATCAAATATTATTCATAATTTGGATAATGATCCATTAACAGATCTATCCAGTATGAATCAAAATTCACAATTTCGTTCACGTGCCTATACATGGCCACAATCGTTAAGTTTTCAACAACAACAACAAGATGAAGAACAACAAGATGAATATGGTGATGATCAAATACATGGTGATGATGGTGATTTTGTTGATATGGTCATCGGTATTGGCTGTGATGGTGTCTCAAATGCAATCATCAATCCATCATCTATTGTAACATCAATGGATTTAACTGATGTTGATTCTACATTATTATCAACATCGAATCGACATCATCATCATCACCATCATCACCACCAACAACAACAACATCAACCATTATCATCATCATCATCATCATCATCTATACAACAACAAACACAGCCATCATATTTGTTGCCAAACAATGTTGATACACCAATGTATATGTTTGATGATTCAGTGATTAATGATGGCCATAACGATCCAAATGGATCAATAAATTCAATACAAATTCTTTCCTCGCATCAATTTTCGCAGCCAACCCTACCACAACATTCGCATCAACAACATCTATATCCGTCTAATAATAATAATACCTTTCGATCATCATCACCATCATCAACATCAATCAATGAAAATAAAACTATCCAAAATCATTCATCTTCATTATCTACCTCTGCATCTTCATCAATGACAACATCGAATAATCCGGATAATTTGAATGATACAGAACAACAGAAACAACAATTATATTATACAACACCGGCTGATAATAATAATGATACAACAACAGCAACATATTCTAGTCTAAAAATTAATACAACACTTGGTATTTGTGCAAGTGATTCACAATTATCCAATGGACAATCTCCATATTTACATCGTTCTGGTTCCGAATCCGGTACATCATCATCAGCATCAGCAAAAAAAGTTACATCAAGACGTAATGCATGGGGTAATTCATCATATGCTGAATTAATTGCTCGTGCAATTGATGGATCACCGGATAAACGTTTAACATTATCACAGATATATGAATGGATGGTACAAAATGTTACATATTTTAAAGATAAAGGTGATAATAATTCATCAGCTGGTTGGAAGGTAGGTGTTATTAGGACAAATTTTATTGATTTTTTATTTGTTTATTGGTCACGTTTTTTTCATACATTTCCGTTTTCTTTTCTGGTACAACATTATCAATCAAATGCTAGAAAAATTGGATCTAGGTTTAAATTTTTATTTAACCATCATCAATTATATACGCTTATAGACGCACTAGTTGTAAGTCATAAGATACATTTACAAACAAACGAAAAAAAATACACCAAAGTGGTCAACAAAACATGAATTAAATAGAATTACTTTTGGTACAAAACGAAAGAAAAAAAATTTTATTATACATTTGATTTTTAACATAATAAAATAATGAGTATATAATTATAGTTTTATTATTGTTCAATGATTGTGTGTGATATATTTTTATAGAAGAATAAAGATTTAAAGCAAAAATAACTAAGAAAAAAAAATTCTGTCATTATATTGCCCAGAAACAATAATCAAAACAATTGATAAATAATTTCATAGTAAAAGTTTGTTCATTTTGTGCCTTTAAGGCTAATATTTTCAATCATCAATGATTATAGGATTCGTTCTAAATAATTTTTTTCGGTTATCGTTGTTAGTGGAGATAAACTGATCAATCCAATTAATTGAATAAATTCGGGCTAAACGATTTTATCAAAGCATCTTATTATTATTATCTTATTGTTTTATTTAATTGATACTATTAACATGGAAATCTAACAAATTTTTTTTCCATTGATTATCATTCTTCAATTTATCCATCAAATGGTTATTAACCTGATCATTTGATTTACTTAAGATTTAGATTATAATTCACTATATTCTATCTTGCTCTATGTTCAAATGACAAATTCAGACGTATATAGTGTGATGTTATTTGTCATCATTATTGATTTTTTTTCTCACTCGCTCTACTTTTCTTATTTCAAATAAATCAACGAAAAGAAATTCTCTTTTTTTAAAACAAATTTCATCCTCATCATCATTATTATTATCCAAATATGATGTGAATGTTGGTGTTTATGCGATTGACATGATGATAATGATTATGATTATGATGGACGTAAACTAAATTGATTTTGGCAAATTTAATTTAACACATAAAAAATTTTTTCCCTTATCTTTATCCATTTCGCCAATAATCATCATCATAATTATCCAGATCAGTTTTACTGTAAAAGTAATTTGAAAGTTCACGTAACATGAATATCGAAAGTGAGTGAGTGAGAGAGAGAGAAAAAAAAAGACATTTGGATGATAATTTCAAGATAAAAACAAAAAAGAAGCTTTAATCTGTGTTCATCATTAAAATATTATCTGAAACAATTTATTAGATCATGATAATGATATTTGGGAGGTATTGAATTTCAAAAAAAAAATTATCTAATCATTGACTGAAATGACGATAAAAATTCGAAAACAAAACTGGATCCAGGTATTCCATGATAAATGCAGCTATATCATCATTATTAATAAATTCTATTTTTTTTTCTCTATCTCTTTTTTTTCGAAATTCTTATCGATAATCTCATATGAACAAGTTGGTCAATTTCATTGGAATTTTTTTAAGCAAATAACAAACTAAACAGAATTTATTTTCTCTTTTTTCATTTTGCTTTCAATTTATCTCATTCTGAATTTTTTTGGACGCAGATGTTTTAATAATCTCTAAATTTTTTTTTCGCTAACAATTATTTAGCATTAGATAGTAGTGATTACTATCTACTACCACCTACGCAATCCAACTGATTCAATGCGACAAAATTTTTTTTTCATTAATAAATTATTAAAATATACATGCAGGAAATGGATATTTTCAAGTTATCAAGTTTTTTTTTCTTGAAATAAAAATCACTCATAATCGAAACAAATAATGATGAATGAATGTTTACAAGAAGATGGTTCACAATCGAAAAATTTATTTTCTTTCGATATTTTCAACATAAGCAAACATACTAATATCAAAATATTATTGATTTATTCGGATTGTTTACTTAGTAATCACGTGGTAATTGATTATTAATGTTGTTGTTGTTGTTGTTTTTGTTATTGGTTTGTTAGCTTTTTTTTTCTGATCCATTCCGTCTGTCATTGGCATTTACTAACTAACCACAAACTTGTCAAATTTATATTCCTTACCCACACACACACACACGCACAAATATTTTAAATACATCTTTTATTAGATGCTGATTAGTGAAAAAAAAGAATAACAACAAAAAACAACAACAAGAGTTCAAAGATTTGTACATTCTCTCTCTGTGTGTGTGTGTGTGTGTGTTTGTCGGTATGTTGGTGCTTGTATTTTTCTATTTGGATTCTTAATCCTAAATCTTGTACATTTATTATTTGTAATCTTGGAAAATTGATTTTGTTTTTAGCAAGTTTCAATAATTTCAATTTTTTTTCAAAATAATTTTGTTTTCTGTCAGATGAGGAGGTTGAGAAAGGAAAGTCTTTTTATGCTTTGGCGTATTCCAAAAAAATTGCTCATTTTCTAATATCTTGATTATTAATCGGATATGATTATACCTGTATGTAATTCTCTTTGTGATCGATCTATTCGATCATTTTTGACATCTGTTTTTTTCGTTCGTTCGTTTTCAATAAAAATATGAAAAACATCTAATTTTTTTCGTCTCTTTTTTTCATCTCATATAATATTTTGATGATTTTGCAAAAAAAAAAATTTCATTTCATTTCACATATAAAAGAGATAAAGGGAAGTGGAAAAAAAGAAACATGTGAAAATGAGATTTTGATTAAAATTGCCATTATGAACAACAACAAAAAAAAAACAAACTTTGATCTTAAACATATATATCATTATAATTATATACATTGGTAATGGACTGATGATGATGATGATGATGATGGTGATAAAGCCAAAGGAAGAAGAAAATAATTTTTCAATGAAAATTCACCAAAAAAAAAGTAATGCAGTCATTTAAACTCTTTTTTTCGGTCATTTGAGAAATTTATTGAAAAAAAAACAACAACAACAAATTTCATTATGATTAAATCAAAAAATTTTCGAATTAAATTTTTTTCTTCTCTCATTTATTTCAATTTCAATTTTTCAAAGATTATTAGCTTTTGGAATTATAATCAGGTAATTACTTTTATAAAATGCCTTAAAGGGTTATACAAAACAAAACACATTTATAACTTATTTATAATTGTTATATAACTTGTTGTGTGTGTGTGTGTTCGTGCTTTAATTCACTTTCAATATTTTGTTGTTTGTTCCTTATAACCAAATATTGTTGATTTGAATTTCTTCTTATTTATTGTTCCAGTTATTATTATTTTTTTTTTGCTTTACTGCATTCATGTGTACTTGAAAGGTTTCAAATAGAAAAATATCTTGCTTTCGAAATGCATATATTTTTTAAAAAAAAAATCTGTGATTCCGTTTGCTCTAAACACACATTCATACAGAATCATCATATAAATCATATTGGCCAATGTTATATTGAAAAGAAAATTATTCATGAAGAAACAAATATAATTTCTTTTGAATTGCTTTTATATTTTTGTTTCGAAAACATTTAGTATAAAGAAAAAAAAATATACCAAATGAAATTCAAATCCTTATTAAATTTGTTTATTCTACGATAGAATGAATATTGTGTTGATGATGATTGTTTTATTCAAACAGCATCCTATCTCTTGGTAGATACTATAGGATTAGTTACTTTTTTTTTTGGTATTAAAGAAAATCTGAATCAAATTTGAATTAAAATTAAATCAACAAGAATTCAACAGCCAATACTATTCTGCACACCTACAATCTTTTTATTTTTATTTCTAATGAAATTAATGAAATTAATCTTACCAATTCTTCAAATGAATGATAATTAAAAATAATATAATAATAATATAATAATAATTAATAATGAATGATTGAACCAATTTCTTTTCCAATAATCAACATTATCTATTCTGTTGTGTAAATATTTTTTTTCCGGTTTTTTAATTCATTATTTGTATAAACTTTTTATAATTATTATTTTTTTTGAAAATAATTGTTTGTCAGTGGTGTGTGTGTGTGTATGTTTGTATTTCTATAAGGACAAAACTTTTTTCAAATTTTTATCATTTAATTTTAAAATTAAAAAGAAACAAATATTACTTGTTAAATTAAAAAAAAAAATTGTTTTCGATTCAATCGATTATTTCATTCATTCATTCATTCATTTAGTTTATTTTATTCATGTAAATTATCCTGTGTATCTTTGTTTGAGGCTATTCAATTTTCAACAAAACGAAAAAAAAAATTGAATACATGAAACATATATTTGCTATAGGCAGTGTGTATTTGATTTTTCTTCTGCCACACATACACACACACACACTGATCGGAATTGAATTATTTTGAAAAAACTAACTTTGTGTAAATGTTGAATGAATATGATTTGATGAATATATATGAAGAAAATCAAAAAAGAATTTTTTTTCTTGTGAATAAAAATTTCCATTCAAATATTCATTATTCATTATGAATTTTGGCATTATTCAGCAGAAAAAAAATGAAGAAAAACTGAATGAATGAATAATTTTTGGTGATAATAAACAAAACAAAAAAGAAAAGAAATGCATAGCAAAAGAATTTTTTCTTTTTCTTTTCAAATTAGGTTGAAGGTCTTTCAGAATTTTTTGTTTTTAACATTGAATTTTTTTTTTGGTGGTGATGGTTGAAACTCTTTTTTTTTATTTCAAACAACGGTACTTGGCTTTATGCCGACAAATAAAGAATGTAAGAAATTTTGAGCGTGAATTTTGTTTTTTTGGTCTTTTCAATCACACACATATCTGGATGCTATTTTTGGATTTTGTTGTTGTTGTTCTTGTTTTTCTGATTTCTAATCATTTCTATCTAAGGATTATTATTTTATTGTTTCTAGATTTTTTTGTATGTTGGCGATTATTATCATCATTATCATCATCATTCGATTTGTGTAATTTTTTTTTTTGATGCAGATCATATAAATAATTTGAATGTCTATATCATTCATCATTTTTTTTTGTTGTTGGTTGCATTATGATAATGTTTAAAATGATGATGATGATGATTGACTATTTTATGATCTCAAATTGTGTACATTATTACATATATATCGAATTTATGAATGTTTAAAACAAAACTTGTATCATGAGATGTGTATATTCGATCCATTTATCTTATGATGTAAAGTTTAAGTTTTATTTGGGTTTTTTCCTATTTTTTTCCTAGTCAACAGTTACCGGGCCATCGTTATATTGAATTTTCTATCGAAATAATGTTTTTTTTTTTGACCCAAATTATTGTCTGCTTTAAAAAATGTAATCTAATCAACTTTTACATTGTTTTTGGCAGGGAACTTATGAAAAATTCAATAATTATAAAACTTTTAAATGGAACAAAATAATAAAAATTTCGGATCATATTTGATTAATTTTGATTTAGATTTTCTTGACATTGATTATATTTACATAAAATGTTATGTGACCAGAAAATGAAAAAGTGCATGTTTTTTGTTCATTTTTTAAGATAATAAGATTTATACTAATTTTTTTTCCTGTTGTTCAATAAATAGAATTCGATTCGTCATAATCTTTCATTACATAATCGTTTTAAACGAATACAAAATGAAGGAACGGGAAAAAGTTCATGGTGGGTTATAAATCCGGATGCTAAACCTGGTAAAGCTCCTCGCCGTCGTGCAATTTCAATGGAAACACAACATTACGAAAAACGTCGTGGCCGTGTTAAACGTAAAGTTGAACAACTTCGTATGCAAGCAAGAAATTTTGGCCAATTAGGTGATAATATTTCATTGACTACGTTGTCCGAATATCCAAATATGAATAAATCGACTGATGGTTCAATGATTTCATTAACTGGTTATCCAGATCCATTGATCGACAACGATAAAGGAATCATTAATCAAACAAATTTAAGTTTGACAAGTTTAAATTTATCCGATTCGATCAGTGGTGGTCATTGTTTACCATGCAATAATATTCATGTTACAAGTCCTGGTTCAACCGAAAGTTTTGATATATTTGCTGATCCAGCAATGAATCATATTGGATCATATTTTCATTCATCTAATTATAGTCCAAATGAATTTAGACCACGTGCATCATCTAATGCATCGTCTACCTGTTCGAATTTGCTGCTCGATATTCAAGACAATCATCAGGTTAGTTTTGTTTTCTGTTTTTTTTTATTTAATGTTTTCGTTTATTTTCATTATCATATCATAATCTTTATTTTCTCATTAATCAATAAATTTAAAAATATAAATAGTCATCACCAATGTCACATTGGTATGGGTCCAATCAAATAAGCAATGGCTATAATAATAATGGTAATCAAACGAATTTGGATTCACATCTAATGGAATGTTTACATTTGGATACTGTACAAATTGATTCGCCAAATCATATAGCAGCTGATTCTAATTATCAATTATTGGTTGAACAACAACCAAATGATGTACAAATGTTATCGACAACATCGCTTACAACAAATATTGTTGATGAACAATCATCATCAGCAATAATGACAAATCAAATGGATTCAAATGTAAATGCGCAAATTACCAACACAAAAATTGATACACATTCTCAATTACAAAACAATTCAACACTTTCATCATCGGCAACATCATCATCGACATCATCATCAACATCAACTAGCTCAACATCACCGAATATTCGTCGTGGTTCATATCGTGATCTCTTTAATCGGGTTCAACAGGGACAACAACAACAACAACAACAGCAAAATGCATCTCTTCATTTATCGCCGAATGGTAATAACCTTGATCATCATCACCATCATCATAATCATCATCATCAACAACAACATTCAATATCACCATCATCAACATTATCTTCGACAACAACAACAACGACCTTATCAACATCGGGATCATCATCATCATCATCATCGTCATCATCATCAACAACTCCATCATCATCAACATCAATTTCATTATCGACAGCAAACCCGAACCAAAAACAAGTGCCGAATATGAATAAAATCAATTGTGGTAGTAGTAATACAAGTGCATGTAATGGAAATGAAAATTCCAATTCCAACAACAATCATTTGAATACAAATGGCCAAAATTTTTATAAATCATCACCAGCATCAATGTTAGATACATTGACATTGAAACAATCAATTATCAATGATAATAATGATGATGAATTGATTCAATCATCATTATATGATTTACAACAACAATCAAATACATTTACAGAATCATCATATCTTTTACAATCACATCATCATCATCAACAGAATAATAATAATAATAAGCAAATGCAACCACCATCGTCATCATCATCATCATCATTGTCATCACAGCAACAAACCTATATGGATCTATATGGAAATCCACCTGGTCAATATAATTCATATTCGAATGCATATGATACGAACAATACTCTTTATGATATTTATCAACCGAATAATAATCATAATCATCAACAACAACAACAAACATTATATCATTCAAATGACTTAGGCAATTTTCATTCGGGTAATGGCAACAATAATCTGGAATATGATTTTGATCAGATGCAATCAGATTTATTGCTAACTTGTGGCGGTGGTGTTGGTGGTGCTGATTCAATGATTGATCAAGGAATGCAACAAAATTTAATTACAGCCGATATGACCGGAAATGATTTTAATAATCATCATCAACAACAACAAAATAATCTACAACATACGGCATTTACTAATCAACAACAACAACATCACAATAACAATCAAAGCGGTATACCAGATTCACCACCTATGAATTGTCCACCATTAGTATCACATCATAAAACGGGTAGCCAATTATCCTTACAACAACAACAACAACAACAACAACAATCGGCAACATCAACAAATTTGAACACTACCAATCAAGAATCATCATCATCATCATCACCAATGATGGAGATTGGCATCTATAATAATAATAATAATAATAATTCTATTCAACAACAACAGCAGCTACATAGACAACAATCATCACCAACATCATATATAACATTGAGCAATAGCTCAACAACAGTTACGAATGTTGATAATGATACTAATACAAATAATAATGGTGAATATCATCATGCTCATCATCATTTATCTAATGGGAATCAAACAATTGATCATCATTTACAAGCATATGCTCATCAACAACATCATCAAACAATGTTTGAAACAACAACAACTACAACTTCAGCAACATCGACGACAACAACATCATCATCATCACCATCATCATCACTAACAAAATTATCTCAATCTTTAAGATCATCACCATCATTAACATCATCATCAACGATTGCATATCAATTGGAATTAACACAAACACCATCGATATCTATTGAATCATCACCAACAAATAATATTCATAAAAATGTTGGTAATGGTGGAATTGGCAATTTGGTTAATTTAAATGATGAAAAAAATGTTGGTCCATCACCACCACCACCACCAACACAGGTTCCAGTATCAAGATCTTGGGTTCACTAGTCATCACCAAATTAAGAAGAAATCTAAATGTTTAATAAATGTATGAATGATTGAAACTTGTTTACCTGTGGTATATCAATGTCCACATATATCACGATAACATAAACCTTCGTCTTCTTCTACGATAGGATTATTTCATTTTATTTTCATTTTTTTGTTCAAAAATCATTTCATTTTTCTTTTCTGATTTCTATTTCTGGCTCTGCTCATTAAAACAAAACGTTTTTATCAAACAAACAATGATGATGATCAATATGTATTGATTTACATGATAAAATGGCGAATTATTAAATAAATCCTATACATATAAATTCGTCAAATACAATGGTGAGTGATTAACATTTTACATTTTGATTTTGATCTACAAAAATTGATTCATTTTTTTAATTTCTTTTTTTTTGTTTTGTTTTTTTTGTTTCTCCTTTTTTTTTCTACAGTTCCAGATCCGCGAATCTCGTATCGACGATCTCATTCAAAAATGATTCTGTCTATGAAAATGTTATCCTATCTTTTTTTCTCATTCTCATTATTTTTTTTAATCAAAATAAAAAGTTTCATTTTATTTTTATTTTTTCACAACAATCTCAAATTTCGCTTATTTCATATTTTCATTGATCATAATAATTATTATTCAGATTGATTCAAAACACAAACAAACAATCATTTTCAAAAAAATCATAATATATTCCATCAATTTCTTCGATTCTTCATATCGACAATTTATTTGTTATTTGTTTTTTTTCTTTTTTTCTTTTTGGCATATACACGAACATCATCATCATCATGACAAATTTCACAGATAATTTTATTCTTTTTGCAAAACGATAATGATTAAAAACGACAAATTTTTTAATTATTCAAGGTTAGCGAAATTATATCACAAATAAATAAAAATCACTCAAAATAAACAAATTTTCAACAAATCCAAATCCAAATTCAAATTCAAAATCGAATTACCAGCCGATAAAACATACAAAAATGACCGAATTTTATTAATTTTTTAAACAAAATATATCTTAATCATGAAAGAAAAACAAAATTTTTGTTAACATTATATATATTTTTTCACCGAATTTCCTAACCCATTAACTTTTTCTCTCTCTCTCCCGATTCTTTGTTGGAAATTTCACAATGAATAAATCGAAATTAAACAAACATTAACCAAATATGAACAATCTTTGTTAGCCTAACCTTGTTTTTCAAAATTATCATCACTATGATCATCACAACAACAAAATCCTATTGAACCGAAATGAACAACCGTTTACAGTTTTTTTTCTATTCTTTTCGTTGGTTGCTTTGCTTTATCTCTATGGAGAAAATTCTACAATTTTTAACGAAATCAAAATTCATATTTTTTTTTTTTTTTTTTTTGAAAAGATTCTCAGGTTTTTTCCTCACTCTCTCTCTCTCTACAATTTTTTTTTCGTTCAAACTTTATAACAAGGCAGGAAAACAATGAAAAAAATCAATGTATATTCTTTTAACTACCACAACAACAAAAAAATCCTTTTTATTTTTATCAAAAATTATATTTTTTTTTTCATTTCATTTCACTTGTTTATTTGTTGGAATTTTTAATTTTGCTAATTTTTATTTTATTTGTTTTTTCCGGATAAAAAAACGAAACTGATTCTGTGTTATGAATTTCTGTTTGTTTTGAACAGAATCTATTGATCCTGTTTTTTTTTAAAATTTTATTTTAAATGAAAAAAATCTAATTATTTTTTCATTCATTAATTATTGTCCTTTACTTATATTCAATCTTTATATATAAGAAAAAAAAATATTTGTTGTTATAATTTGTTCGTTTCTCTCTCTCTCTCTCTCTCTCTCTCTTAATTTGTCTTTATAAAATATGATGTCTCAATTATTATTATTACATTACAAATCATAATATCATTATCATCATCATCATCATCATCAATATATGCAAAATATATATTTTCTCTTTCACTTTCTCTCTCTTACATGAAAACACTCACAACAAACAAACAAACAAACAAAAAAGTATAATGATAAACATTGATGTTGAATTAAATGAAAAAAATTATGTTTAAAATAATAATATTCTTGATTCTGGTCATATTTATTTATGTGTGTGTGTGTGTTTTAAAAAAGTAACACTGAATGATGAAATATTAGTAAACAGAAGATAAAAGAAAATTGGACAAAATTTTTTTTTTTTTGGAAATATTATTATTATTATATTGATCTGATGCCTTTCTCACATAATTGACCTTATAATCACTCTCGATTCATTAATATTAAAAGAACGAAACAGGAAAAAAAACAGCTTTAAAATAATGGAATCAAAAAAAAAAACCGAACATAACCAAAATTAATATTTTTTTTTTATATAAGAATTAATTTTATCATGTTAACCTACATTGAAAAACTATTCTGTTGATTTTTTTTGATGATTACATAAAATAAACAATTTACATAGAACCTATACAAACACACACACACACAAACACATACCAATGACAAATGAAATATTCTTATTCCTAAAAAGTTAAATTATTTGAACAACATTTATCTTATTCTGTTGTTTACTTTATGTCCATTCTGTTTGATTTGGTTGTTTGTTTAAATTATTTTTCTTTAATGTTCATTGAACTAATAAGTTTTTCCGTTTTATTTTATTTTTTCATGTTTTTTTCAAGTTTATCTTTTTAAAAAAATGTTTAAAATGAAACACACACACACACCTACGACACAGATTCTATTTGATTGTATTTTGATTATAATCTTCAGAATTTTTTTCTTAACACGCCCATATCCTGAATGTTGTCCATTTTTATTTTTATTTTTTAAATTTTTGTTTGTTGTTTTCAAAATTCATATTATAATGCTATTAATATTTACTTTTAATGTCAAATAATTTAAAAATTAAAAAAAATAATCATCATCATTATTAATAAAGTTTCATTACCATTCAATAAAAATAAAAAATGAATATCGAGAATATATTTTTGAACGAGAAATATCCGGAATCTAAAAATTTGAAACTTTGGTTTGAAACAAAAGACAGCAAACAGAAACCCAAAATTAATGGAAATTATTATTTAGATAAATAAATAAAGTTGAAAAAAAAGTTTTTTTGGGAAAATTTTCCTCTCATCATCATCATCCATAATGATCATAGTTTTCTTCGGTTTATTGTGGATATATAAAAAAAATTAAATTTTTTTGGCTCTAATTTCTCGTGAAAAAAAGTTTCTCTTCTTTTTTTTCTTGGAATATGATGAGTTTTTTTTCCAGTGAAAAAAAAACGTTGGTCACATGGACTGGAATGAAAAATTTGAAAGAAAAAAAATATTGTGAAATTGCATTTTTCTTTCCTATGTTTCAGTGTAATAGAATTTCAATTAAAGTTCTTGTTTTTTTTAGAAATTTGAATTTTATTTTTCTTCCATATCATATTCTATTACCGTTATCGAATTATTATCCATAATTGACAACAGCGAAAAAAAAAATCTAGCTAAATTTAATTACAGCATTAATTTGGAAATTCAAAACCAATTAATTGAATAATTTTCAAATGATCGTGAATGATGTGAATGAAAATTTGTTTTTTTTTCAATTTTCAAATTAATTTGTTTATCCCAAACCCGAAAAAAATTTTCATTGCTAATTGCAGTGTTGATAATTAAGTTAAATTGTTTAGATTCAAGTTATTTATAAGCTTTTGTAATATTTTATATGATGATGAATAACTATTTCCACTCAATTTATTCATTCAACATTATTATTAAATACGATCCCCTCCTCTTCCTTCGCAAACCCAAAACTTATATTGTATATACGCTTGTATTATTTTCTCAAAAAAATGAAACCAAATATTGATTCTTAAATTACCATCATCATTATCATTCAACAATTTTTGATGGTTTTTTTCTCTTGTTTCTCGTTTGACGTATATTCGAATGTGCGTTTGGCACACGAACGAACGAAAATTCTTGTAGGCAGATTGGGACAACATTGATTAAATCTATATTTAAGAAATGTAATGTCAAAAAACAGAAATGGAAAAATTCAATTTGATTGTAAAATCAATACTTGTATCTAAAATATTTGTCTCTCGGCGTTTGTGTTTGTGTAAAACAATGACAATGACGATTATGATTACCTCAAAAAAATGACTTATTTTTTCTTCATAAATACCTGGCCGAATTTTTTTGTCACAATTTTATCCTTCTATCTAATGGAACGGCATAAAAACATTTCATTTGAAATTCAGTTTCATTCATTCATTCATGTTTTTTTTCTTTAATTCCGGTGGAAAATAAAAGAATATTTTCTCTTGAATAAGGTGGATAAGGTATGGATATTTATGTGCGTGAAAGAAGAAATGACAAACATTGTCAGGATGATGATGATGATGATGATATAAATGTATCGATTTATCGATCGTATGATTGATCGATTTTGATTTTCTCAATTCACTTTTTTTTCTCAAACAAACGAATAAATGATGGAAAATAAATTTTTTGTCTTTTTATCTTTTATCAATAAAATATTCAATTTGCTTAAAATTTCGTATATTGATTCTATTTTTCACATTGTTACATTTAAAAATAAAATGGCGCCTAAATCTTTTTTTTTTTTTTTGGGACAGCAAACATATAGGGCTATAACTAAACCCTATTCATAATAACCAAAACTATTACTGTAACTTTGAAAAAAAAAGTTATTCAAAATTATTGAATTTCGTGTGATGTAGTATACAACAAGTGGTCAAGTGACTGTACTACCACCACCATATCTACGATCATGATAATGATCATCATCGGCCACTACGACAATTTCGATATTGATTGCAATAATATTTTGTTGGAATGTTCATGTCGATGTTCAACAAAATACTACTCGGCTTTTTTTTCGTTTGTTTTGTCTGTCGAAAAAATGAAAACATTTTTTTAAAATATTTTGATTTTTTTTTTGTTGTATCCAATTATGGCTTTTTTCTGTCCAGTTAGGATACGAAGAAACAAAAAGAAACATGGTAAACAAAAAGAATATTCTTATATCATTCGATTCACTATGTATTCACTATTTTGTTGCTAATTTCCTAGGTCATCATGAATCGGATTTATTATCCGGTACACGACATCATCTGCAATCACTACCACCAATGGGTAGAATTACCGGTAGTGCTTCGATCGAAACATTAGTTCGTGTCGGTATTGAAAAAGAGAATGGTTTATCACCAAATTCAAAAATGATTGTTTTACATGATTTTACACCATGTGTTGATGATGAATTGGAAGTAAAACGTGGCCAAATTATCAATGTTCTTTATCAAGAAAATGATTGGGTATATGTTATTGCAACCGATCAACGTGATCAAAATGGACAACCAACTGAAGGATTTATACCGGCATCATATTGTGCTCCATTAATTGAAACAAATATCGATAATTTATTAATGAATTTTAAGAAAAAAATGCCAAGAAGTGAACCAAATTCTTTGGTTGATTGTAATTTCAATGAAATCAATACAATCGATACAAATTCCAACTTATTAAATAATAATAAAGATAACAATAATGATCAAAATCATCATATTAATTTTATTGGCAATGGAAATTATTGCAATCAAATAATTCAAACAAACACTTTACATTCGAATGATCAACAACATTTTATGACATTAAATTATCATAATTCTAATAATAGTAATCATCCGAATCGTTATTCGCCAACTCAATCACATCATTCATTCCCGGGAATAGAATCAGTTTCACAACAACAAAACAACAGTATTATGAATTTAGATCTTGTTATGGCAGCAACAACAGCAACAACAACAAATACACCAAGTACAAATCAAACAGGTCCATTAGCCATATCATCGATGATATCAGCCGAATCAAATAGTTCACAAAAAATCAATTTAAAATATAATTCAAATGTTAGTAGTAGTAATCATAATGAACATTTTGATACATTTACAAATGAAAAACTAATCAATCATCATCATCATCATCAGCCAAATCAAAATCCAAATCCAAAATCTCTATATCTAACATTGTCAAATTTATCAACAGAAAACAAATCGGCGACAAATGATAATAATAATTGTGAAATTCAACCATTTTTTAAAGATCAATCTGGTCGTTATGTAATGCTTTATACATTTGTTGCAAGAGATGAAAATGATATTAGTGTGGAACGTGGTGAAATTATTACCGTATTAAATAAAGATGATCAGGATTGGTTTTGGATAATGCGTTCAGATGCACAAGAAGGATTTGTACCGGTTTCTTTTACATATCCAATTGATTTATTATTAAGTAAGTGTGTTTTTCTTATTATCCAAATTTGAAAACATTAACATTAATATCTTTATATTTCAAAATAATAGATGCTCATCATGTTCATCAACATCATCATCATGGTCAATCAAATGTTATTGGTGGTGGTCAAATACAGCCGAATACAAATATGGCAAACATATCTTATACATATCATTCATGAAATGTCATTCATTATCTGATATATTTGAAAACAAAAAAAAAATCAAATTTATTGTGTATAAAAATAAAAATTTTAAATTTTTAAATCAGTTTAAAATTTTCAAAACAATACATTTTATAAAAGAATAAATGAATGATTAGACAGAAATACTTCCTTCACGGAATTTACTTTTTGCAATTTTTGCATTAATCAAAACCGGCTTGGTACGGCTCAATTTCTTTGCTTCTTCAAAAAGTTCGGTAACTTTGGTACGTTCATCAGTATCCATAAGCATACCATTTGCACCTAAACCTTCGATGCATTTTTCATATGATGCATAGGACAAATTACAGGCAACATCTGAACCAAGCATAGGCACTTGTTCACGTGCAATTTGAGTCCAACAAGCATCATTACCGACTAAAGCCATCACAGGTATTTTATGTCGTACGAATGTATCGAATTCCATTAATGTATATCCAAGCGAACCATCACCATAAATAATTACAACATCATGATCTGGGCGACAAAGTTTAGCACCCAAAGCAAAACCACCACCACAGCCAAGTGTGCCGAATGCTCCAGGATCTAGCCAACACAATGGACCACGTGGACGCAAAATATATGAAGCGGATCCAACAAAATCACCACCATCGGCAATTAAAATTGTTTTTTCATCCAAAGTATTTTCAAGTTTATGCAAAATCTGAATGAGAGAATAACAAGATAAAAATTAAAATAACTATAAATATGGATATGGATACAAACATCTAAAGGATTGAGATGCTTTTCAGGCACATCGGCCGCCATCTGTAAAGCTATAGCTTCTTTTTTACGATCACGTTCTTGAAGTGTTTCAATCCATTTGCTATCAACTTTATATGATCCTTTTAATTTACTTGCAACATCCACGAAAAATTTTGCTGCATCAGCTTGAATTGGAAGATCAAGATTCCAGAAAATTTTTGTATTTTTATACAATTGTTCTTTGTTTCGATTGATTGAAATGATTTTAGATTTTCGTGAAAATATTCGTCCATATGAAAGACGAAAATCGGCTACACTACCACCAAGAATAACGAGATCACATTCTTTTATTGCTTCACGACGTGCTTGACGCATATTGATTGGAGAATTACGTCCTAATAAACCTCGTGACATCCCACCTAAATACACCGGTATACCGAGATCTTCAACAGCTTGTCGCAATTTATCGGCACCAATTGGTGGCGATACAGCTTGTGATCCAAGAATCATTAATGGTTTTTTAGCTTTGGTAATCATTTCGACAGCTTTTGAAATTTCGGATTCACTTGCATAAGGTATGTCCAATGGTAATGGCTGTACATCATGCTCTTTATCAAATGCACCAGCAAATAAATTGTTCATATAATTATTCAGATACCAACCGACAATTTTGCCGGCCATCGATTGTGAACCAGATGCGGCAACGAATTCCTTACTAACAATACTATAAGGATATAGAACATCGATAGGTAATTCTACAAAAACTGGACCCGGTGTTCCACTTTGGGCAATTTTAAATGCTTCTTTCAAACATGGAACAATATCACGAACTTTGGTCACACTAAAAGCTTTCTTGGTTATCGGTTTGAATAATGATCTATAAAATTAACAAGAAAAAATATTCGATTATGATCATCATCAAACGGGCAAAAAAATGATTATCACTTACAATTGATCAATATCTTGTAATGCACCACGATTTTTAAGCAATGATGCGGCAGCACCGCCAAGTAAAATGACAGGAGATTCAGCCATTTGTGCATTTTTAATAGCAGTTACAGTGTTTGTTACACCGGGACCAGCAGTAACAACAGCAACACCTGGAATACCAGATATACGAGCGGTAGCATCGGCAGCAAAAACTGCATTCACTTCATGACGAACATCAATTACTTTTATACCAGATTTTTCGGATGCTGTCAAAATGGGCGATACATGACCACCAGATAATGTAAAAACACGTTGTACACCATGTGAACGTAGTACAGATGCAACCAATTCACCACCATGCCGGGTACTATTGGGATCGATTTTCTATTTTTCAAATATAGATATTTTTAACTAAAATTCATATTTTAAAAAATAATACCTTGCAAAAATGATGATAGAAAATATTAATATTACTATTAAACCAACGAATCATTTTATTTTGATCGGTTAATAAATCGAATAAATCATTAATTTGTTGACAAAATATCCGTCTACCTTCAAGTGACAATTTTACAAGAACATATGTCACCAATGATGAAATAAAGAATATCGTAACGGTTGTTATGAAAAACATTAACTAATTTTCATATAAAATTCATGTTTATATAATAAGATTTTTTTTTATTAAACGTTTATGCCACCAATATACGATTTCATTTTGGCCAACCAAAAAAAAAATTTCAGTTCATTTTTCACGATAATAATAATTGATAATAATGATATAAAAAGAAATAAAGGAAAAGAAAAATAAATATTGATAAAAAAATGAAGAAAATATTGATGATATATAAATGAAATTGAAATAATTTTAGTGATTGAAACAAAAAAATTGTCAATACGACCAAAAAAAAAAAAAAAAATCCAAAATAAATAAATAAAAATTTAGAAAAAAAATGTAAAGGAAAAAACATGTAAAGATTGATATGAATTTACTTACGAACGATTTTTTTTCCTGAAAAACGTTTTATCAATCAATAAATTATAAAAATAAAAAATTTGATAGATTTTAGAGAAATCGATTTGAATTATTATTATTATTATCATCGAAAAGTAAGAATAATGATTAAAAATAGTGAGTGAATGAATAAATAAAGAAAACAAACTCGAAATACATTCAAGTTTTTTTTTCTCAACTAATATTACCGGTTTAATTTTAATGGATAATAAAAATAAAAAACCGGTTTTTTTTCTATATTTGTTATATAATTAATACAATCATTGTCGAATGAACTTGAAAAGAAAAAATTCTTACCTTATAGAATTTTGAATTGAAAAAAAAAGAAACGGATAAATAGATTTTGGTTATCGATTAAACTAGAAATTTTCAATGTAAATATTTTTTCGTTTGGATTTTATAAAAGATTGTACTCGTTTTATTCAATTCAAATGGATTTTTTTTAAAAAGATTGTACTCGTTTTATACAATTCGAATGGATTTTATTTTTCTCGTTTTTCAAACACAATTGGATAATTGATATAATGTTGTTATCATCAAAAAAAAGTGAAACGGAGAATAACAAAAAGTTTTTTTTTTCTTTTCCAACCAATCGGTACAACTGTCACCATAATTTGGAAACATTTGTCATTTAGCCTTTTTTTTAAGAATCAACAAATAGATGGTGCCACCACACAGAAATTCTCCAAAAGTAAAAAAAAACTTTTTATTTACATTGTACGATGTTCAAATGATCATAACGATCGAATGTCACAATGTTTTTTTCATGAATCAAGGTAATATAAAATGCGATTACAAAAGCAAAGATTTATTTCAGATTAACAATTAGACAAAAAAAAAGAGGAAAATAGAATACTGATAGTAATGGTATGAGAATAAAAAAGTAAAAGGAATCAATTTCGGAAAATCTATCGATCGACGGTAGTACCATACTGGTGATTTTTATTTGAAGCAATCATAACGCATTGACCATTAGCACCATTAGGTCCATGTGCAAGCGATTGTTGTTGTTGATGATGCATTTTACGTTCAAGGTCTTTAATTTCGATCATATCGGATTTTAATTTCAATTTTAAAATGATTCGAGTCATTTCATCACGATGCGATGGATTATCAATACCCATTCGTTTTAATGTATCTTCTTGAATTCGTATTAATGAACGGCCAGTAATTTCATTATCAAGAAATTTATCACCATATAATTCATAATATTGTTCACAACATCGTTTTAACCATTTCATAACTTCACCATTTGACCAAAAAAATACTGGTCGTGGTCGTCGGCCAATCAAATCGTTGTTGGTGGTTGCCGCTATGTTAGATTGTTCGTTTATAGATGTAACCGTTGTCATGTTTTGATTGATAATATGGAATCAGATTTGATTAGTATTACCTGTAAGGCCTGTTGAATAGAATTTGATTGTCAATACAAAAGCGACGATTCGGCGAGCATATTATTGATATGAATAGTGCTGCCGCCAATATACATTTTTTTATTGTATCGTCGTCGTAGTAGTGGCCAGATTCGATGATTGGTTTCATGGCATGGCATTCACAATGTGCAAGTGGTATTATGTTTAGGTATACGAGAATGTTTATTTGAGCAGCAATCGGCGTTTTGTAATCAACGATGATGAGGGGCGTTTGTTAGACGATGTCTGGCCACCGTGTATTTGAGGTTAGGTATGGTTGTTGCTGACCATGACTTTAGTCAGACAATCAACAGGCAATAATAATAATAACGGTAATAATCCATGCCTGGATGTTTTTTTTCTCATTCATCAAACGATAATCAAACTGATCAAAGCCATTGTGTTTTACCATTCACTTGTCAACTGTGCGATCGAAAACGTCTTTTTTGTTTTGTTTTTGTTTCTTAATCAAACATTGGCCGATCTGTTTGGCCCCCACATAATTGTGTGCATATATGTGAAAAGGTGTTTAAGATTCTGTTTTATGTGGAATAGTTGATGACCATGATGGGCGTTAAAGATGATGCTACAGAATTGGAATGTAATACTTCTGCAGATGGTAGCGATGTATCGCTAAGACTTTTAGACGAAAATGATAAACTAAATAAACGCCTATTATTATTACGTGATGAATATATTAAACTGCAGAGGAAATATCTTGCTTTGCAAAATCGTTACGATCATTTGATGGTGACCGGTAAATTCTCTGATATCAACGACGAAACTAACCATGTCGATAGTGGTGGTGATGGTCGCTGTCTTTCCCTTAATGGAGGCAATTTCGTAGCCAATATCGTTAATTTCGTCGGATCACTGTACAATAATCGGCTATATTCTGATTTACAAATCGATTATGGCAATGGCCAGTGTCAGCTATTTGCTCATAAGTTTGTGCTCAAATTTCGTTCACAGAATTGGTCGGTTCCGGACTTGGATGCAATCGATAGGCTTTACTTTCCCGAAATGACTGCTCGAATTGTTGAGCCTTTATTTCGTTGGGTATACACTGGCCACATCGATACTCGTTTGTTTGACCAAGAATTTGCCGTTGGTAAGTAATATCGATGTAATAGACTGAAGCCTGATCAATGATATAACTAATCATCATTTAAATGTAGAACTAGCCAAACACGCTGTTCGATTTGAATTAAAACCATTGGTCGAGCAATGCGAACAATGGTTGCTAGCATACGTACAGGTGGAAAATTGTATCTATTTTTATCAAATCTCCGAACAACTGGCCCTTTCTCGGTTGTGCGACTATGCGGCCAAATTAGTATCTATTCATTGGGATTCGCTAGGCGAAAATGATTTTGCTAATGTATCGACTCCATTTTTGCATCGTTTGTTCGTTGAAAAATCTCGTTATCCACTTCATAAAGCCATCTATATTCACAATGAAGATCTCATTTTTTTGCTTCTCATGGACTATGAGCCGCATGAAACCGTACACAAAGTAAACGAATTAGATAATTTAAGCCAACTACCACTAGATATGGCTCTTCGCACTGGTCAATGGTCGGTGGCAATGACTCTTCTCGAGCATCAAGCCAACCTGAACGTTTGTGATTCTGGTGGATGGCCTCTCTCACTACGATATCTGAACGAACGCAAATGGCAGACATGTCGTTTTTTGATTCAACAAGGAGCTTCTGTTAATTCTACGACCCCTGAAAACGGGGATTCGCTTTTACATTTATGTGCCGATTGTCAATCATCAGACAATAATGATATGTTGGATATTAGTCGTCTTCTTTTAGAACGCGGAGCCGACGTCAATCAAACAAACTGCGAAGGCAATGGAGTGCTTCATCGATGCATCGAACGTCGTAATCAAGCATTGTTTGATCTGTTACTTGAAAAACACACCGCTAACGAACTGAATTTGGATCTGGAAATGACAAATTGTCAACACGACACGCCACTGGCAATGGCCGTTGAGTTGATAGATCGCTATGATGATGATCACTATGCACACAGCCTGTTGAAACTAAACGTATCATTGGATACGGTTCGATTGGCCGAACCGGGCGACTCACTTCTTAATCATTGCGGCCGCAATAGTTTGCAAAAAGCAGCTCTGTTTCTAGTAGAACACGGAGCCAATGTTAACCTGGTCAACAATCTAGGCGAATCCATACTGCATCTAGGTAAGTGGATAGAGTTGCGAAAATTCACATTACTCACCTGTTTGTTTTTAGCCTCTAAAAATGGTTTAAAAGATCTTGTGTGGCTATTACTTGAAAAAAATGTCAATTGCAATTTAGTCACTCTACCCTCATTGAACAATGACTGCCATAAAGATGGCCAAGAAGTCGTTTACAATCAAACTGCACTTCATTTAGCCATCCTTGGCGGCCATGATGCTATAGTCGAGCGAATCCTTTCATTTCATGAGGGATGGTCACGCAAAGGTTGCTTAGATTCAGCGCTCCTTACACCAGATGTGGACGTAAAAAACTCGCATCACCAAACACCGATGAGTCTTGCTGTTGAAACCGGTCGAATCAGTGTAGCCGAAATGCTTATTCAGGCTGGAGCCGATGTGAACATTAAAGACTTCAATGGAATTTCACTTCTGCAGCGAATGATCCAACAAGGCAATGATAATGGCGCTCAATTCCTTCTTGAACACGGTGTCGATATTAATGCTCGGTGTGCCGATAGCGGCGAAAGCTACCTCGAATGTGCAATACGTCACGGCAGAGCTGAAATAGTAGAATCGTTATGTCGATTAGGTTCAAACGTACACGAACCAAGCATTGACGGTGATAGCCTATTGTGGAAAGCCCTTAAACGAGATGATTCGAACAAATTGGCTGCTATCCTTGTTCAATATGATTGCGATCCAAACGGCTGGCACCAGTCAACAGAAGGTGGATTCAGCCAAACATTGCTGCACCGTGCATTGGATGAGAACAACCAACGAGCTGCCATATTCCTGATACAAAGTGGCTGTGATATACATGCAATCCGTAAGCCGGGAACTGACGGCCAAGGTAAAGAAGACTGTGATGGACAAACTCCGGTAAGTCGAACGAGTTGATTTCTTTCGTTGTGATTGATTTTTTCAAATGTGTTGCAGCTACACATGGCTTGTAGCTGGGGCATGGCAGAAGTTGTCGAAACATTAATCAATCTGGAAGTAGACGCAAATTTAGTCGACCAGGAAGGCAAAACGGCTTTGCATATTGCCATTTTGAATCAGAACCATCAGATCATTGATCTATTGCTCAATTATTCAGCCTGTGATGCCCACAAAGCGGACAACTATGGCCTGACGCCTTTCGCGTTGGCCATCAAGCTCAAATCTCGACCAACTGCACAGGCGCTCTGTCGCCGAGATTGTGACATAGCCGAACAACGAGATGGCAAAGGTCGTACCTATCTACATGTTGCCTTGCAACGCAACGACTACGATGCCGTCCTTTTCCTGCTTGACAATGGTGTCAACGTCAATTGTCGTGTGGCCGATTCACAACGTAAGGCACCATTACATCTTGCAGCCGAAACTGGCTCGGAAATAATTTTACGAACCCTTGTGCTTGCCGGCACCGAATTGAACGTAGTCACACAACAGAATCAAACAGGTAAACCATCTTAGTTATTTAGATTAGTTAATTAGATTTTTGTGTGCTAACAGCTCTGCACCTGGCTTCTGATTTGGACAAGTATCAAATGGTGGAAATACTGCTCGACATGGGCATCGATGCTAGCGTCCAAGACTCAAATGGCAATACCGCATTGCATCTAGCCGCAATGAAAGCCCATCACAATACTTGCCGTGTACTAATGGAACGAGGATCGCGCCCTGGTTGCCGACCATTGGATGTTCGTATCAGTAACAACCGGGGTCATAACGTATTTCATTGTCTATCTACATCAGCCAACAAAGTGGCCGCGAGCGCCATCTTCGAAGAATTGGTTGCCAACTTTACAGATTTGGACCTTGATGGCCGAGACAACGATGGCAATACGCCTCTATTGCTGGGTAAGTCGATTGAAAACAACACAGAACAACTAAAATAGCTGATGATGAATTTCTGTGCCTTGAAGCCTATATGAACGGTAACAGTAAATTATGTCGATCGATTGTAAAGGAAGGTGCAGCCTTGGGAATTCGAAACCATCAGGGCGTGTCTATATTCAACCACGTGATGCCAACTCGACAACTACTTACCTCTTTATTGGATTCGTTGGCCCGAATGCCTCAGTGGCGCGATGGACCCGAATGCCTGGAATGTGGTCAGAAATTCAACATAACAAATAGACGTCACCACTGTCGACACTGTGGTCGCGAACTTTGTTCCAGATGTTCGTCCAAAGAGATCCTAATCATGAAATTCCAATCGGACAAACGTTCAGTACAAAGTCGTGTATGCGAACTATGTTACGATGTGCTAACTTTGGGCGCTTTTAATTAATAATCCGTGACCAATAAAAACTTGTCTTTCGTCTGACCGATTAAACTGTTATATTTCCTGTTTGTATATTGTAACTGCCGGTTCGTGACCACGAATTTTTTGTGGCTCATCATCAGCCAATGTCATTTGTGTAAGTCATGTTTGCGAATGCAGCTACATTGTTGAATAATATATATTTGTGCCAGCACCAGTTGCTGGCAGACGAACAAGCACGTTCGGTTCGGGCAAACCGCCCATGTCCAATGGCAAATATGACGATCTGTCCCCATAGTCAGCAAAGCTTATAGTGTTTAGTACCACCACTACAATCATATCTGGTTGGATAATTCCTGGCTCCAGTTAGTTAGAGTTATCAATTAGGCGTCTAACGTCATAACTGTGCCATCACCATACTGTTTGGTGTTTGTGTTTGCTGCTTGGTAGTTTGTTATTATTACCAGAGCCAAGTAGGCCTCATTCTCAATATATTCCTTTTGCCTGCTTTCATCAGCTCATCATTCGTGTATTCAGTTAATTCGTTGTTTTTTCTGATCGGATTGTTTGTTTGTTCGTTTGTTCGTTTGTTTGTTTGTTTGTTTTTTGTTCGTTCGTTCGTTCGTTGGATCTCAATTTCAGTATCTTCTCTTCCTGGATAGTTTATTCGGACACATTTCAAACTGTCAATAAAACATTAATAAGGTAAGTTGCCTTTATGCACCAAGTGCCACCTAATTTTTCGTGACTAGTGGTTAGGGAAACTAAACCGGAAATAGACCATCAACAAAATGTAGACCCTGACAAGTAACAACTATAGCACCGGATTTTATTTGAGTCGCAACTTACAGCTGATCCTTGAGCGCTGTTTTTTTCTTGCTAAACAACCAGACGTGAAAACCCGTTATTGTGGGCCAATTATAATCATTATTATCATCATCATTTTATCAATAAATCAATGATAAGGTCCAGTTAATTTTTTATTGATAAATGCCGCCGCAGTATGCCTGTGTGCAAGTAGTATTTTGACTATTTGCTCGCGATTGTACGAATGTTGAGCATAAGCTACCACCATTCAAATGCATTCGTATCGTAGATCATCATTTTGTCAATTGGACTTAATTAATTGAGCAATTAATCTCACAGGAAACGACCCATTTGATCAACAATTTATTTCCATTCAATTCCAGTCACATCATCAAATGATGCATGTCTCGCTTGCTTAGTGATGAACTGCATATGAAGGCCAGCTGACGAGCTTTTTTTGTTTTGGCCATCATATTGGTCGGTACGGCACCATTCATACACACACACAGTTATCAACGCAGTCAAGCGTGGCAAGTTAGTTAGTTAGTTACCACTGTTGTTTGATTGATGTTGAATAAAAAAAGATTGCAACAAGTGTCGCCAATAAAAAGCTGGCTGGCTAGCTTTGTGTGTGGCTGAATGATATTACCATACCTGTTAGGCTGCTGAAAAAGATCCAGAATGACAGCAGCATATTCGTATTGCATCGTACAGTGGCCATCATTATCAACCAAAAATAGAAGAAACGCATCTCCATACTAGCTGTGCAAGTGAGTAAGTTAGTGCGCTGCAAGCTATAGTTAATTAGTTGCAATCGTGGAACGGCTGTCATTCTGTTTGATGGTGGTGGCCAAACATCGCCATCAATCTCGAATTGTCAATCTAGAAAATTTGTCGCCCAACGTTTTTCTGTACCTGTTCTGTTTTTGTCAAGGGTAGTTGATCAGGTCACTTGCCATTTAATAACAGGCCATTCCTGTTTTGTTTGTTTGTCTGTTTGTGTGTATTTTTCAACATCAAAATTAAATTCTGTCTTTGTCTTGTCACACATATAGTGACATTTTTATTTAGTGCCCATTGTCCAGTGTTCGTTGTCGCTAGCTATGGCCACCGAACGTGCCATCGATTCTTGGGTCTACCCAATGGACTCATCATGCACACCTTACAACGAAAACGATTTCAGCAGTCAAGTACGTCAAGTTTGTCAAGAGGAAGTTCATTATATGCTCACAAATTCGACAAACAACGAATCGTCTCAAAACAATCAACAACAATCACCGACCAACAAACTACCACCGTTAGAGCCACTTAGAAATCGACTTCGAATAGCCAAATGTAATGTAGTGGGCGATACATCCGTTGGCAAAACATGTCTGGTGAATCGCTTCGGTTACGATGTTTTTGATTCAAAATCCAAGGCAACTATTGGTGTCGATTTTGATGTACAGAAATTTTCCATACTTAGTCGACCCTTTACACTTCAGGTAAATTTGTTCAAATTTGATTGCAAATGATTAAGATGATTACAATGTGTGTGTGATCATTGTTTTATTTACAGATTTGGGATACTGCTGGTGACGAACGGTTTCGGTCAATCACACGAGCCTATTACCGTGGTGCACATGCCGCCCTTATTGTTTTTGATTTAACTACAATTAAATCGTTCCAAAATGTTGGTCTCTGGCACGAAGAGATAATGGAGGCCAGCCAATCGCCTGAACATATGGCCGGATCGTTGACGTTGACGCGCCGGAAATCGCAACGTGGTAGCAACGCATACCAACACCATAGCAGTAGTAGGCCTTTTCTGTTTCTAGTCGGCACTAAAAAAGATCTTATTACTGATGAAACGGTTGCCTTTTATCGGAGCGAAGGTGCAAAACTCGCCAACAAAATTGGCGCCGAATTCTGGATGGTTTCCAGCCATACAGGTGAAAACGTAAATGATTTGTTCAAACGCGTTGCCTGTCTTTGTTTCGATAGATATCTATTGCGTGAGCTGCGTATTCAACAAGACAGAACATCACAGTACGAACAACAACAACGAGCTTTGGCAGCAATTATCACTGATAATCCTGCTGACGAACAGAACGCTAAACACGAACATGCAGCTAACAATCGTTCCGTTCATTATTCACCAGAAAACGGAGGCAAAGTGGCTTTTTTCTATAATGACGACCAACGAAAACGTAAAACGGCGACAACGGTTGACCAGGCTTTTTGGCCGATTCTCGTTGAATGGTGGTGCCAATGGTTTGGTCAACAAGGAAAAATTCGCCGCCGGCTTGGCCGCGTTACTAGTGGCAATAAAGTGGCCGATCAAAGCACAACAACAACAAACAACAATCACAACAAACGGATTGACGACAAAAGTCATAGAAAGTTTTCGTGTTTTCGTTTCACCTGCCTGTATAATGTTGACTAAATGAACAGTCATTGAAAGTTATAGCACATTATATTCACCTGACATGTTTTATTTTTTCATTAGTTTATTTTTCACTATGTCCATCGCTATTTCTACAGTCACAACACAACACACACGTACACAGACAATGCACAAGTCAATAAAAGCTCTGTTGATACTGTATAAGAAGGATGTTTAAATTCGAAACGATTCATGTTTACCGTCGATGTGCCGCAGTCGTAGATAGACATCGGTACCAATGCCTTGCATTGATTCGATACTTAATTTGCCATTTAGATATTCGGCGTATGCACGCGAAGTTGGTAATCCAAAGCCGAATCCGTGCATTGGTGAGGCTTGCATCGAAGAATCTTTCATAATATTTTCAAGAATACCACGATCAAATCGGGAATCAGTTCGATTAGCAGTTGTGAAATGATATTGAAGGACCAGGTCGACAAGATCGTGTGCTATGCCGCTACCACGGTCGCTAATCCTTATTATAAAATCGATGTTGTTCGAGGCAATTGTGACCATGATTGGTGGAAGATTTGAATCTGGAACAGAAGCATGTGCTTCGAGTGTGGCTCTTACGGCGTTTTTCAGTAGTTCAGGCAGAATATAGTCGAGCGGCGTCCGGATGTAAGGAAAGCAAGCGTTAACGTGACCGTTGATCTTAACAGGTGGTGCTCGACCGTAATGCCGTTCTGAGAGCTTCGAAACGTAGTCAACCCAGTAGTCAATCACTTCTTTTGGCTTCATACGCACGTTGATTATTCCCACATAATCGGGTCGTTCATTGTTGTCGTGCAATGCCAAATGATGTTCGGCAAGCATTCGGATGCCTAATCGTGAAGTAAGTGTCCGATCTAAGAACTGACGTATCATGTCTTCATTTTGAATATGTTTGCGACATTCGCGGAATCCTTCAGCAAGCATGGTTACCACATTCTTATGAGCATCGAGCAATTCTCTTAGCATGCTGGTAAAACTAAGTTCCTTTTCCTGATCTGTTATCTGAATCGATGAATAGACGCCGTTAAATTTTAGCTTAATTTTTTCACAATTTACTCACCAGAGGATGCTCGGAAAGCAAATAAAAAGCTTTGATGTACATTTCGTGAACGGCCAGGATAGTCGGATGACAACCGATCAGAAATGGAAGAGCACGGAAACCAGCGATACGATGTGCAATTCTTACGGGCAACTCTTTCTGCAGATACATAGCACTTCTCTATTTTAAAAAAGAATACAATTAAATCAGTAAATTCACAAATTAAACTTTACGTTACTTACCAGGGTATGACTACCATCGGCACTTTTGCCCGAATAAAGTATGGTAGCGGGTGTCAGTCGTACCGAAGGCTATTTTCAATAAATTACAATGAAACAACGTGAATTGACAATAATTTATAATAGTAAAAAAAAACATCAATCTTTTACCTTAGTGGCTGCAATATCGATGGCTGACTGATTGTAGAACCAGTTAATACTCTTGGATAGTGTCGATGTCCATAGGTTAGATTTGCGATTTGTACCGTTTGTACTGCCCCCTGTTCCGGAACCAGCACTTGGTCGATTGTTACCAACAGCAATATTGCTAGTAGTCGATTCACTGGTTGGTGAAGATTGTTGAAAATTTGCAGAATTAGAACTAGATTTGGATTGTCCATTCGAATGTCGATGGTTGTAGTAATTTTGAGCATAATCGTTGCAGTTTGTTTTATGAATGGATGGCCATTCGCCTTTAGTGGAACCAGATGATTGAGATTCTGCAATGGACGATCCGTTATTCATAGCCATTCGAATATGACGAAAAAAACTGTTAGAAGGATGGCTATATTTTTGTCGTGGATTATGTGGCCTAGGCTCATCGTTACTTGTACTGCCGTCGCCGCCGCTGCTACTGGTACGATCATAATGACGGTAGTTGGTCTGGCTAGAAAATCGAGGAAGTAGCAATGTTTGTCGACAGTAGAGCTGGGTATGCTGTTTGCAAAACATTGCGAATAAAAATATATCGGGTCAACTTTTGGTCAGTGACGAGGGTCAGCCAGAGTAGAGATGGTGGATTTGACCAATTTGATCGTCGTGGTGGTGGTGGTGATGGGCGAAAGAAAATCAGCTCACATGGACAATCTGGCATCTGTATCTAGACAACTACTAGTAAGAACAGGATTAGCATCATGGTAATACAAACCAATATATAATGAGGCGCCAGTAAATCAGCCAGCAAGCGATAAAATATGCCAAAGTCTAACATCTGAATCGCTGACTGTTTTAACTGGATCTATACTATGATGCTATGAACCGCTATTCAATTGATCTAATCTAATCCAGTCGATAAATAGCTGAGTGGCATACGCACGAATTTCGCGACTGACTGAATCAACTATGTATTTATTGAAAAATTTCGAGCAATGGACACACAGAGAGGGAGAACATAACCATCAATCATATGGAATTTGATTAAGCAGGAAGTACAAGGTTACTAACCTTAATGTTGATAATGTTCCATAGTTTGGTTTGGCTTGATTGGCCGTTGTCTATCCGATATGGCAACAGTAATCGAAGCCGATTCTGGTCATATAGTCCAATCTGAATGGCTAGCAATGTTTGACTGAATGTTTAAATGATTTTTCATCATCATCAATATGCGCCTGGCTCATCATCATCAACATCGATGCTCGACGATAAAGATTAACGAGCACGATACGCCTGCGTCATTGTATTGTAGCCAACGTCATTGCCGTTTATCAAGGATGCGACAGTCTGACCACTGATAAAATTAATCATTCATAAGATTTCAATTCAAACAAACGTTTCGCTGGATGATCATGCTATTTGATCGATGAATGCATTCTATCCTTATTCCTTTAATATCTTCAGAGTAAAAAGCTTCCTACTGGAAATACTTACTACTGGCGGTATCTAGCGGTTGAACCAAGTTTGGACACATTAATATTGCGATGCAAATGTCGCCAACAAAATGACTAATAACTGGATCTTTGGTCACATAGTCTAACTGTCCATTAAATTTATTTCATCGATAAAAACTAGGCGTTACACATTCTTCTCGATAACTTGTTACACATGTTGCTCTTAGCATCTTGTTGGCCATGGAATGCTTGTCAATCCAGTTTGTTTAGTCACACACACACACACAAACATACAAACATACACACTGTTGTAAAGTATTTGATTATTTCTTCTTGAAAAAAATTAGGAATTTTTCCATTAAAAATAATCAAATGGAAAAAAATTGAATTCATTTTCCATATTTCATTTCTTCAAAAATAAATTTGTTTACAACAATCAGTTTTCAAGTTATGTAAATAAAATGTTTTTATGTGATTAAAAAATTTCCAAAATTTTTTCAAACTAGCTGATTTTTTTTTGAATGACCAATCAATTATTAGGGTTAGGTTAGGTTAGGTTAGGATAGCCATTATTTGATATTTTACACCAAAAATCAAAATAATAAATTTTTAATTTTTTTTTGAATGAGCAATCAATTCTTTGAGTTAGGTTAGGTTAGGATCGCCATCACAGAGAGTAAAAACGTAGGGTTACATTTTTGCTGTTTTCTGCCAGAAGGTTCCATTTTTAGGGTTTCGTCAAAAAAACCTCAATTTCTTAACCATAATGCATTAAACCACAAAATTCCTACACCCTAATGCATAACAACATGAAATTTTCACACCCAAATGCATCACACCATGAAATTTTTACACCCAAATGCAATTCACACTAAATTTTTCTGTATAAAAGCATGTGCATCATATCCTAATTGTAGTGTTTCAAAATTTAGTGGACAAATTTTAGGGTAAAGTTAATTTTAGGGTGTATTTTTTAATGTTCTCTCAATTTTGTGGTGTATTTTTTAGTGTTCACTCATTTCAGGTGTAAAATTTAGGGTTTTTTCAACTGATTTTTTCTGTGTGATTATTTAATATTTTACATCAAAAATCAAAATAATGAATTTTAATTTTTTTTTTTTTTTTTTTTTGATAAAAAAAATATTCCATTCGATTCATTTTGATCGCTACTCAACAGATGGCAACACAACGTATAAACTTGACAAAATGATGATATTAAAGAGTGAAATATACTCTCCAATGGCCGTTTTATATGTATTCGTTTAGCTCGTATGCAACAGGCGCCGCCATTATTTTTAACGGCTGTCATGTCAATGAATGAATGGCGTTTATGGCAACGCTAAAAAAATTGCCGCCTTCGTTGCTCACAAAGTGAGTCAATGTTAGCTATTTGACGAGTATTAGCCAACTGTTGATTTATTATTATTATTTTTGATTATTGTCGTTATTTACATTGTTTCGTGTTTGGGAACATATTCCTGACGTTATATCAGAGTTTTTTTTATTTGGATCTTGTCTATGCTTAATTCAAAGACGTTTGAGAAGGGTATTTCATTTTTAGTCGTTTTGACCCAAGAAAAAAAAATCATTGGTGTGAATTGGTAAGTGGTACCGCCCTGATTAGATTTGTCGATAGAGATTTGGCGTCTTATCGATAGGCCTGGTTGCATTGTGTTCTAGATGCGTTGTCTCGGTGATTTTTATATATAGTCAATGCTATGACGATTGTCGATGATGGCCATTTGGAATAGGTGGCAATCATCATTCATTTTCAACATTGCCTGACTCATTCATTCAGATTAATTATTTCCTGATAGATCGAGTAAACGCATATTCAATCGCACCTTCATCATCAATAGCCATATCAATTGCAAAGACCAGCCAAATGGATTCAGAACCAACACCACAATCAGTTCCGGAGACGGACGTGGAGCCTGTAGAAAACAATGGAACAGCTTCTCCTGAACTGCAGCCAACAGACATTCCGCAGGACGACTTATCAAACAACCAACAGGATGACATTCCAGAAATTGAACTGATTATTAAGGTAAGTTACTTATTTACATCCATTTACTGAAAGCATTCCACTTATCGATCCAAACATACAATCAGGCGTCAACGATTGACGGCCGCCGCAAAGGAGCATGTCTTTTTGGCCAAGAATATTTTATGGATCTTTATCTTTTGGCCGAACTAAAGACTATTTCGCTTAAAGTGACTACGGTCAATATGCTTAAGCCGCCACCAGACTTTCGTTCAAAATTCGATTCTACATCTCCTCCCATCCTGATCGATCGAGGCGAGCCGGTGCTCGAAAACGAAAAGATTGAACGGTATATTATGAAAAACATTCCGGGTGGCCATAACCTTTTTGTTTCTGACAAAGAAACACTTGGCGTGATTGAAAACATTTATACGGTGAGTTTAAATCATATAGAATTTGCTTAACTTAACATTGTAACCTTATCTAATCGTGAACAGAAATTCAAGGTTATGCTCACCAAGAACGATGATCATTCAAAGCAGGCATTCGAAAATCAGCTGAAGAAAATTGATCAACATCTAGCCAAACGTAGCACTCGCTACTTAACTGGCGACACCCTTTGCTGTTTCGATTGTGAACTTATGACACGGCTACAACACATCAGAGTTGCTGGTATGTTTTTTATCCATTTCATATCTTAAGCACTAACTTTAAACGCTTTTTAGGCAAATATTTTACCGGGTTCGAGATATCCGAATCGTTTATTTACCTGTGGCGATACATGTACCACATGTACAATCTGGACGCGTTCAAACAAAGCTGTCCGGCCGACCAGGACATTATCAACCATTACAAACAAAAACAAGGAGCCACTAAGCAGCTTGCTAAACACGAGGAGCTTGAAGCGCCAACTTATTCCCGATCGATACCGCAATCGGTTTTGGATGCATTCGGCGATCAATTGTGAGCCTCTCGTTTCCATCATGTCCAGTTCTAATTTGTTGCCTTCTCTATGTCTATGTCATTGTTGATCCAAGAGAGCAAAATATTTATTTTGAAAATATCCGAGAATACAATTATTATTATTAACAATTATTATGTATTATTTGTCTATTTAAAAAAGCGATTGAAAACGCAAATACATTGGACTTTGTTTGTCCATTTCATTGCTCAACATTTGTCGGCTTTTTAGTACATATTCGTAAAGATGGCCCAACGCTTTTGTTCTATCAACCTGATCGCTGTATCGCTGTAGATAATGTAATGCCATTAGAATAATTAGTAAACATGTGTGAACATTAGTTATTTTAGTCATTTACCTGTGAGAACTCTTCAAAATACTGTTCCATTTCGGCATGTGTGACCGGGTTGAGTTGACTGAGATAATTATAATAATCGCGCACCCAGCTATTATAGGTTTCAAATTCACGAGAAAACAATAACTTTGAAGATGGCGAATTTTCTCCCAGACGTGGTAACTCCAGCGAACAAGATTCCATTAGAATCTGAGCAACGACGCTTAGATTTGCATCGATTACTGCATCTTTCTCAACATCTAGTACGAATTCCGGATTCTTGATAATGTTGACCCAAAATCGTAACGGCAAACAATTTGATTTCCAGATGTGTGCCACATCTTGACTTTCACGACGATCAAATTCATCTTTTTCTGAAAGGTTGATGTTTAAGTCTGGCCTCAATCGACTCCATGGTTTTTGAGCTTGTCGATCAAAATAATCGAAAAGAAACTTAATTGGTTTGCAAACAGCAACACTTTCGTCGAGGCCATCGTTTGGCCTATCAGGCTGACGTTGAAAAATGGAAACAAATAATCGATCCACATAATTCTGGGTTATTTCTTTCGTAATTTGACGACGTGTTTGATAGATACTGGGCGAAAAGTTACTGTTATGATGGATAATTTGTAAATTATGATAACCTTCGTCCAGATGCCATTCGTGGATTCGCTGTAAGTTATTTTCCTGTTGTTGGCTGAGTAATAACTGAGCAATAGTCGAAATGACTGACTTTGTACGATCACGATTGATTATTGGTGATGAATGAGCGCTATTACTGTTCACTGTTGCAGTTACCGATTCTTTTGGCATTAAATAAAAACGTGAACCATTTTCCTGAATGTTGTAATGGGCTAATGTGTTGAGGCGTGACCATTGGATGTTTTTTTCGATACGTCTTTCGTTACTTTTGTCGGAATTTGCAAAAGTGAACAATTTATTTTGTTCGTTAATGTACTGAAGTTCAAGATCATCGACAAAATATCGACGTTGTGAATAAGGTTTGGAACTGTACAATATGTTTAATGCTTTACGTTTCACTTGGTTAATTGAATCACAGTCTAGTACTTCTACTTGGTGCCAAACCAGTTCATTTACATCTGTTGGTTTCTGATCATATATAAGTGTTTCGTAAATATGTTCGCCGTCATCATCATCATCATCATCGTCAGCCAGCGAACGCATTGAATAATCGATCAAAGCTACCTGTATAGTTAATCGTTTAAAGCCTATGTTAGTTCGTAACATACGTTCTTGGTCCATAGTGTTTCGAGCAAACGCACATTTCTCATCAACTGGTCCATTGTAACAGTGAATATTAAAAGCCTGATATAAATGATACAATGATTGACTGATTGGTTTGGTTACCAGATGATCGTAAAGAAGCAGCGAGAGCCATACGGAAACGATACGTTCCACTATGGTATCATTGCGACGGAGCAACAATTTCGGATGCTGCGATAGATTACGATCAATGAGATCATTGAGTAAGGTGATCATCACATCGGTTAGGTAGATCAACTTATGACTTAGTGCTTGGACTAGATAAGAACCGAAACGGACACGAGTTTTCATCGACGTTGTTTTATCTTTGTCCAAAGTTCTTATGAACAGCAACAAAAATTCCCGTTCTGCAATCAATTGCCCGAATCGATTGAATTTGGTTTGTGAATAGATATTATTTGTTGGTAATAATGACGGTTGTTCTAGCTGAGCGAACAGAATATTGTTCAAATAATCAATAAATCTTCGTACCGGTGCAGGAAGATTTTCATCCACAATTTTCTGAATACCCAATCGTAATTCTAAATGTGCATTACGCAATTCTTTTTCGATATCTTCGCGTTGTTTTTCCATTTCGAGATTTTCACGAAGTATCATACGTTGTTGGTGACAACTCCGATATTGACATAATCCAAGCAACAATATTAGTACGATGAGAATCGAAACGACTACAATTCCTGGGATCAATATCCTTTGGATCGAATTGGTTGGACAAGGATTCAGGCGACCAATAATTTTTGTATACATTCCGTGACCAATGTTAACGGTAACCGTTAACAGATGACATTCGGCATTATTATTTCTTTGATTTTGATTGAACATTTGTTGTGGAAGTTGACAGGTAAGCAATCTGGCCGAAGTGGTTATAAGATGACAAACGTATAATTCTCCAATAGCAATGGTCACCTGATCAGAAAATAGCCAAAGTAAATCTAAATGTTGTCCCTGCACATACACAATACAAACATAATTATTTCAATAAGTTATTCAATCGTTTTTTTTTCTTCCTTACAGTTAAAGTCAAGTGTTCTTGTTCATACAATGGATGAATCTGATCCGGTTCTTTAAATTCATCGAAAACGGGTTGCCGATATAGTCGAAATTGTTCAAAATTTCCATTTGTTGTCAATGATTTTACTGATTCAACATTGTCCATAATGAAACCATAATGATGCTGAGTGTTGTTGTTAAAAGTTGTTAGATATGTGTCAATAATCGACGGAGATTCGCAAGTTATGTAAGAGGCATTAATATGCTGACAAACGCTGCTAATATTTAATTTTATCCGATCATTCTCTTTAATAGTTACATAGAACTGTGGACTTTGAATCGAATCCAGACGTTGACCAATTACAAAGAAGCGAATACCACCGCTAGGTATACTCAGCGGATATTGGGCAATTAACTGTTCTGAATTCCAGTGTTCAACTCGTTCGATGACCGGATCAACAATAAAATAAAATGTCAAAGGTTTATCCATGTCTACAGGTACACCATCGATCTGTACGACGATTTCGACAGGTGTAGATTCAGACCGCTCAGATTCTTTAGCAACAATGTCGTTGAATGGATTGCTAAGACATTCAATCATAGAATCATTAGCAATTTGCTGAATGCAATCGGTCGATCCAAGCAATATGGTCAAAGTCGATCCCGAATCAAGATTTTCACCAAACAAACGAATACGAGTGCCACCCGATCTTGGTCCTCGATCTGGTTCAAGACGCCACAATTGTGCCCGAATAAAGCGATACATCTCGGTAGAGCGAGCTTCATATACATCTCGCAATTTGACCATGATGTGTCCGTAGTCACCCGGTTGCAGAGAGTGATTCGTAAATTGTGTTCGCAATTCGCATTCTAGTCTGGAAGCATGATCAAATTTTTTCGGTTGACATTCAACGGTTCGATCAGGTTTTGATTCTAAGCCAATCCAGATCTGGATATCGTCAATTGTTCGGCCCAGATTTTCGCCTTTAATAGTCAACGTTGTCTCTCCATTTATTGGCCCAGATTTAGGCTCGAAATCCCGGATGATTGGATTAGGACAGAGTTCAGCGCTAGATTGATTCAGCCATCTGATAATTCCATTTTTTGTTTGTGAATCCATTCGACAATGTTGACTGACTTCACATGAAGAACTGATCACTTTTGACTGATCACGCATACACCAGCCACAAGCGTATTGTTCAGTAAGCGTTAAACATTGGCCACAATTCTCGGCCATACGTTTACAATCATAAAGCTGAATGTTCATATTGTTTGGATTGTCCAAAATATAGTCATTGATTGACACTTGAAGATTCACACGATCGACTTGCTGTTCCAGTTTTGCTGGAATGTTGAGTACAATCGGTTCACAAAGGATTGATTTCTGTGTGGCGTTATAATGACCGATAACAATAAGCTGTTCGCTGTTTGTTGTTTGAAATCTACATTCAATACGATCATCGTGATGAACATCATAGTTCAAAACTTTCATTTGTATCTTAGATTCTAGTTTTTCGTGTACAGTAAGCAAATGTGATTTGTTGTTGAATAGAAGAAATCGTGGACATAAATTTGCTATATGTTCACGTTCGGCAGTTGTTTTAGTTCGAACCATTAGTTTGCGATCCATTCGACAACTGGCTTCACTGTATTTACAGTTATGTTCAGATATACACCAGATACAGTTGCCATTCGAGCCCTGACGAACGCATTGATTGCATGTCCGATAGGAGCTACAATCCCAGAATCGAAATTCAATACCTGAACTTAATTCGGTCAAAGTTTGAGTCGATGGATTTTGTGTGAAATGTGTATCGAAATTCATGGCCACAACAAGCCAAGAACGTAGATAATGTTCAGATCTAATTGAGGGTAGTTGTTCAGGTTCTGGAGACGGACATTTAATCTGCGTGTTCATTTGGCCTTGTTGGATTCGTTTGGCTACCGTTATTGCGGAATGTTGTTTGTCAGTGATAATGTGTGTCTTGCCTGTAGATGTGCGAAAAAAATTGAACACGCAATACAGTGGTCTTGGTTGTTGCGATTCTTGATCGATTGCGATACTGGGTTCTCTAAAGTTTTTCATAAACAGGCGAATTGTTTTACGTGTATTAATCGCTATGCTTGATGGCTCTATAGTTGCTATACGTGGGCAATGAACATTTTGACTATGTTCATTGAATAAATAAATCCAATCGGATTGGTTAGGACAGGATTTCCTCATTGTACATCTAGCAAAATAGTGCAGAAGTTAGACAAATTTAGACAAATTAGACCAACTTACTGGTTGGTAGAGAGACACCATCCACAATGAGGATCAACTGAAACGCTGCACTGACTGCAGCTGCTATGTTTCGAGCATTGTTGAACGTCCAATTTGAATACATTGTTTTTGGTCATTACAATTAGATGATGGCCATCCATCAATTCCATATCAGCAAGAATGGGCATTTGATCATGCAGTTGATTTAATGCGACCAAATCAATATGATTGTATTGAATTGCCTTGAATTTTGATTGTTGATCATGATGTTTTTGTCCTTTTGAATGATCAGGAAGCAGAACGTAAAGTAGTAAAACGCTGTTATTGGTTCCCAACGTCAAGATTCCAGTCTGATGTTCCAGATCAATCCAGGATGCAGTAACAGCTGTCAAACGCTGATTTTCGGTATCGATTAATGATGTAGATATGATTGGATCTTCCGTATCCAAATGTTGGTTGACATCGGATCCGCATATCCAATCTTCTTGTGTCATATTGGTACGTTGACAAGGCGGAAAAGAAGAATGTATATAACGTATGTTTTGAAATCCTTGACCGTCGAAACATTTGGCAATGTTAGCATTGATCTGAGCCTGTAAAGCCCACATCTGATACATGCATACAGCATGATGATCGAATATTACTATCAAATGTTCGAACGATTGCCTTTCAACTTGTGATGGTGACTTTAAATGAAAAGCACGTCTAGCTCTACTGACCGTTACGTGCGAATTGCAATGAAGAGGCACTTCCGTATACGAATAATAGCGATCATCTTTCTGGCATATGCGAACTACAGAGAATACAAGACAGGATTGGCGAATGAAAATTGAAAATTAGATTCCACATACCTACCTAGTTTAGTGATGAAAGCCTGATGCTTGTTTTGTTGGTTACGCTTACCCATACCAATCGATTCGACCACTACAAAAAAAGTAAAACCTTCGGATTGAAATGCGTATATATATTCAAGGTAGAAATGACCAGCAATAGCATTGTTGAGATAGAGTCTAGTACCGGACGATATATCCGCATAGACTAGTTGCATTAGATCTATTAATTCAATGTAAACAACAATGATATTTAAAATAAAATTACAGATGATCAATGAATAATTAGACTCACTTTCGATTTGTAAGCTCCGTGTTGCTATAATTTCACTACGAGAATTTTCATTTGAGGTGCTGGCCACATACAACGCTGTGTTTGATATGTTAGCCGATGATGATATTGCTGGACCAGGTCCGATCAACAGAACAGTTGAACCATCTGGTTGATCACTTATTACTGATTCTTTTGGTTCGTGAAGAATTTGGCTAATATTATTTAAATCATGGATAGAACATTGGCCATGATTGTTAGTACCGCAGGCAATAAGCCAACCGCGTTGTTCATCACAGATTAACGCCTTACAATGATAAGGTTTTGGAGAACCAACGGCCATGGATCGATTATGTAACAAAGCAAACGTTTGATAATCGAGTTGTAAAAGCCAGTCCGTCGCTCCTATCACCAACGAACGAGATTCAACTGCAGAGTTCGGTTGAACCAAAACGAAACGTTTGAATCGAATTAATTGCGGATTTGGACTGACAAATCGAGCCAGAACAATTCCGGTCGATTTTTCTGTTCGATGATTCATGGTAGGAATTGCTAACGCTAAACTGGTGACAAAAACCGCAATTAGTTGAGTCGTTTTTACGCCCATGTTTTGGGCAAACGAATCATGAATTTAACACGCAAATTGTACAAAGAATAAATATGATGAATTAAATTAGATTGCTAAGATGAGACGCAATGAAAAGGATTGATTGATGTGTGGAATCACAGACAGTGCCTTTTACTCCACCAACAGGTAGCTTCTTCGTATACGATAGATGTTGATATTAAGCAACAAACAATAGTAGTTAACAAATCGATTGCCAAGACAACCAGATTATATTTAAGGCGATAAGCATATTCAACACATTTCTCAAGACAAGTGATCCAATTTCTTATTGCACCGGTGATTGGATCACTAGTTTAGAACAGAATGCACGCATTCATATAATAAGACAGCCATCGATTAGGTTGTGAATCATCATCATCATGCATTGTGCAACTTTGTGCATCAAAAAACAGCGAAAATTGTTTTGTTTTGTTATTATGGCCAACAACACCAAATTTGTCAATAACTTTAGCCATCATTGCAATCTGAAATCGATCGAATAACAGCGATCAAATCAAATCAAATCAAAACGATTGGGTAAATCTCAATCGAGATCTACCAATTTTTATATTATAAGCATCTATATCTTTCATTGCTTCTGCCTCAATTAAAAGAAAAGTTAGAAGCGTACGGAGCTGATATAGCTGTCGAAATAATTAGGCCATATCTAAACTGATTAGATAAATAATATTTTTAAAAATATTTAATTTTTACAACTACAATGCATCATTTTTTTTAATATTAAAAAAAGATTTTTTCAAATAATATGATTTGAATCGATATCCACAGATGGCATTGATAGCCATGTACTGGTTTCTGGTTCCATGTCAGCAGTCAACGAATGTCGGAATTGGTTTTAAAACAACAACAAATTCAATTAAGGTGTATATACTCGTGCTTTCAGGCTGTTTAATGAAATTATTATTATTATTATTATTATTAATTAGGTTTTGAATGAATTCCTATTCCAGAATGGAATGTAGATTGATGGCTCGATGCCTAGAAGGCATATTAACACACACACACACCACACACATCTTATTGTTTCGTATTCGTTATTCAAATAATCTTGCTGCTTTATCACACTATGTGAAATATCATAGGCTGCTATTTTTGCTTAAAAGCCCCGTTATGTTCGTCTGTTGTATAATGATGTGATGCGCATCATCATCATTCACTATCTTGAAATTGAATCGGTTGGAATTGGATACGATGAAACTATTCAGTCAGTCAGTTTCGATCGCTTGATCATAATGGTTGATCGGTTCGTCCCGACTAGACACGACGACAGCAACAAGACATTGATTTAGATTCACAAACTGGCCAATGGTAAGAGACATGTGTTGACAACATCCATTTATCGGTAAGTTATTATTATTCTTATTCTATTGGCCAGTCAGCAGTAGCCGGCAATTTGATCCCATCATCATCATCATCATCATTGTTAATGATGGATGCTATGACATAATTGCTTGTTCCATATGTAATTGGCTTGTTATCCCGACGTTGTCGTCATTTGGCCTGTCAATCTATTATTATTATGGCTTGTGTGTAGCAGATGTGTATGTTGTTGCCTGAACGAATTAATACTGTGTGTGTGTGTTTTGTAAGAGATGGTCACATCTTGACAATTTACATAATAATGGCAGCCATATGTGAGCTGGTTGAATGCAATAACCATGCATGCGACAGTGATTTACATGTCACTATTGTTACTTTATTGTTAAAATTTTGGCCATTTTGGTTATATCAATTGTTTCACACAGCTGCCGCCGATTGAAATTTTGAAATGAGAACCCAGTTGTCGTCACCATTATTGGACTACCTGAATGCTATAAAGTCTTTTTGATAAAACAAATAATGATGGGTCGAATCGAATCCGAATCAAATAGAATCGGATTTAAATTATAGCCTTTGTGTGTGTTCCTCTGGGACAACTGATTATCAATGGTGCCATCACCATTGACATAACTGGCAATTACTGATTGCTGATGCCTATGACATGGCAAACTGCTTCTTCATCACCTGACCCAGCAATCATTATTTTCTCAAAGCTAGCCAATCAGTAACATTGGTCATTGGGCGTATATTACCAGCATCGATAGCAGCAGCCAACCAAATTAGATTTGTGTTCCGTTTGGCCGTAATCGGAGCCTAAAAAAAGACCTGCACGGCTTGAAGAACGTGACAAGAATGCAAGACGTTCATTGGCGAAAAAAATATATTTATTCTCTTGAGATGAAACAAAAAAAAAAGCTTGAATGATCCCTACACGAACCAACCTTATGGATCGATCACGATGGACATATATGGTATTTACGAAAATATAACTAGCATTCATTAGCAAGAATCGATGGCCAATCGATCGATTCATCGGCCCGTCATCACCGAAAAAAATTCTCAAACTAATCCCAGCATTAATATGCCTTTGTCTTTGTTTGTCTGTGTTCTATGACAATGGTTGGTTGATGGCAATCTGGCAATTAACTAGCAGCAGTTAGTTTGGCGGTGGGTTTGATCCAAACAAAGATGCCAAAATCGAGATTCGATCTGATCTGATATGGGCCCGTTCTGATCTGATCTGATCTGGGCCAACATCAGTTTCATTAGGGCATTTCATTTTTTTCAATTTAATTCGATTATTATTGCTTTCAATGAACAAATCAGCTAACTATTTGGCCTGGCCATCAAATTGAATTTTTTTTTGCCGTAACGTTAGCAAGAATAAGTTTATTCTATGTCAGAATATGTGTGTTGTGTGTGTGTGTGTGTGGAAAAAAAACAAAGCAAGCATTCGGCCTGAGATAATGCTAAAGTTTTTATTTTCGCGCTTCCTTCGCGATTCGATATGTGATCGCGATCACATCGAGTGATTGAATGACAATTTTGTATGTGAACAACTATAGTGTGATTAGCAATAAAAAGTTGGCTACCGCCTGTCATCGTGCAACTTTGAACATTTTCTGTCTGTCTAATCCATATAAACTTTCGGGCTAATGAAGCCGTTACTTTCATCAATAATGAGTTGTTTAATCCTCATTACACCGAATGACAGTTTGCTTGACACCTATTTTTCGTATGTCTTTTTTTGTCATAGATAACGCTAGAAATGAATCATTCAATCGCTATAACAACTAACCACCGGCAACAAAGTCAAAGATCCATATACTTTCCAACCTTGTTGGTCGCTAGATGGACAACTATGCAACATTATGCGACTATTCTTTGTGCTTTAGCTTTGATGGTTTCGCTTAATCTGTCACTGTTAATTTGGTTATTAAGTCAATTGAATTTTGCAATCGAAAACGATAGTCATTTATCCAGTAAAGCATCCAATGATCATTTGCATCTTATCGGTAGCGTCAAAATAAATGGTCAATTAGCCGTACAAAATCTGGCCTCTCCCAAGGTTTGTATTGATTTATTTTCTGACATATCACAACCACCTCTATCCCTATCATTTCTTGTTTTACCATTTTTTTGTGCAGGATTTATCTGAATTGCGTATTCAAACTGATGATTTAGTTTTGCGTCCTCATCATTGGTCATCGTCGATAGTTTCATTTATGCAGCTAAATGCCGATTCAATGCAAGCCAACGTCGGTGATATGATAGCTGTTCGATCCAGTCATAACGATCGTTTATTGCTACTCATCGATCGTCAAACACCGGATTCATCTAAACTGTTTGTCGATCAAGTTGTTATTAGGTCGACACCAACTTTACAAAATCGAGCCCTTTCGTTTAAAAATGGCTCAGCTCAAGTATTGCAGCTACAATCAGTTGATCATTCGACCATGTCAAGTTTGACGCTTACTTCTTATACAAACCGAATTCGTTTACGTGGAACACGTCATCTTAGAATAAACTCTTCGAAACAATCAATCCAGATAGATAGTCGTAAGCAAGCCCTTTCTTTACACAGTGGACATGGTCGTATTATGATCAATACAAAATGGATTCATCTAGAACCACAATCTATACGAACCGTTGTAGCAACCAAATTAGGTCGTACCTATCTAACTGTCGGACAATTATGTTTATGCGCTAATAATGGCCGTTTGTTTATGGCTCCAGCCGAACAACAGAATTATCCACATCCACATTCACATCAGCAACACAGTTGGATGGGCCATCTATATCATCAACAAGAACAACAACGATGCCAACGATTAGCATCCACACATTGTTGGACATCATCATGGACGCAATCAACTTAAAATTTTCCAACCTAAAGTTTTTTCACGAGCCCAGTGTGTAAAGCGATAATGGGACAATACAATAAGATACAATAGTACTGTAATCATATTAGAATGGCTGCAAATGACTTTGATTGTGTAATAAGATTAACTATATTATTAAATTATATCAACATTATTACCAACTAAAAACAAACTTTGCCGATAAGCTTGCTTTGCTTTGCTTCAAAATGCATTCACATTGCTCTGTTAATATCCAGGTTGTTTATGTGTGTGTGTGTGTGTGTGTGTTGTTGTGTGTTATGTTTTATCTGGTTCGGAAATATTTGGATGCCGTTGTGCCGGGCTCTTATCAGCCAGGATTCATGATCATTTTATTAGGATGATAATGATGATGACAGTGTTAGCGTAGTCTTTCTTAATGAGCTTTATCAAAACTGATAATGACATCATCTTTGTTGTTGGACTGGGCATACTAGAACTAACGATAATAGTTTGTTCGGAAGCAAACAAAACATAATGAATATTCCTAGCATAGCGGCCCTAATGTTTATGGCAATTAACAAGACGGCGGCAAACAGGCAAGCTCATAATAGGTTTCATTACATTCATGATTTTATGGTAAAAAAAACATTTCTCATTAATAATGTTATATCTCAATATCCATATCCAAGACGAAGAAAGCAAAGAGCCAGAGATCTGATTGCAAAGTTTCAAGTGCCCTCTTAAACATATTGCCAGGTGAATTGTATATGACTTTCGTTATTCGTTAACACCGATCAATCGATTCAATCAATAGATCGACTTGACGGCTCGTTCAAGCGAACCGTGATTGATGATGGATGAAGCCTTTTTTTGGCGTCGTTGCGATTGGCCATTACGATTCATGACTCTGATTCTGAGGTCATTCGATTCTTTGGTATTTCGAAATGTATTTTCAGATTTATTGCATGTTTGCGTGACCAGAATGACAATCGATTTCTATATTTTCTCTTTCTATGGTCGATTTTTCATTCATTCATATTGTCGAAGGTGTCGGTCGCGGGCAAACACACATTGATTATATAAAGGGTTTCCCCATTGTCAACTAAAAAAAAAAATGTAATTGGAACAAACGCCAAACACACATAGGAAGAGCATCAATTATGATGAATGGCCAAAACAACATCAAACACAACCAACCAACACAGGACATACAGGATGGCCCGCTGTTAGAATAAATTAAAATTTTAAATTAAACTGGGCTCCTGTTTCTCAATCTCAATTCGCCCGCGTATAGTTTTTCCAATATAATATGCGTATGTGTGGCGTTGACTTCTGTTAGAAAATTGGTTAGGATTGCAAATGAGAAAGCAGAGTTGCTTTTTATGTTTAAGCACAAAATATGTGAATGAATGAATGAATGAATGATGGGTTCTGGTTTCCGTTTCACCATGATGATGGTGGTTTGGCTTTATTGTTTTGTTTCGTTTTTCGTTTTTTCACACATAGCAAAAAAATGAAGTTTGTCTTTATGATGTGTTTGTGTGATTCAATGGGAAATTCAATGAAAAATTCAATGCCCTATCAATTCATATATTCAGTGTCTGTTTGTGTGTCAAGTGTTGTGCATCATCATACGTTACACGTATTATTATTATTATTGATGATGATGGTGGCTATTGTCACAATATCATCATGATTTCCGGTAGGGTACTCGTGTAACGTATGTCGCAAAGGTCTATTTAAAATAATAATAAAAAATTATATTAGAATGGCTAGAAGGCACGTTGTAATCATTATCATCATGTTAGGTGTGTGTGTGTGTTTGTTGTATTTAACTTTTTGAAAACCTCAACAGTATCAATGACTCTGGCGTCGTACTTGTAATTGTAATTCTTCGACTTGTCGGCTAAGCTGCAAGTTTTGTTTTTGAAGTCGTTCCATTTGTTCACGCAGTCGACGATTTTCATCTCGTAGGCATTCGATTAATTTGGCCGAACATAAAGCTGATGGTTGTTCTACAGCGGTAGTGATGCTGGTAGTTGCGGCGATTGTTTCAATTGAATTTCGTTGATGTGAATCGATTTTTGGCTGAAGTTTTTGTGTAGGTTTAAGCTGCTGCTGCTGCTGCTGTTTCTGTTTAAGTTGTAATTTCTGTTCGACGGCAAGCTTGTTGATTTTATTTAGATGAACAAATTCTTCTTGTAAAATCTGATATTCCAATCGATATTGTTCTAGTCGTGAATTCATCGTATAAATAGACTGTGGATTGCTGCTGCTGTTAATCACTGGTAAACATCGTTCAAAAAATCGAGCCATATCATCTGCGCTTAAATCAAGCATAACAACTCGTAGTAAATGCATAATCCGCTCTAAGTCATCAATCGGTGTGCTGAGAATTTCGTCTCTAATACGATCGATAAGATGATAGAAAACCCGGAATATAGCTTCCATGCCATAGAACATGAGCAAATCTGAACAAAAACAAACAAAGTAATAACAAGTAAATTAACAAAATTGGTTGATGTCGAGCGGTAACCAAATACAAACCGAATATTCGTGCTACGAATCCGATCGGTAATTGCGAGGCAAATACAGTAAGAAAGGAAGGAGCCGCATATAATGTAGGTGAAATGTCCATTCTATCCAGATGATCATAAAGCGGGCGATTTAGATCGTAAAGCAAACGATTCAATTGATACATTTGCATCTGTAACATGAAAAATAGACAAGATCAAAATTGTTCTATTGGAATTTCATTTCATTAAAAAGTAATAAATTAGTCTTTACCTGCAAAGCATCCATCGATGGTTTGTATTGTTCTCGAAGACCACATTCATATAAAACATAGCAAAGTTGATCAAAGGCATCATCTTCGTTCATCTACACACCAAATAATTAAGACATGATATTGAAAGTAAAATGTATGCAACACACTTACATGTAAAAGCAATATACCGGCAACAAAACTCAAACCTTGACAATATTCCACTTCTTTGTCGAGCAACGAATATGCTTTGAGCAGATTGTAAAGAGCCAATTGGCCAGGTCCCATTGGTTCGGCAAAATATGGAACTGTCGGAAACGTACGACCAAGATCGACAAATATTGCATGTTGATGAATGGCCAATTGTTTGAGCAAATTACGATAGCTTGGTCTAGTAGTACGTGGCGTAGATAAGGCATCACATTGTCCATGTTGACGATATCGACGATATTTGGCAAGAAATTTCCAAACAGTTGATCGAATCTCTTTGGGTACACCCATACGAAGTGCGTCAACAATTGATCGTTCATAATGGCTCCACCAATGTAAATTCTGTGCGTCGGTCTGGATCGAACGTTCGTTTTCGGTAACACTTGATTGTGGTTGTTGTTGCGGCTGTCCCGGGTTATTATGACAATAATTCTCAAACATCTCTATCAATTTGCGCCATTGTAATATGGCCATATCTAGTTGTGATTGAGTTTCGATGGCAGGAATATCCGCGTACAATTGACTAACGCGATCTATAAGCGAACAGGATCCGGTATTACTGACGGCTAAAAAATTAGATAAAAAAATGGTTAATGCGGTAAATGATTCCGCTTTGCCTTACATTGCTGATTGCTGTTTGTTTCGACTTTTACGGAAGTTGTTGGATGTGGTTTCTGTGGTTCGTCTGCATTTGATTCCTGTAAATGTGATTTAGCTTGTGAATGATTAGACTGAACGTCATTTGTTGCTGCCTGCTGCTTTTGCTTTCGAACATTTTCATGTTTAAGAAGTTGAAGCTGCTTGCGGATTGCAAATTGCCATAGTTGTCGTGCCTTGCACGAACGATTATTTTCATCTTTTAGTGGCTGTTGCGGCTGCGAGTCTAATTGGTGAAGTGATGGAGAGCTAAGGACAACTGGAACGCTAGTAGTGGGCACATTCAATAATAGATCATCCCGATTGTTGATTAAGTTTTCGATGTCGGCATTAGATTTGTATTGATTCAGCGATTTTCGAATGCGACGAAATAGCCGATGACGCATCTGAATTGTAGATGAAGCATCTGCAACACCAGCATGTGTGTTTTCATCATTGGGCACCTGGAAACCTTCCTGATCATGATACGAATGTCGTCGCTGATTATCTTCGAATACTGGGTCATCGTGGTCTTCGTCTTGCGATTCGTCGTTAACTTCGTTCTCGGTTTCAGTCGCAAGCAATTTAGGATCAAGTAATTGATTAAGATTTTGTCGCAATTCTTCCATACTAGAAAACTGTGCAGATGACATAGCATTGCCACTCGAAGTCTTTATATAGATATCCATTAAAGGTTGATTACGTTGAGGTGTGCTAGATCGGGATCCGATTGCCGTTGGTGGCGAATGCTTCTGAATTATATTGTCGTCATCTTCGTCAATCGATCCGCTTTTACGAAGAGGATTCCGATGTGTGTCAAATGTCGGTTCGGATTCGTCATCTCGGCCGCAGTCGGCTACCGTGTTACGGCGTTGAAATGATTGCGGGTTGTTATTGCGATTGACAACTGGACTTTCATGGCGTGCTACCGAATTAGAAGCCTGATGATGATGATCAGTATTTGTCGATTGTTCAGGAGCTAGCATCGAGGCGAATAAAGAGCCACCACCAAATAAGGTGGGCGAATTAAGGTTCATCATCGACGACGAAGGTGAACTGGTTGCAGAATTGTTCTGTAGATTCTCATTAGATTGTGATTGTCGATTTCGCTATGTATGTATGCAAAACGCATCAATATTAATCGAATGGCAAATAAAAAAATAAACTATTTACCTTGCGAAATGCATCGAACGTATTGCTGATTGAACTGCGAGCCATCATTCGAAGACCTTCGAGCCGATTCAAACTGAGAGTAGATTTCTGTTGCTGATATTGACGCAAAACCGGATCATATTGTTCGATTTGTTCATAAAGACTGATCAGATCCATACGACATTTGCCATCACGTATTTCGTGATATCGTTGCATTCGTTCGACTCGTGCTTTGAGCATAATAATCAACAAGTCAACACGTTGTTCTAGTCGATCTAGCTGTAGGTATTCAAATACGGTATGATATTCGCGCCAACGACGTTCCGAAGAGCCATGTCGTATTCGATGTAAAAGCATGGCAAAAATTTTAACATCATCAAGACCATATATATCAAGGCAAAGCTGATGGAACCAGTTCATCGGACAGTTATTGCAATACTGGGTATTGTTGGTAGAGGTGTTGGTTTTAAGAGTCTGTGCCGATGGAGCAGAAAGATTTTCCTGTGATCCTGCAGCTGATGAAGGCGAATTATCTTTGCTACCGGCAGCATTTGCTGTTGCTCTAGCAGCAGTAGCCTGCTGATGACGATAAGCATTGTTGAAAGATTGACGCAATGAACATAAAAGATCATTGGATATTGATTCGGATTGGCACTGGAATATATGCAGCACATAATTCTCGGCAGTAGATGTTGCGGTTGTCTTGGTGTCTTGATTAGTTGATGAACCTTTTTGACAAACAGTAGCTGTGGTCGGCTGCTGCGACATTGATGTAAAGTCCAAACCGGATGGTTGCGGTGGCACGTACGGTTCACGTACAATGACGCCAAAGTGGTCAGCATGTTTGGAACCTTGAGAACAATGAGAAATGTTGGCAAATACCTTAGAATAGACTTGTCGATGATTCTCGGTTGAAATCAGACAGATGTCCATTGTGCCAATGATGAATAACATAGTTTTGTTGGGTTCCTGTTTAGCTCCGTTCGTATCCGGCTGCCAAGATTTGGATTCGGTGGGTTCTGATAATGAAGGCGGCGGCGGCTGCGGTGGGGGTGGTGGTGATTGACATCCTGGTTCGTTTGATTCGTTAGATTCTTCAATGACTTGTACGAGAAAACGATTTTTGCGATATTGACGACGTGCACAGCCTGTAGTTGTAATTACCGTTGGTTTATTGCTGGTTGCGGTAGTAGTGGTGGTGGTGGTAGCAGCGGTCGATTCGGTGGTTGTAGATCGATCAGATGCAAGTGTAGAATCTGAATCGGAAGGATAATCACGTAAGATTTCTCGATGAAGCTTGTCGGCTGCCCGATCAATCATAGAGGGCGTTGATCGTTTTTGGGTAATGAGCACCGAGCCAATATGGCGCACTTCAAAACAATTGTTGTTTATGTTAAGTTGTTGGTTGTTCAGATCGAATAACGGATTGTAAGTACTGTTCGGATCTTTCGAGTCGTTCGCTGATTTTGTTCCTTTGGTTGACGAATCTATCGAAGATTGTAGTTTACATCGTAATTCGTTAAATTTCATGCAAATTTCGGATTGCTAAATTGAAAATAATGCTGTTAATTGCGCGAATACACAAACACATCTAATCCAAAATAATATATTACCTGAACCTGATTTGCCGCCTGAAACAGATAAATACTGGGTACGGCGTTAACAACGTCTTCATCTGATTTGTGAACATAGTAGAAAAGCGATGGCTGTCGATAGTATTTGCCTAGCAAAAATATGCGGCTAAACTTGTGACGCAATAGACATTGACCATCGACTGGATTGCACATCTGAAACATGTATGAATTGCCTTCAGATGTAGTTGCAACTATCATGTCCATGCGGACAAGCAATCCGTTGTTGATCTGGTTCCCATCCTGGTTTAACTGTTGTTTGAGACGTCGAAAACCTTCAGCTCGTTCGTTGTCGTTTTCTTTCATTAGGCAATTAGTGATACAAGCAGAAAGATCCATACCAACACATTTTGATTGATAGAGCAAATCGGTCAAGATCCAATTTAACATAGGATAAGTATGTCGCCGTCGTAATGCGATCGATCCGATAAAACGGACATTGTATGATGCAATCACAGAACGCCGATATTCAGCCATATCTGTCATCTCAATTATTTGAGCTTTATCGGTTACATGACCCGAAGATGCAGGCGAAGATACGGATGGACCGACGGGAACTTTAGCTGTCGTTGCGCTTGCAGCCATTGACCCGGATGATGAAGATGGTGACAACGAAGGCGATGTGGTCGATGAACCTGGTGATGACGAAGTAAGGCCTAGCTGTGTCAGCAGATTCGACACATTGGTTCTAGCCATCTGGCTACTGAAATCACCTGACAAACGCTTCGTTTTCATGGGCCCAATTTGACCCTGATCAAATACTTAGATTGGCACTACACAAAAAAGTTTTTTTTTCGGCTGGCTCAGTAATAATATTATTGACTGGTTCGGATGCTGTAGCAAGCAAGCAATTGTGCAGCAGGCAAATTCGCGAGCAGTATACACTCCCTTGTGCTTGTGTCAAACTTGGCTACTGCTCATCACAATCAACCGAAACATCATCACAACGACCAGGCTCGTCGTTGTCATGAATATTTGATGTATATATGGATACAGAATTCTCTATTCGAATCACTAGCCAGCATGAAAAATGAACGCATACGCAGTCTAATACACGTGAAATACGAGTTATTTAGTTATATATAGAAGCACTATGTAATCTCTTCCTTTATATATTCCTAAAGCTGATGATGTTTGGTTACAAGCCAATTCGATGCGTCACACACACACACATCGGGCTCGATCTAACTGACGTAAAGATACTCCAAAACCAATCCTACTCGATTTGAATTGATCAGCCATAAAGCACTTTAACACACACGCCGTACATCAAGTTTTCTCTTTTTCTCTCACATGAACATGAACAGGTTGAGAAAGATGATCATCGTCAAGCTCATTAAAGCATAATATTTCATTGATCCAACAGGTTTGAGAAATTCAATTTTAATAGTATACAATCAACATTAATTAAACTACAAGATAATACATTCATTATTATAATTGAAACAAACACCAAAAGCTAAGCAAATGAATCGTAGTCATAGAGAAACCGTTCACGATATGCCCATTTAATGTGACGTGAATTTAGTCGTATTCTACGGCCAATTGGTTCCAGATCATTATAACATCGGTCGAATACACGATCTACCACTTGTACAGCTTGTTCAATAGGCATTCCTTTTCGTACGGCCAAAATCGATGATAATGCTTTTGCCTTTACACATTCTCGATGCGATCCGGCTACTTTATTAAATCCGGTGGTTCCAGTAAAAAATGAACTGGTCATCGAACAATGAACGAGATTGGCAGCACGGATCTAATTGGAAAAGCTTTTATTTGTCATAAGCGGTCGATTGTAGAAATGAACCTACCTCCGAACAAGCGATATGATCTAAATTATTAAAGTCAAGTTTAGCGCGGCAATAATCAAACATATGAATCAATTCATGTCCAATGACGGCTGCAGTCATTTCTTTTGTGTAGACACGATTGTGACATACAACAATCTGATTACGAGTAGTATCGTAACCGCCGGTTACTTGGTCGCCACAATTTTCACAACAAATATGACGATTCATATCGATTTCACTGTAATAATAAACAGAATAAACATCATTTAACTATTTCAAAATGGAAAATAAATACCATCCTTTGGACCGTAATGCCGATACTAATAGCTTCACCAGAGGACCTAGAGTAGATAGAAACGAATTATCAATCATTTAAACATCAATTATGGTAACTCATCTGATAACTCACTTTCGCTCAATGCTTTTTCAACCTTGTAACGACATCGTATTCGAACGAAATTCTCGGCTGCATTTTTCTTACCGCTTACAATGTCATACCAAGAACTCGACTGTTCTTCATCTGTTGAACCTGATTTTCGTTTACGATCAGGATAAAGTTGGTCAGAAATATCTTCATAGTCGTTTTTCTTTTCAGATGGGGCCATTTTATTTTCACATTTCTCACTATCGCCATGCATGTGAACATGTGATTCATTGGCTTCATGTTCATAGGATGAAAGTTTTAAAACAATTTACAAACACACAGTGCAATGTGCTACAGCGTCATCTAGCTGTCATCCAAAAAAAAATATCCATCAAAATTGAAACAGGATTTATTCAATTATATATCGAAGGACTAATCAATTTGAAGCTACACCAATCTACGTGTAATTTGCGTTCCCGGAAAACATATTCTACAGTGGTTGCTTTGTAATGTTTAGGACATGGATTACGGTTTTTGATTTGACGAACTTCGCTTTCCAATCGATATAATTGTTCGGTGAAATTATGACTATTCCCTATTCGAACGACCACACTATGATATGAAAATAAAAACTTAAACAATAAAATTAGTCGCATTTACATAGTTATACAATACCATTCTTTTTCGTTAGGGTCAAGAGGAAATCTTCCACCAACGTCGATCGGCCGGGCCACTTGTGTTATGTATACTGAATCAGCAGCACTGTTATTACTATTCTGCCACAAGCGATTGGCGAAAATGTCCTGAACAGTAATCATCATGCCGCCATTGAAAAAATCTTCAATGTCCATGTCAAAAAATTTCATCTGTAAACATGATGGATAAATAGTAATATTTCATTAGTTATATTTCATTTACCTCCACTTGGAACTTGAAGATCTCTGCAGACCAGCAAAAAAAATCAGCAATTTAATTTGAAAATTGATCAAAGTAATAATTGAGTTACCGTTTCGGTTGAGTATACGATATTTTAATCGATAACTAGTCGTGTTAAAGGTGACACGATTCAATATAACTAGATCGATGTCAATGTCACCATCGTCATTTTGTGGTGGGCTACCATATATGAAACCAACAGGTGAATCTGATCGACGAAAATAGCGCATCCAATAAAGTAGATCTGCGTGACCACTCAACGAAGGCATTATCTCCAATTGAGTAACTGGTACGCCTCCAAATGACCATCCTGTTCGATTAAGCCACAATGGAGTATAGAATGCTTCAGTTGTATACAGTATTTGAGGATCAACATCTGGATCTATCACGGATTTTAATTTATAATCAATGTATCATACTCATCATCAGTCTATCTACCCGAGCAAATGATAATTGTTAAAGTCGCTAATACGACGATCAACGATTTTCCCAAAATCATTGCATCCGTTCATACATTTATACCCGACGATTATCCATTAAGACTTTTTCAACACAATCAACACGACAAACTAAATTCGACCCTGTACAGTGGAAATAGTGGTTACTGAGCTCATTTTTTCAAAAAAAAACATGAAATGAATTTAATCAAACATTTCAAATTCTGATTGATCATGGCAGGCAGTTTACAGCAATTGAATGAATGGACAAATGATCATTTGAAAGAGGTGAGCAACCCATGTTCATTTTCATTACAAAGAATTTACTAAAAAGACGATGTTTTTTTTGTCAGTTTTTCCACCGAATTCTTGATGTTTGTTGTGACATGTATACGGTTGATCTACAACAATCCAAGCAATGTTACCTTGATGACCAATTCCACAGTCGATTTCCTATAGAAAAAAATACTTTGGTAATTCTCAGCGAACATTTGATACGATTTTTTCTGACGAACGTTTGCCAAAATAATTTACTCATTTTCACCAAGAAAGAAGTGAGTTTCGTATCATGATCACACACAAAATCACAAACTTATGTCTTTTTTTGTCCAGGAATGCAACGAAAATGTGATAAAGATTGCCAATGATTGTTTACGAATTAGAAGATTGCAACTATTCAAAGCGATCGCTTTCAGAGCGGCAAGCGCACGTCATGGTTATCTGGACAATTACGATTGGTCACTTATGCACGTTATCTGCAACGAGCGAATGTTGAGCATGCGAAAATTTTTAGTCAAATTGACTCTGGTCATCGTTGGTTCCGATCAACAACGTCGAACCATCTCTATTGAAATGAACAAACTGGAATTAAGTTCGTTCATACGAACATTACAACAGGCAGAAAAAGATCTACGAGATCATTTGATAAGTAAAGACGTGGCCAATTCAATAGTCGTCGCCTAAGTGATGCAAGCACTTATGCTGAAATACACTTGACTTTTAATTATTTTATTTTGTTGATAATCGATGTAATCGATCCAAGCAATATCCTGATTGAATTTGATAATAAATTTGTCGATTAAAAAACAAAAAGATTTGATCCGATTTGTTATAAATATAACGGTTCTAGCTCAAAATTTTTTATGCGTTTTTAGTTTTTTCTCTTTTTTTTACAAATAAAAATGACTCGATTGTCTTTTACAGTGTTGATATTTCTTGCCGCTTATTTTGGTTCAAATATTCGGCCGAATGTAGCCACTTTAGATCCCAAAACTGTTTGTTATTATGAATCTTGGGTACATTGGCGTCAAGGTGATGGCAAAATGGATCCCGAAGATATAGGTTTGTATATGCGATTTATTCTGAACTGAACTGAATGACGACGATTTGCCTTTTTCCAGATACATCGTTGTGTTCGCACATTGTCTACTCTTATTTCGGTATAGATGCTTCAAGTCATGAGATTAAACTATTGGATCAATATCTTATGATAACATTACGTAAGTCTTTAGGTTTTTTTTGTTTTGTTAATCGGATGTTGATTTTTATTTTACTTTACGTGTATCGACACATACACACATGCTGCACACAGATGACATGGAACATTTCACAAAACATAAAGGAAATGCCAAGGCTATGATTGCTGTTGGTGGTGCGTCTATGTCTGATCAATTTTCGAAAACTGCAGCGGTTGAACATTATCGTGAAACGTTTGTTGTTAGCACAATAGATCTTATGACTAAATATGGTTTTGATGGTGTCATGATCGATTGGTCTGGTATGCAGGCTAAAGATAGTGATAATTTCGTTAAATTGTTAGACAAATTTGATGAAAAATTTGCGCAAACTTCGTTTGTGATGGGTGTTACATTGCCGGCAACAATCGCCTCATACGATAACTATAACATCCCAGCCATTTCCAATTATGTCGATTTTATGAATGTTCTTACTTTGGATTATGATGGTCCATGGGCATATACAGTTGGTCATGCATCAGCATTGCCTGAACAACTTAAAACATTGGAAGCGTATAACAAACGAGGTGCACCTCGTCATAAAATGGTTATGGCCGTTCCGTTTTTTGCACGTACTTGGATATTGGAAAAAATGGACAAACAGGATGTTGGCGATAAGGCTAGTGGACCAGGCCCAAAAGGTCAATTCACTCAAACACCTGGTTTTTTAAGCTATAACGAACTGTGCGTCCAGATTCAGGCCGAAACAAATGCATTCAGCATTACTCGTGATCATGATAACACTGCAATTTATGCTGTCTATGTACATGACAATCATGCCGAATGGATATCGTTCGAAGATCGACATACACTAGGTGACAAAGCTCGTAATATAACTGAACAAGGTTATGGTGGAATGTCAGTCTATACATTGTCAAACGAAGATGTACATGGCGTTTGTGGTGACAAAAATCCATTATTACATGCTATCAATTCGAATTATTTTCGAGGAATTGTGACCGAACCTACTGTCGTAACAGTTACACCAGTTACACATACCACCGAACATGTCACCGACATTCCAGGTGTATTTCATTGTCATCAAGAAGGATTTTTCCGCGATAAAACCTATTGTGCCAAATATTATGAATGCAAAAAAGGTGATTTTGGACTAGAACAAACCGTTCATCATTGCCCGAATCATTCGCAAGCATTCGATGAAGTAAGTCGTACTTGTGTTGATCATACCAAAATACCCGGTTGTTGAATAATAAATGATAAATAAAATTACAATAAACTTAATTTAATTTAATCATTAAATGTGTTTATAGTAGAGATTAAGATGTTTAATGTTATAGATGCTATTATGCCTTCGATAATCATTATCTAGCCATTCGATTTCTAATTCATTTGTATCGGTATTGAACCGAATCTGTCCAACATTTAACGACGACGACGAATCTTCATTGACGGCGTTGGTATTGTTTGTTGTTACCGGGAATTGATGATTGAAGGATTTGATGCTTCCATTACAATCCGAACAGGGACATAAATGTCGTAGCCAAAGCATTGTATAGTTGACCGATTTACCCGATTCAAACGTAAACTATAGCAGCAACAACAGCAATAGAAAAGGAATGAGGGGAAGTAATAATAATAAGAGAACACACTGTACTTTAGCCAAAAACATATCCAAGCAAAGTTTCAATCATTTATTCATATTACTTGAATAATTCGTTCATCGGCAAATACTTTGACCTGTTGTAGTTGATTATCCAGCTCGGTTAGGCTATTATTACCATTATTATTAAATGGCTGCCATCTGCAATGATCAGCAGCAGGTACACCACTTGTTGCTCGTTGTTGCGATTCTGCTGCCGTTGTTGTACTGTTTCGTTGTGGACTAATTTGATTATGTAATCTTCGAATCATTTGACCGTTGCTTGCACGAAACCAAAGATGCAAAGGTCGACGACAAAATGGTAATCTATTTAGTACCATTTTTTCATAAATTTTTGCTGCTTGTGTATAGATATTTAGTTGTTGCGAAAATGATTATAACTAACTATATTGCGACAACAATCAGATATCCCTATACACTGCGTCATTCAACAATGATCATTAAAAATAATCAATATTTACATTTAAGGAGAGAGCCAAACAAACATGGCCAATCCATCGCGCTCCACAGCCCGTTACTTGTCATTGTCGCGAAATGTTTGTTGTTGTTGATGTTGTTGATGGCCAATGCTCGCATAGAGAAACTCGCATGATAAATTAATGGGCGGTGTTATAAGTTATCATAGTATGACCACCATGGCCGCATCAATATTAGTTGCTATCTTCGTCGTACTTCTATGCCGATGGCCATTTCCTTATTTCAGGCATCAATCGAAATGAAATGAAGCGAATGAAAAGTCAAAGTGGTTAAGATTTCAAGTGTGCATAATACTGTACAGTGTAAGTAAATCCTGCTTTCAAGGACGACTGCAATCTGTTTACGACAATAGAGCATTTGTATACAAACACAATTCATTCATTGCTGCTAATTATTAATTGATTGCATTTGTGGCTATCAAAAATACACACATCGACGACATAAATGATATATGACAAATGTACCCAAGTCATGCCAATTGATTGATCAAACAAACAACAGTTTTTGACCAACAAAAAAAATGATCAACTGGGTTTAGGTTTTTAAAGCTTTTTTCAAATTTATTTATCAACAAATCATATCCGGCGGTTATAATAATGGTGGTCAAATAGTGAGGTAAACTGTACATCACACGTTGCTAATATGGAAATATTTACAATGACAATGATTTTTGGCTATCCAAATTCAATCTAATATCCAATCCAATCTTGTTTAATCATATCGGAAGCTTTTTCGGCAATCATAATAACTGGTGCGTTTGTATTGCCCGAAACTATGTTGGGCATAATAGAAGCATCAACTACCCGAAGATTAGAAACACCATATACCCGAAGACGTGGATCGACTACTGATGTGATATCATCAATAGCTCCCATTTTGCAAGTACCAACTGGATGATAAATAGTTGCCGTATAAGTTCGAGCTACGCAAGCTAGATATTCATCACCCATAAACGAATAGCCTTCACAGCCTGGAAATACAGTTTGAAAAAGATAGGCTCCATAACGTTTCAAAGGTGGTGTTTGACCGATAGCGATCGCCATTTTCATACCTTCAACCATAGTGAAAATATCTTCGGGTGCACTAAGGTAACGAGGATCAATAATCGGATGTTCGTATGGATTGTTTGATCGAAGTCGAATATAGCCACGACTTCGAGGCCTTAGCAGTACTGGATCCAATGTAAAAGAATCGTATTGAGCATACGGAGCGTACACTTGTTGCCAAACCTTGTCAGTAACACCCATATATTTACGCATGAATTTACCATTATCGGTGGTAATGGTGGCCGAAGAAAGATGAATTTCAAAATCTGGCCAATCTTTGCTTCCGTTGACAAATTTAGTGCTTACAAAAGCAAGTCCTTCAACAGCGCCTAACGAGGTTAACGGACCTGTTCCACTAGTAAAATATTTGGCTATATTGGTAGGCTTAAACGTTCGTTCTTGGCTAAGTGTTACTGGTTGAGTGACAGCAAAATGAATGCCACCAGAATATATATGATCCTGAAGATTAGAACCAACTGGAAGATCTGAAATGACTGAAATCTATGTGAAAAGATAAAAAGACAGAAATAAGCAACATAATAATTACAACTTACACCAAGTGTTTCAAGATGAGAAGCGGGTCCTAATCCAGAAAGCATGAGCAATTGTGGTGAATTAATAGAACCAGCACTAACGATGATTTCTTTGCGTGCGTAAACCAGATGACTAAGCGTAAATCTGTCAAACTGTACAGCGACTGCTCTTTTTTGTTCATTGAATAAGATCCGAGTGACAAACGAAAATGTCAGCAGATGTAAATTGGATCGATGCTGTACAGGCTTAAGAAACGCTTTGGCTGCTGAACATCTTGCTCCGTTACGAATCGTACCTTGAGGTACAGTAAAACCACTTTGATATGGGCCATTCACATCGACAACCGGATAACCAATATATTGAGCTGCACGTATAAATGCCTGACCGATTGGTGTCAAAAATTTGAGCTGTGATACCGTCAAATAGCCACCACGAGCATGATAACCATTTAACAGATATTCCTTATCCTGATTATCTTCGGATTTAAGGAAATATGGAAACACTTCACTCCATGACCAACCGGTAGCACCTTGGTTAGCCCATCCATCATAATCATTTTGATTGCCACGAACATAAAGATTAACGTTTAGAACACTGCAACCACCAAGAACTTTGCCACGAGGCCAGAGGCTTCGCTAAAAAAACAATGAAAAAAACAACAATAAAATTTAATCAATCACTTTAATAATTAAAGTTTAATTCATTGACACCTGAAAGAGAAAGAGAGAGAGAAAGTAAAGCTAAAAATAAAAATCAATGATCGTGATCGAATGAAATGGATGCACCAAATGCTGCTACCCATCGATCGATACCCAGTATATTGTTTAATTTTTAATTGTAAATTTATCAATAATGGTCAAGGTTTTTCAGCAGCTCAACGTTGCCATTGCCATTGTCTATTTGAATGTGTATGAATGTCTGGGCAAAAATTGACTAACTACTAATCCCCATCAAAGCAAACTATATTTAGAGCAACTTATGCTTAACATGTTTGTTTTTTGTGTATGTGCATTATGTTTGCCAATTTGGTTCAATGGCCAAATTTTTCACTTTTGATTTCGCGATCGACTTGCTTGGCTTGCCTTTCAACAACCATAGCCACCACTATTAATCAACTATTCGACGACAGGCCAATTATCTCTCTTTCACTGTTAGCATACAAAAATGAAAAAGTTTGAAAATAATCCAATGGAGATTATCCTGGTATCATTGTTGACATTGGTCAATGACAAGACATTTAAAAAAACGTTTGTTGACAAAATTGTACAGGAACAATACAGGAAGTAAACCAACAAAAATTCGAATAAATGCCTGTCTTCTTTTAGTAAAAAAAAATTTCGTTGTTGTATAATAACCTACCCTGGAATTAAGTCCAAAACATGCTGCCTGTTGTGGTTCGGTTACATATTTCCAGTCCATAGGTGTTTGTTGCAAACTTTGGTATGCTAACGGAATATCCGAAATTATGTTTTCGCTGCCACCAGCTTCGAGTAACAAAACTTTAACATAAGCATCTTCAGATAATCGGTTGGCCAGTACCGAACCGGCAGAACCACCTCCTACAATAATATAATCATATTCACGATCCCAATGATCACGTTGATTCATCATGAGCGGTGACGATGAAGCTGCAGTTTGTATAATATGGGATGCTGAAGGTAGATGGCCATAATCGTGGCGCCGCATAAGCATAAGCAACGGAATAACTGGCAAAACAGAGCGTGCGATGGCCATAGCTATCGCGATGGCAAAAGCGACGTTCAAAAAGATCTAGAAGAAGAAAAAAAGAATGACACGGAAATATTTGTTGACACTAGTTGTTATATTCACAATGAGGCAGTTTGTAAGTCAAATTTGAAATCACTCTGAAAAAATTTTATGTTTTTTTATTATTTGATTGGTTCTTGGCAGGCACAATACTTAAACATTATGCATTCCATCATCATTAGGTAGGGCAATCACTATTCACTTGGGCAAATGACTGATCAAAATAGAAATAAAATCCAGCGTTGACCAGCTTGCAACGCGATTCAAATAGTGAATGTTTGTTCGAATGTTCATCATTGGACCATCCAAACTTGTTGGATATATCGGCGCCAATTCATTTTTCTCTTACTCTCTTTTTCATTCATTCGGCCCACTCATATTAACCAATAACGAAATTAACAACAAACCGATTACTCCATTCATTCAAATGAATATCTTTTTTTTTGATTGAACGGGTGAGAGAAATGGTTTTTTGGCTGGTCTTTTGAAATATGTATGTGCGATATACGGATCGTCGAACAAATATGTGAAGAGCTAAGTTCCCTAATAGCTCAGCTCAATCGACAACGATCACATGTCGGCAATGATCGTCCCATATATAACAAAACTAACGACGTTTGGTCATGGTTGTCCGTTGGCCAACAACAACAACAAGCAAGCAAGTAAACAAGCATGTATGGTAATATGATTGTCCTAATTTAGCATCGCCAAAGCAATACTAAATTATCATCCCAAAAAGAACTTAAGTCTCCAGATTTATTCAAATTAGATGTTCAATCACATTGGCCACCCAACTAATACACAGTATGAATGAATGAATGAATGAATGGATCGTTTTGAAAGTCTTGCAGGATATCCCAGTCTTGTTGACCCATGTAACAATTGTCAGTGAATTATGATGAGTCAAACAATTGATAATTATTAATGAAACAGACTATGATCCGGAAATTGAGGAACCATTTGACCTAAGATGATGATGATGGCACCAACTACATGTCACCAAATGGTATAAACGCAATTATTATTTGGATTGGACAAGAGACCAACCATTGTGAAGCCTGATCGATCTATTGAATGATTATTTGCATTGTTCAAATTGATGATGATTGGATAATTGGATTGGTCAATGAGAGATGAGGAGATAAGATAAGCAATGGCAATCACTCTTCATAACAATGACTATAATGACCTAAACGACCACAATTGATTCGATTCACAACAATCGATCAATCATCAGGTCAACATTATATATGAATGATGAAAAAAAGTGTGAATGATGAATTTTTTTTACAACAAAAAAAAGAAAAGAGGAAACTTTATTAATAATAGAGTTTTTTACTATAGAATATAAGAAACAAAAATGTCGAAATAGATAATAGCTGTAATAGCAATGATTCCAATATCAACAGGTTCATCGTATGAAAAATGTTCTGAATATCGATCAAATGTCGAGTGAATGCCGTTGGACAATCAGGCTATTTGTAGAACAATAATTCAAAAAAAAATCAGAGCAATAAAATGATGATTATCAATGATTACGTTCGTTCTTACCATTTTTTCGACCAATTCATAACTACACCATTCTAACTGAAATTCTGGGCCAAATCGAGGTTTACAACAACTGACAGGGAATACACCATAATCAATAGTTTTTGGTCGAAGTACTTCCCAGTCTCGATAGCCTTGCTGACCACCACAACATCGATATTCGAATTGTAATTTGTTGATGAAAACCGTTGAGCTGTTAGTAATGTCGAACCAATCGTAGGATTGAATATTTTTGTTTATTAAATAGATCATATTGCCTCGTTTGTCGATACTAATGCCCATTTGATTATAACATTTGATCGACAACGTTAGTGATATAAACGTCAAAATAATAGTGATGAATGAAAATAACGAAAACTGAAAGAATGAAAAGTTGAGAATCAAGATGGTTTGTTTTGTTGTATCATCATCGCTTACCGTTATAAAAAGTCGATAACTTTTGTGCCATAATGCATACACACCTAAAGCTGCTGCTAAAAGCATGAATAAAATTTGTAAGTCATAAATAAGTTGCATGGTCCGTTCCTCAATGCTAAGACCAACAATCTGGCTAAGTAGACGATCTTTGTGATTAAGCCTAGAATTGTTTGCCATTAACAGTACAGCAAAGAACTAAAAAAATCAGATGCCAATAATTAAAAACAATTTTGAGCTCATATCAAATTCACAAATTGAACAACAAACCGCATAGAAAAAGAGGAATAAAAATACCACGAAGCGTGTAAGTCCCACTTTATGTTTATCCGTTGAAACAATATCGAATGTTTTAGGTTGTACGGTTACTGTTTCAGTTACGGCTGGTAACTCTAAATCGGGAGCATTTTCTGCCACGTTCGACTGACCACGAAGCTGTGGGAAATTTTCCGGTGTTGAAGATTGCATTTGTTGTTCATCAGCATTTTCTTTAGCCGTTGATTCGTTTTCCATAGTGTATAAACTTATGTTGAAATCCTTACAACAATGAATAGCTTTTTGGATTATTGCGTCTTACCCACGGAATGACTCAGTAGTGAATGTCTAACTAATCTTAATCATTATAGCATGGTTGGCTTGGCAATCACCTAGCTAATCAATCACTAGTAATCGCTCAATTTGATATCAATAAAAAAAACAATGTTATTTTATTACATTAAACAAATTTAGTACGAGTAATTTTAACATTGGAATCTACAAAAGCGACTATATTGTTGCCGCATTGAGTTGTTATCGTGGATACCATGGCAGCCACCATTACTATGGAATTGGCACAACAAATCTGCAGTTTGATATCCATTCGAATCAGTCTGTCGATCAACCAAATGATGACTGTTTTTCTGCAAAAGAAGTTCAAACTTTGGTGCACATTGAAGATAATTCATATAGCAAATGGCATTATTGTGTGTAGCCGAAGGATTGCAATGACCGGTAGCCGGTTGTCTTACTCGGCAAAGGATACGTTCGTATGAAATTCGATTGTTTTGTAACTGTCTACTTAGATAGCTAGCGTTTGTTTCAAGTTTGATGACAGTCGAATGGCCATCGTGGCCAGAATTGACACGGGTGCTGCTATGGTTTGCCTCTTCCACCTGATCCAGTGAAATCGAATGCAAATCGTTTTCAAAACGGATGATAATTTTGTCACGTTCGTCATCAGACTCATCATCCGATTCGGATTCGTCAGCAGTTGAACGCATTATGATCGGAATGCCAACCAGTGAATGTCGATTCTGATTACGATATGAAGTAAGCTTACGTTTGTAATGGCCATAGTATTTAGACTTTTTCATGTTGAACAAAAACATTTCAACAAATACCGTATTCTCTTGCAGTCTATGTACATCAAAAAACCAGTCATAAGCATCGATCTGTTTGACAAATTGCAAATCTCGTTGAGACATGCCTTCTTTGGTATACTTGAACAGCTCTTTCGCTGCTCGAGGCAAACTCAAAGCCACCTGATCGGACCACCACTTAGTAAAACGAATACGTTGCTGCGACATCGAGGTGGAAGTTAATGAAGCTATTATGGAACGATTGATTGCGTTGCGATCATTAAAATCAGACCCTAAAAAATTGTGATGCAATTCGTAATCGCTGTTTAGATTCCAAATGAAAGGTAAATCTCGGCGATTCGTGTCGTAGACACCCAAGAAAAGATTAATGGCAGTTTGCTTGTCCCAATCACCAAATGCGTTGCTATAGTAACGAGATAGCGATTGCATGATGTCTTTCGACTGAGAGGTAATTGGAGGACCTTTTCTGTAGGTTTTGATTCGATGAACAAGCTGTGAACCTCCATATTGCAAAGCCAGTGTATCACCATGATCCTCGTACAATTCTTCTAACAGCCTTACCATGTCGGTATCTGGATCGATTTCCGGTTTGTAGAGCACACCCATCGAATAAAGTTGATGACCCAATGCGACCATACCGATGACACATTGAGCTGTGTTGGTACGATCCAGACAATCGACGCAATTGACTCGTACAATGCCAGTCTGCACTACAGATTGAGAAGGTCGACTGCTTGCCGCTATCAACCGGTTCATAAAGAAGCCAGTTTTGCGCAATGTATACTGTGCAATGTTGGTCAAGCAGCTGATAACATTATCGTCCTGTTTCTTTGATTTGGCCATATCATAGCCAACTAGCATTATATGGTGTAGTTTAGGCAAAAATTGGTTCAGATATTCGATTGAACTTTCAAACTGATTGAATAAGATGCTTTCCTGGGCCCGTTTTTCTTTTCGTTTGACAAGATTGAGCACAATAACGGGCGAACCATAATTATAAAGCAGATTGTTAAAATGTTTTCCAGCTGCCTCAAATAACGGATCGTTGATGTCAATATTGATAGAAGGTTTGGGAGTCATTTTAGCGCTGTTTTGAGACCAATAAACGGGGACAGAACCACGTAACTGTACGAACGATGAAAAAAGACCATACCGAAAAGAGGATATGTTACCATCGTGTACGATCTGTTCAGTTTCGACCTCGTTAGCTGGGAAGCCATCACAATTAGCACCCCTTTTCAGAAATCTGGTTCCAGCATACTTTTTCGATCGACGGGCAATTATTGTGATAATCAGATTGCGACCATCAATCGGAAGCATTGCTTGTCCGACGAATCCATGACATACGTAAAGGTAGAAATCATTGTGTACAGTCTGCATAGGTGTCAACAAATATTCATTCCAAACAAATTTCATATTGGGTTTGATATAGATGGATCCATCGTCTGTTGGCTGGCCATTCATCATCGTCGTCGTCGTCGATTTGTCGCTCACATCCCAAACGGTTTGTCCGGAACCAAAACCCCAGCGAACATTGTTGATAGCATTTGGAATCTGAGGACATAGATTATACTGCAGTAGACAAACCGGTTCATTGGTGATAAAATTAAATGAAACCAAATGAGCCAAAGGATCAAACCTGTAGTGAGTTGGATAGATCGTAGCTATAGCTGAAATAGAAATTGCTTTTGAGATCAACATTATTGAATATTCGAAGATATCGTTGTTCGTCGGCGGCAGTTTTCTCTTCGTTAGGCACATAAATCATCAGAGTATCCTCGATTTTGTATATACAATGCATTCCAATCATAGCGATGCAACGACGTTTTATAATCAGGATCATGTAGTAACCTTCGAGAAAGCGAACAAAACCTGCAATACCGAATGCAACAGTTGGCTCGATTCTTTTGTTCGAATCGAAACCTTGTTCACGTAGATAGTTCATCATTTCATTCGTATTCATAACATTATCTAGGCATTCTATTTCCAGATGTAATTTGTTTCGGCGATCCAATTTGAGAATTCGATGTTTGTTTTTGCAACTACTCGATCCAATTACATAGAAAAACTAATACATAAATAGTAATTCAATTATTATGATTATCAATATCAAAAAAGGAACGACCAAAACAAATGCCCAGGAACTTACATTTTTCGTTTCATAACAAAATATCTTTTCGATACAAATGTTTTTTTCTTTCGATGCCATTTCTACATTTCACGATTTTTCACAATCCACAACCAAAAAGAAAAAAACAGAACAGTCTGACAGAAACAATAACTAGCCTAACCTTTTATCATAAAAATAAAACAATTTATCACTACAAAAAAAAACAGCTAAAACAGATTCTCGAAAAATCGATACAAAAAACGCCTTACGAAAATAAACTCAAAAAAAAACAAACAAAACAAAGTCGCGCATATAAATACAATTATAGCGAAATGACAAAAATAACTCAACATATATACAATGCAAAATGAATCTTTATTCAAAACGGGTTATTACAAATAAATGTGATAAGAATGAAAATTATTTTTTGCCCGACTTTTTGATACCACCACCAGTGAGCGGACCTTTTTGTGCTGCTTTTTCTTTCAACTCTTTAAGTTTACGTTGTTCTTCTTGCTGTTTCTTACGAAATTCAACATCCGAATCGTCCATCTCTTTTTGCTCCTTTTTTGGTTGTTTGAGCGGTTTCTTTTTACCACCTTTTATTATAATCATCACAATTTCAATGATAAATTTTTTTGAAAAAAAACATTCACAATAAACTTACCGTCTCGACTTGACATTTTTACAGATTAGATGCAAATAGAAATTTTCAAAGAAAAGACAATCGAAGTTATGGTTTTTTCTATTTCACTCTAATACACAACACGTTGATTTCTAAGCTGACAGTGAAATAACAGAAAAAAGCCAAATTAACAAAAGGAGCGCCAAACGTTCCATTCATACACAACGTTTTCCAATAGGGTAATTGTTCGATATTGAAGACAACTGGTTCGCTGCTCACCAACGTATTAATATTAAGGTTTGTGTGCGACAAATTGGCCACATCGGCGTAATCATAATTCACAATTGTGTAATTTTATCGTCAATCATCAACGAAAAATATGGCGATGGCCTAATTCAATATAGTAGCATAATCTTCAATTCATACACACATACTCATCTTTCCGATGCTTAAATCGAATGGTTGAACCATTGATTAATCAGGATGGAACATCATTACCATCAAATCTCAAATGATGATGACGGTGATGGGGATTTTGGTGATTTTCAAACTTGTGTAGCTTTCGAACGACAAACAAAAACGAATGATGATGAACCAGTATATATGATGGGCAATGTTTTCGAATTGCCATGGTTCGAATTTCAAGCTTTTCGTCAACAATTCCAACAGCAATTAGTCGACATATTTGCCGACAAGTCCTGTTCATCACCTTTCGATTTCATGACAACAATCCCATCACAAGAAGACATCATCAACAATTGTCCGTAAGTATTATTTATCCTCTTATTATTATTTTCATTACCACTAATGGTCACTTTTTTTGTCCGGACAGCATCTGGCTACATCTTACTGAAAAATTTCGTAACAAAGAAGCATTGAATTTTCGCCAAAGTTTTACATTCAAGCTATATCTACAATCACTGAAATTGGGTGAAACGACCAATCGAAACAGTCACAATGTCAGCACAGATAATGATTTGCCGGCTAACGCCCGAAAGCGAAATACTGTCGGTGAAGAAGAAGACATTGCAAACGATTTGGACATGCATTCATTAATTATCAGTTCGTTTGGTAGTGTCGACCAGCATTCATCATCAGAAAGTAATCGTTCATCGCAACAACAAGATTCAACCGCTCTAGAAATTGATGCCGATCAAGTGATCAAAGAAATCGAATCCTTGTATGCGTCTAACCAATCGACACCCAGCCAACGATATTCTGGCTCATCCAGACAACTACAACTAAATAAGACAGATCCTTTGTTGTCGCTTGATGCAGCTACACTGTTAGACGTAGCATTAAAAAACTGGAAATCCAATCGCTTGTCATCTGATGATTATGACGTGAACCTCGAAACGTTCGAATATTGTGATGCTGACCAAGAATATCATTCGTTACCAGCTGACCTGAATAGTGATATACTCGATCAAGTGACATTGGCAAACCCGGTTCTAACGACTACCACCACCGCTGACAAAGACCATGATAGTCCATCTGTGTATGATCAAACCTCGTCCATTGGCGAACAACAACTCGAACTTGTAGATAAACTAAATCAATTGACAATCGTTCAATTGAATGAGCTATATATGGAATTAGAACAAATCATTCAAATCCGTTCTGAAGTTCTTATCCAAGAATTGGCCTTACGTGACGAACTTGAATATGAAAAAGAACAAAAGAATCAGTTTATATCGTTGCTTTTGAGCGTTCAGAACAAACGTCGTCATCATATGACTTCTTCAGCAGACAGAAAGGCTACTGGCCATCATCATCATCATAATCACAGTAAAAGAATGACCACTACTCAAAATGGACGTATAATTCGTCGCAATTCGAATGATTCGATACGGACGACGACGACGACCGCTACCGGTCGTTACAATTCCCGAAACGGATTGACCAATGTACGTTCAAGCTGGTTGCCAGCAGTGGCCGATCTATCATCATTAGGCACTAGCATCAAACAATCAATTCTACCATCGCATTCATCAAAATCGAATCCCGTCTATCTGACAACAGTTATACCATATACCAGTTCGATGATTCCTATCGATTCGGCAACGTTAGATATTTTGATTAAACGTAAGTTACACAATCACAATGCTTGATATTATTAATTGTTATTTATTATTTCTTTTAGTACTTAAGGCGTTAAACGAAGACAGTCCGACTGTACCGGCTCTATTAACTGACTACATACTCAAAGTGATCTGTCCATAACTATCGCCATAATAATAACGAACACAATGGCATATCATTTTCTTTATATTTAATGTTTATATTTAATTTCGTTATACTAAATAAACATATATTCATTTATTAAATAAATTATCTTTTATTTGATTGTTTTTTTTGGTTCGACAACGGTAACAACCGCCAATTGGAAATTTCGTTGCCATGCTTCATTCATTAGACGATTCCGTTGTTCCGTTTCCTGTGCCTGGCCAATGTATAATAATGGTTTGACTAGTACACGACCATGAGCACATCGAAAACTTGATCGACATGCGGTCAATGCTTGGATCATTTCTTCGCATTCATATCGACTTATCTGTTCGTTAAATCGAATAGCTCCACGACATGATCGGGTTCGAACCTGTTCGACCAAGAATGGTGTCATACGACCTGGTGAACTTTGAGGGTTGCTAGGTTGTTGTTCACTATCGAAATATCGAATCGCATCGATTAGAAAATCTTGAAATAATCCAGGATGATGAAAATTGTGACCAAAACAGGTAGGCACATTGCTTACAATGATCGTTGAATCGGTTAGTCGTACTGTCATTCGTGTGTTTAGTTGTCGATGAAATTTGTCCAATATTTCATCCGTAATTTGTTGACAAAGTTGTTGAGGCATTTGGATTTCAAAAGGAGGCTTTATTATCTGACCACTCAAAAAACCTTGATGAAATGATGCATTTAGTAATTGTTCATACCGGATTCGTTCATGCACAGCATGTTGATCAAACGTAAGCAATAATCGTTGTTCAATGAGTAAACAAAGTATAACCTGATTGTTAGCCTGTCCGATAATGCGAACATTGTCAGGTCGAAAAATATTCTTGTCCAAACAAGTAGATCGTTTAATCCGAAATTGATTTCCGATTCGATATTTGACACTTTTTTTGTCCATTGGCTTATCAATCGATTAATGCATTCTATTCTATCACCACCTTGGTGGTTGACTTGTATGGAAACAGACAAACGCACACACACAACAGGAAGACACTGTGAATAACATTTGAAATTAATGAATTTAATCATCACACCGCTTCAGGCATCATCAACAACAACAACCAAACTATTATAACAACAAGGGCGCATTTGCCAACCAAATATATAATTGTTTTGTTTAAGTGTTTGTGTGATTTTTACACCGATCTAAATCTTAATCGTGTGTGTTAATGATAGACTTGTTTATTGAGTGATTGTGTGTGTGTGTGTGTGTTGGATGCTGAATGCGTTCGTTCCGCAACGATCGCAATCATTGTATTTGTTTGAAATTGTGTTTGTTACGAGAAAGATGTGTGTGTGTGTGTAATAAAGTGTTTTTCTTTTAGTATATGCTGGCTCTTACTCGAGCCACATATTCATCTTGAATCGCTTCTTCACGTGCATCCCCACAAAGAACCATAGTCGAAATAAGAAACATTAAACAGGCAAGAGCATCGAGACCAGCAACGGCCAAGATATGCAAATCATTTTCAACATAAGCATTGATTGGTGCATTTTTTCCGGCATTTGTTTTGCTACTTTGCAAATATACTTGTTTGTCTTCGGTACGTACGATACCAGGCGGTGGTTCCAAATGGCAAGGCTTGTAGAAAACAACATACGAGCTGTAGCAGGCCAATATGGTCAAGCCACTTAATGTAATGATGAGCTAAATGATAAAAAACCAAACCATCATTATTGACAAACATTAGATATCACTCTTATTTAAAATATTTTTTGTTTGCAAACACTCACCAGCAAATGGAAGCCAAAACGAAGATCCTCTTGCGATGGAGCAATATTGATGAATGCGACCAAAAAAATAATAACATCTATCGATACTAATGAAATATGATAGATTTGAACATCATCATAATATTGTTCGATATAATCGACTTGTAGACTTTGATTTGATACCATCGATGACCAAAGCTCGTCAGCAATTGGCACAAAATTACATTCTTTTTGTTTGTTTAACAATAACATAAATGATCCTGCAACAAGAAACTAAAATTTTTTTCACATTATCATTATTAGTAATCATCTTTTTGACGCTAACAAACAAAACAAACTTACGGCAGACAAAAATGTAATAAAACGATGCAGACAATGGTGCTTAGGAAAACTGGATGGCATGATGATGATGATAATGATGATGATAGTCACTCTGTGTGTTTGGCACCAAATAAAAACAAACAAAATCAAACTACTTCCACACTAATAATAATGATAAATAATTTGAGCAATTGGATAAATTCACCGATATCGATTTAATTTAAGGTTGAGAGATAGACAGGTGTCTAATTGAATAAATGTGGATCAATTGATCAATCAATCGATCGATCGATTGATCGATCCAAATTGTCTAATCGCTAATTCGTTGTGATTCACCGGACTAAGCTGTCTCTATCTCTTTCTTTCTCTCTCTCTCTCACTGATTTTGTCGATCCACAAAGCTCAGGTTCATGCTTGCAATTCAAACAACAACCGACAACAACAATTGATAACGGAAATCAACGATTCATTAGATTCACTAAAATCACACTCAGAGATCATTGAAATTCTATGAAATTTTTCTGTAATCTAATTCTGGTCTTTTTTACTAATGCATTGCCTGTGTGTGTGTATGTGTGTGGAGGACGATTATGATGCTTTGATATTGCTCGAATCAAAAAGAAAAAAGAAAGAAAGAATCTCTCCATAACGACAATCAAAACTGCTGCTGCTGTCAAGAGGAGAAACAACCACTGGGCAATACCAGAATTCTCAGTTTGAGAGGATGCTCAATTTGCAATTCCAATCATATTGCAAGATGCGAGTCACAATCAACAAAAAAAAATCTAGAACTCAAGGGCACTATATAGACTGGATAGATTGGCTTGAATCATGCCGCATCCATATCTTTATATTAGCTTCATTCATTTACATAGCGCATTAGACAGGTTGTGAAAAACTTTAATATTAGCTAATAATATCATTAGGATTTTATTTGAATTCAAATCAATCAAATCAAAATAAAACAATACAACTTTACTAATTTAGAAAATAACAACTAATCTACGTTCATTTAATTTATAGTATCATCAGTTAAAGAGAAAGGATCACAGGATCTTTTGGAATTTTTCTTCATCCCATTCAATCATTTGATTTGGATCATCTTCGTTTGAATCATGATCTGAATCGATTGTTTGTTGTTGATTAATGTGGCTAGCTTTAACGGTAAAGCTAACCGATTGTGTAACAATCAACCAAAATAAAAAAAAGAACAATGTAAAATGAATCGATATGATTAACAAATTACGTTCATAACCATCGAATTGTTCTCCCGCTAAATTCATTTGTTCCAATACAAACGAACGTGTTTGATTGGCTACGCCACAACGTCCCAAACCATACCAGGTTACTAGAGTGAGTTGATAGCTTTGCTTTACAAACGAAATCTCAGTCAATGATCGTAACCAAGTATTATCGTAATTTTGGACCGGAATTAAATAGCCAGCAAATGTAATTAATACAATGGCCGCTATGAATGTAATCACATTGGCCAATCGTGCATTCGATACTGATATAGCCGATATCACTAGACCAAGATTTTGGGCACAAGCTACGCCCGCAAATTGTGATAGAAAGTATAGCCAAAAACGCCATTGATCCTGATGAAATGGTTGTCCATAATCGATGTTTGGATATTGTAGATAGTATGCTAATGCCGAACATGTTAAAGTGTTTATAGTAGGCATAACCATATAGGCAACTGTTTGGGCTAAAATAAACGAATTGATATTGATAAGACCTTAAAATGATATAAATCGAAACCGTTTGAATTAAGTCATAACCGAACATAAAATTTTGGTTTATAGTTTACAAACTTACCATTACGATGCTCATTACAAGCAACAATTATTTCTTCATTCAATGCAAATACTGAGACTAAAAAATGTGAAAGGGTCATCAAAACTGTTGTCAAAAATAGAAACTTAAGATTCTGTTCGATCAGATGTTGACCATGAATGGTAATTACGTTCTCGTTTCGTAGAAATTTATCTAGAGTAGTATTCGAGATTGATGATCTATCCAGTAGAATCAATCGTCCATATAAGATTGATTGCGGTTTCTTGACGGCAAGTATTCGATTTTTGCTGATATTTTTACCAATCATTCGGTCATGATTAATGCCGCCAAGATTGCCAGATGTATCAATAGGATCATAACAAGAATCGGGTTCGCCAATTCCATTATCAAACAGAAGAACCAACAACACAATAGCAGCGATCAATGCCCAATATTCAAACAAGATAGATTTCCAATAATAACGATACTTGTGCACAAGACTTCGTCGAAATAAGTGCCATATGTTGATCAAACTAATCGGCAACAAATGTGGTTGAATTCCAAATTCCAACAAAACACCATATTTTTTGGCCGAATGAAGTATGTCATGACGAGTAGAGAAAACACGATTAGCCACTCGTACTGTAAGTTCATTCGGTTTGGATGCGATTTTAATCAGTCGTTCAATGGGTGTTTGTATGCTCGATTGAATAATGACACCGGATTCTCGTAGAAAAAGTGACATATGTTCGACGCTTCCTTCGTAGATACAAAGACCACCACGGCTAAGTACATAAAGTTTGTCGAATACGGAAAGTACATCCGAATCGACCATATGACCGATCGATAGATTTACAGAAATACTATAAACACGACTCATTTGTTTCATAAGATTGACAAACTGAAAAGATTTTTTAAAAATCAAATCATTTATAATCATAAGATCGTTAGTTGGTAGTTTTTTACGTACATTTTCGACGCTAACATTGTCCAAATGAGTTAATGGTTCTTCCATAAAAAGCATGTTTGGTTTGTCTAACGATGATAGACCCATTGCTACTTGTGTTTTGACACGTTCTTCGGCCGTACATTCGGTAATTCGAATATCGGCCAATTCTTGTAGCTGTAAATTTGTTAGCACTTCTTTTACGGTTGAATACCGTTGTTCACGGCTGGCCCATGGATGACGGAATAGGAAAGCATAATCAAGCACCTCTTTGACGGTCATACTCACCAAAATGTTGTTGTAAATTGCGTTTTCCAGAAAGAATACCTTAATTGAAACATCCGGATTAAAGAACAACATAGTTCCAGCATCTAATCCACGATTATTGCGACCAGATAAACATTTGAGAAGTGAAGTTTTGCCACAATTTCGTGGTCCAAATATACCGTTCAATGTACCATAATTTAATTGACCATTAATCTTACGCAAAATGGTTCGTGGTGGATGCATAAATTTTTTTTCAACAAATTTAAGATCAATAAACGCAATACCTATGTGTGAAACAAATTTTCTATGCCTTATCACCTCTTGATCTTGATACGGGTTAATAATTGATTCATAAGATTCCACACTGTCTGTATTCTCCATCTCACTGATAACACTGAGTAACTGTTTAGTTTGACATTCACAACTTGGTCTGAAATCAAACTTAAGACATACCGGCCAATCAATCAGCCAATTTGGCAGCAATTGGATTTCGTGATTAATGGCCATTCATATTAGTTTAGTTTTCCAGATTTTTTTTTTGCCAAAAAATCATGAGCATAATTAAAATCGATCCATTAATCGATTGATTTGGATAATTTACAGCTACCTGATCATCATCATTTAAAATAATCACTAATCGATTGAGCCGAATCTTTCTTGGCCAATCTTAATTTTCAAAAAAAAAGCAAAGGAAGAATAACATATCTAGTTTTATAATCAACAGATGGAGCCGTGATATGTTTCGGTTACAGTAATCTAACATATTGTAATTCTTTGAATGTCCAAAAGATTTGAAACATTTAATGATAAATTTGGAATATCATTCGAGATGGAGATTATACCAAAAATTTCCTAGTTGATCAGCGATGATGATGATGATGATGATGATGTCAACAAAAAATGCAACAATCATGATTGATGAAGCTTGAATGATGATAATAATGATTACACCATTCAGTGATTACCGTCATCATCATCATCATGATGAAGGAACATTCCGTTCGTGCCAACCAACCAACCAACAGCAAATTCCTTTAAAAGTCAAATATTTGCACGAACCGAGCAAATTAGTTATTTCTGATATCAATGCAACAAGCAGCTGTTGTCGTTGTCGTTTGAAACGTTATGAATGAAAAATAAAAATTGGCGACACTATTTTTAGACATCTTTTTATGATGATGATGATGATGATGATCACCACCCGAACCGAACTGTCGATCATCACAACATTGAGCAACCCAACCAAACTAAACCAAACAGTTTATATTGTTAAAAAAACTTATAATTAAAAATGGACAATTTTTTTTGGCGAACTAAACCAAAATTCGACTGGCATTGACTGGATTCACAGCATTCATCACCGTTGTCATGATGCATGATAGCTGTCAGAAGTTGATCGATCAACAATGGTATCATCATTTCATTTTTTTTCCTACTACCATGTACGATGGCCTGTCAATCATAACAAGTCGAAAACAATCAATGTACAGGAATGCAATGCAATACAATATAAATGAATGTCCAAATGTTTTCGACCTTGAAGTACTTCCTTGATGATGAGAATAATCAAAATCGAATCAATGTTAAAATCGAGATACAAATTTATCAATGATTAATTTGAATTTTTCATTTGGTTTTATTCCTTTTTGCGTATCACAAACTATTCGCGTTCAAATAATTACTTGGACTTGTCATTAAGTGAAAACAAATCGAATCTGTTGAATGGTTTAATTATTAGTAAGAATGTAATTTTATGTCATAAGGTAGAGCAATTCATTTGGCTGGCTATCACCAAATCGCTATTGCAATCATATGTCACCCGTTGAATTCTTTCACAGGGAGTGTTCGGTCGATGTTTTGTGAGGTGTATGTGATATGATGATTGCGTTATGGAATGCAGTGTAATTAACTGGCTGGTTGGTTTTTGGCCAGACACTGTATACGTTTGGTGCGTTGGTGGCAATTTCATCCATTTCTAGTAATAATCTGGCATGACGTTTGGAATGTCGAATTTTTTTTTTGTTGTTGGCTGCTTTCACCACACCACCATCATAGTCCGTTTGTTCAGTTCAGTTTTGCAGTTCAGTGTTTGTGTTTCTTGTGTTGAGTTATTTATTGTTGCTCATTTGGCTTTGGCTGGCTAATAATCAATTTATCACCGTAGCACGACAACGACAAGAATGGCGCAATGGCACCCGCATTCTAAAAATGTAACTGGATTGGGCGTACATGCACATTCATACAGAATATTCAGTTTTTATTTTTTTTCAATTGCGGATTTTGATTGGATAGGATGACAAGTTTAGGAACCAATCATTGCTCGCTTGCCAAAGCACTTCTTTGTGGTGGTAATAATCATCAACCATCATCATACTATGATATAGATAGATGAATGTGTGGATGGATGTATGGGGATGGATAAATAGAAGTTGGCAGCCGAATTAAGAATTAAGTCATATTTTCTTGCTTGCAGAATCGAGAAAAAAAGAAACCTAAATGATGGCGTCATTGGCCGACACTGCCACCATTATACCATCATGGCCGATAGGTGGATGGATGGCGTTAATCGGATGCAATATTTACTGTTAAGTTTTACTTTACTGTTAGTAGGCGAGGCACCGCACACACACCCGGCTATCATCAATAATAAACGGGTACAGGCCTCGACTTTACGGTCTGGCTGACTATAAAACAGGCGGCGAAAATTGCGCCCAGATTCACAAACGATCATATCGTGCCAGCATCAAGTCCTACAATCCGACATTCATATTCGTTCGTGAATTTAATTTAATTAAATCAATTCTTAAATCCAAATCAACTAAATAATAATGGCCTCACGTGGTCCTTCATATGGTCTTAGTGCCCAAGTTGCCAACAAAGTAAGTTCAGCCTTCACATATGAAAAATTCGAATGAACACAATGTACCACTGGGTCACGCCACTGATTGATTGAAAGTTTCGCAACTTGATCTTAGCCATCAATTTTAAACAATTTTTTTTAGCTAGCATTTTCAGGTTCGGATTCCAGATCCATTCAAATTGAACAAGCCATGTCGGGCATGTCTCGATTTGAATTGATTACGGAATTTCCGGAACTGGAAGCAATATTATTATTATCATTAGTAGACTAGAATCTAAATTGACCTAGCTAGGCATCAAGCATGAAGCTTTCAACGATTAATTAGTCGGTTTTGGCTTTGGTTGGTCCTTTTTAAATGTGCAACAAAAAAAAAAATACGAGAAAATAGAATGCCAACGATGCCAAGTCGATTCGATTTGAGCGGAGCAATTCATCCCCGAATCGACTACGACTCGATTTTTGGCAGTTGGCTCGATTCCCAAAAATAACTCGAATCGCTTGTGACTTCTTTTTTTAAAGTATTATATGGATTGCACATCATCATCATCATCATCATCAACAACAGTGTACAAATGTATTGGTGGGGAGTGCCCATTCAATTATCATTGTCAGTGTATGATTATGGTCTCATGTTCGTTTGTCTTGGTTATATTCACACATATAGATTGCTGGTAAACGTGATCCTCAACTTGAAGCCGAAGTATTGGGATGGATTGAAGCCGTTCTTGGTGAACGATTACCATCGGGCCCATTCGAAGAAGTTCTTCGTGATGGAACTATTTTATGCAGGTAGGTTTTTGTTTAGGTATATTTCTGACCGATATGATTGATCAATCATCCTTGAATAGATTGATGAACAAATTGAAACCAGGTGCCATCCCAAAAATTAACACTTCAGGTGGACAATTCAAAATGATGGAAAACATCAACAAGTTCCAAAAGGCAATCAAAGAATATGGTGTACCAGATATTGATTGCTTTCAAACAGTTGATTTGTACGAACGACGAAACATACCGCAAGTAACTCAATGTATCATGGCATTGGGTCGAACTGTATGTATTAATATAATCGATTGTTTGATGATAAGCCAATTCATTTTTATTTTATTTTTATACTTTTTTTTAATACCAGTGCTATTTGCATCCTGAATGGCCAGGTCCGTTTTTGGGACCGAAACCAGCCGATGAAAACAAACGACACTTTACTGAAGAACAATTGCGTGCTGGTGAAGGTGTTATCAATCTACAATACGGTACAAACAAAGGTGCCAATGCAAGCGGTATGAATTTTGGCAACACTCGACATATGTAAATGCTGCTTACTTACTGTACATCCATCTTATAAAAAAAACACGATCCAACAGTATACCCAGACAAATCAATCAAACAAAAGACAGCGATAGTTATCAACAGTGAATATCACCCACAACCACCACCACAACACTATCATAATGTAACACACGATAAACTGACTTCATATGTTACAAAAGGAAATGCCAACAACATCTTACTGCCCTGGTCAACATCACTATATCTGGGTTTTTATAATACACAAAAATTACATCAAAAACAAACAGTTACACCAATAAAAATGTTGTTCCTTTTTCACAGTGAAATAATTTTTAAATTATGCCCAAAACAGATGATATAAAAATGAATAAATAAAAAGTGTTCATTCATAGTGAACACATTTATTAAATCATAGATCAAAAAAAAACGCACACAAAAAATACTGAATTGAGTAAAGAGCGAAAAGATAAGCTGTACAAAAGTTTCCTGTAGTTTTAGTTTGATCATTCGTTGCGTTTGATGTAAGAAATCAGATATGAGAAAAATTAGTCGATTCAGACCATACCATCGAATACAAAATGTGCCTGCCAATTTTGTTGTTGATGATTTGCTAATGGATTAATTAGAATTGATGGCATCGGTAAACTACCGTTCGCACCGCCATAATGATGATCATCGTATACGGTATTTGGATTCGGATTACTGTAATAATGTGCAACGGGTGAATCATCTACCTGATTCATGACTGGTAGCCATTCTTCATCAACTATTCGCTGATGATGATTGTTGGATTTATTTTCTTGTCCACCTTGAAATGTTTGCTGTGATGTTGTGTGACCAACCATATTATGGTGGTTGAGGGGTTGTTGATGTTGAGACATTTCGAATAATTTGTTCTCTATACAGTAATAATTAATGAAATAAATGAATAAGAATAAAGATAAGGATAAGATCAGAACCAAAAAAAAACGAGAAAAAATTACCTCTTAGATGTATATCATGTTTGTTTCCATTGCCTGGCAAACATCGTCGCAATGTACAGCAAAAACATATAATAAAAATTAGGAATCCGAAGCCCAACAAACTGATCAACGCGGCATAGTAATAAGCACTGTAATTGATTTGCAGAAATCAGAATCCAACAATCAGAATCTGTTTTTATCTCTTTTGCAGAAGTAGATACTTACTTTTGATCAAATCGAGTATAAATGGATGGCAAACAACAACGATTATATTCACAACATCGAGTGTACATAGAACCTTGGCTACCTGGACATTCATAATAGTTACGAGAACGTGTTAGATTTACATTAGCTTCGTAATTGTAATCAATTAGTTCGATCAATGGACAATACGTAATCACTACAGCCGTTATGTCGGAAGATTCAGTTGCCATTCTGGATTCGGTAACAATTGAATTACACAGTAAACATTTGTCAGTAATTATTATCAAAAACCATAAAGTATTGAATATTTGGATGTGAAAATGCCATCCATTAAATGGTTCGAATAGAACCATCTTTTTGTGGTTATAATTTTTAATCGTTGTTAAATGAGTTTGCTGGCCATTCACGATTGTCGATTATCGAATGTAGTATATTACCGAACAAGCCACCCGCGCCTTGATCAGAATCCTGGACTCGCCCACAAACACATATTTTTGGTTCATCACATTATGCGCTGCTCCGTTTTTTTTGTCCACTTATTTTGCAATGTGATGTGTTGTAATGGTTTTAGTTCACCTCCGACACACCACTGGTACTACCACACTATCAATATGATCCCGAATTTTTTTTCGGTTTTGGTTCATTCAACTTAGTGTGAACAATACAAAAAAAAACAGAGATGACATCTAGTGGAATGATACCATGTTCTCGTGAATCGGATTTGTACTTGACAATGAGAATATTGAAGCGGAAGGCCATCATTATATTAGTTTGACAAAAAAAATTAGTGTTAATTGTTTGTTCGATTGATTTATTGATTGATTAGTTGATTGGTCAAATCAATCAGATCCGATTGATTGATTACTCCATCGGCAATCATTGATTAGGTTTGCAATAACATTACCCGCCCAACATCCACTCAAGTATTTTCTTTACTGACTTTGATTCTAGCCGCTAGATGAAAATAATTGTTGGCGCCACTAAATAAGTGCTCTTTTCAAGTACCTTGACATTGATATAACTAATCTGCAAAGCGATTGATCTGATTGTATATCCTAATGTGATATTCCATATATAAAGAACTATATATAAATTCGCTTCTATCTTAAATGTGTCTTACATACCAAAAAAATGTTGTCCATCAAACAAATCATAATTTTTCTTGTCCAAATTGACCTTACCTTTGTGACATGGTCATCCGGTGCAACGATCAATAATAGATCGATATCGCAACAAATTGAATGCCAAGTTGAACGTGATTGTCAACCTTTGCTGTTAGATTCTATGTGTCTAAATGGACATTGTCATTGTATTGTGAATCATCGAATGAATATTGATTCACTTCGTTGTGAACCATTCCTTTGTAAACAAGATGATGAATGTCGCGATTGGGACGATCATATGATCTGTGATTCGAGCAGTGGTCATTGTCATTGTCAAGCTGATTATCAAATCAACGAATTGGATCAACATTGTCATCAGATTGCATCAAATATGTCATGGTTTCTTGTCGTTTCATTATTACCGTTAATTCTAGTTTTGTTGTTCTGTCTAAGTTGTACTCGACTTGCATTGACCAATACGAATCCAAAACCAAAACCTCCTCCATATCGATCTATGACCTAAATTAAACAACAACAACAACAACATAACCTCATTGAAAATATAATCATAATAAAATGTACTAAGAATTTATAAAGGAAAACAATATAATTGCATCAAGTCTTTATATATATTGATAAACATTGTTTTTATTAAATCAATCAATCAATCATTCATTCATTTTTGCTTATAACAAAATCTGTCTATGTTTGTGTATGATAATGATGATTCATCATATATCCCATGAGAATAGATGATATTTAACAAGCATATCACAAACACCTTCTTTAGTCACTGGGGATTTAGGTTCATCACTATTGGATATTTCTGAATCAGGATTCAAATGAAATGAAAATTGTACCAAAAGTCTTGCAGCAAAAAATAAAAAAAAAATAAAAAAAATGTAAAAATTATTTCGGTTATTCAAGTAAAGTGAATAATTAAAAATAATTTTTTTTTATACTTACTTAAGTTCAGCTTTGATCAATTTCCAAGCTGGACTGGTCAGAAAACTGTTCGATCCATATGATTTGAAAATGATCGATGGTTGTGATATGCAGATCATTTCAAACCAATCATGAAGAACATATTGATTAAGTCCAAGGCAAATTAATGATCGTAATTTAATATCCATAGGGCAATCACCATGTGTTCGATTAATCAATGCAATACTTCGATATAGTAAATCATTTGGCGACAAAACTCGAGCATATTCATCTAGCCGAAATGTTTTGGTCAGTACAAGCCTGGAGAAAACAGATTTTAATCCAGCATTGGTTGTCAATGTTGATATTTGTTCAATTATTGTCCATGGATGAATGGTGAAAAAAAAACTTTTACGCATATCATAAGTCAAAATTGCTTTGATAGCTGAACTTAGTTTGCCTCTGACTAGATCATTAATAAACGGTACGATTCTATCATCACCAGCAATACTGTAATCAAGATCTCGTTCATCAAGTAGTTCGACAAATTTGGCCGGAAACCATCCGAATCTACCGTTCAATTGACCAATCCAACAATGTTCATCTTTTTCATTGATGATGGTGATAATGTCGTTTTTGGCAAAAGCAAGTTCGTCTGGATCTTCACTGCTAAAATCAATTAACGCTTTGGCTCGACGTTGATAAGGTCGTAGCCTATTTATCATATCTTGTTTGATATCAACTTTGTCCACATTGTCGTAGTCTGGATCTAAACGGTAATGAACATCAGGTTCATAAGCCTGAAAATGATGTCCAATAGCTACGATTGCTTCGTGTAGTTTCATGATCAATGCGGTTTGTTTAATGTTTTTCATTTTGAGTTCATCCTGACTCAAACTATTACTTGCTACAACCATCGAGCCGAGCAATTGATCGGCATTGGATTGGTTTTCATAATGAAAAAATTTTGCCGGTAAATTCAGGTTAGCGACAATGTTTTTCCCACTTTTCCAGGCATACATAATCTTGTCCAATGACCGTAATGCATTCGATGGTAGATCGGACAGTGAGTTGAAAAACTCTTTTGAATCCGAACAATTTTCTAACGACCTCGTTTCGGTAATGAGTAAACCGATTGTAAATTGTATAAGAAATACAGGCCCTTCATAGAAATATAAATCCCATAGGGCATAAAGTAAAGAAGCGTTGGGTACGAAACCTGCCAACATTGAGCTAAACCAAATCGATGCAACCAATTTGAATTCAATGTCATGTTTTCGTAGTAATGCATTAAATAACGGACAGCATTTTGCCATAATTTGATCGATAAGTTCAATACAATCGTCCAGATTTACAGACAATGTAATTCGTAGTAATAGCCAGAAAGCATCCTCTTCCGAACATATTAAAAGTAGATAGGCACCAATTAAAGATAAATTAAATTGTTGGTCACTTGGATGACTGTCATCAAAAGCTAGATCCATTTTCTGATACCAATGAACAATTTTCAATATACGACGTAAACGATTCGATACGGAATTTAGCGTAAAACATACATTATTGGGCAATACTTGCGTTGCTTGCTGCACACTTAAACTAGACTCATCAGCCGATAGATCAATTAATTGTGTAAAACTCCATTTGCTTGCAATTTTCAGATGTATAGCTCGTGAAAAACGAATCCAAAAAAATGGACGAAGCTCATCACTAATACTCAAACAAATCAATTCATTTAATCGGGGTAATCGTTCGATTTCGGTTGAATCGAATTGTGATAAATCAAGACAAGATGCTGGAGCCATACGTTTGTATTCACTTTCCAAAAAGGCAATCCATTGAGTTTTAGTTTCGACATATCTTCGGTTAGCTTCATCCATCTTGATCGAATCTGAATGGTCATCGTTTGTTGATTGAACAATTATGAATCCATATCGATCATAAGAATGACCATCAATATTAGATTTTTGAATAAGATGGTTTATGTCATCTGCGGAAAGTAATGATGGATGAAGATGCGAAAATGGTGAATTAATCGATTTTGATTTGTTGTTGCTATTTTGATTGTTCATCATCTAGCTGTTGATCGATTTGATTCAATTTGTTAAATAATGATTGACCAGATGGCATTTGATCGATTCGCTCATACCAAAACGTAAACATTCACATTTTGAATACGTATTCATCAAACAAACAAATCTAACGAAGCTACATAGAATCTGTGGCCTGTGATAACATTCAATCACACTATTTAGTTGTAGTGGTGTGTATTATAGCATAATACACATATTTCAAATGGCGTCATCCATCCTGTGGATCCATCACGGTCGCCCAATTAGATCCAATTCAACTGAAACGGGTGTTGCTTGATTCATCAAATCGCACATTGATAATCGTATGTAGCATGCATCTATAATTTGATCTAAATGAAATTCTATTGAATTTTGATTTATCAATCGCATTTTTGCGCTAATTATTTTCTGCCATTCTTGTTGTTGTTGAAGATTATTGTTCACTGTATATTCAAATACAGCATATCGTTGAGATAATGATCGCCATATTCTTAATGGATTTGAAAATCGAATCCGTAAAGAATCAAAGAATATTCTGCTTTGAAGTTTGATTAGGCCCGATTGTTGTTCAATACGATAACGACGTTGAGCTATCGGATAACATTGACGCACTGCTGAATAATGCTGGTTGGCCAAGTGTAGCTGATAACGACACCAACTGACCAGACGAGTATCATCTACAGAGTTCATTTAATTTCATTTGAATGAGTGAAATCCAAAGAAATCAATTGAAAGATACATACAAATTAACGACAACGACTTTAACAAATTATCAGTTTGCAACAAAGCCTGTGGACGTATACATCGTAATAATGATTCCTGATCAGAGCGATTCAGTTTGAAAACCAACGGATTGCATTCCTTAGCCACATCATTTGTTAGTTTCGGATCTATATTGATTGTTTCAACTCCAATTTCATCTAGTTTTATGCGAAATGGTGTTGGTATGTTAGTCGAATCGAATGTTCGTATCTGAATTTGACCACTGTACTCAGTGTTATAATAGCTGATATAGGCTAACAGGAAATCAAGCAGATCATTTTCAATACAACGAAAATGATCATCATCTATTAACGGTAATAATTGTTCGGGAGACAAATCCATAAGCGATCGATTAGCCAAAACAAGTTGACCATTCGCTAACAAATAATCTGCAGCAAGTTGAGACAATCGTTTTTGTTCAAAATGATGGCTAAATTGATAGATTGAAACTGCTGTAAATTGATTGAGCCATCCAACTCGTACTTGTTCAACCAAAGCTATGCTCATTCGGTCAGCTAAATACTTGTCGGCTAATAATAATGGTGATAGAGTAGATAGCCAAGTGAAGCAGCGGAAACTCAGTGAATGTAAACATGCACTTACCTGTAATACATAAACACAAAAGCTGTTGAAGATTATCGAACTTCACTTGGCCCAAATACAGGTATCGTAATAGTTGCTCGATAAGATAGGGCTCGTCTTCAATGCGTATGCATCGTGTTTGACTTTCCCCTAGCTGAGATTCGAGCATCCGTTGAAAATAACAGGATCGAAAAGTTAGCACCCAACTATGGGCATAGTAATGACGACCATCACGCAATTCGATTATTACATCGCTAAGAGAATGGCTACAGGTCTGCATCTGTTCAAATAATATGGCTAGGTCCGTATGGACCGAGTCCTGAAGATCAATCGTATTAAAGCCATAGCTCATGATGATTTAGCCAACTGTGCCTTTTTAGCTGTGTTGTTGACGTTTTTAAGCGTTGAGTGTATTGCGTATGGGAACTATGCCTTCGCTATCATCATATATCCTATCAGTGCACATACAGCTAAAATGCAAGCTAATCAAAGCAGCCATTGAACTGTACAATCAACAGATAAATCAATCAAGTGTGAAAAAAGAAAAGCCAGCCTTTATTACCGGTTAAAACAATGGATGAATGTATAAAATGAGAAAACAAAATATAAATTGCAATGAGACAAGGAATGTGTATACGTGGTCAAAATTGTTCCAGGTATAGTAATGGCAATCTATCAACAAATGGCCAGGAAGATAATTGGTCGAAAAAACCAATACTGCAAAAATAGGTTGCCGCTTAGTGACGTTTTGGCTTGACCTGATGCCAGTACCACTTCTGGTTCCGATCGTCGTCGCTACATTCGGCCAATAATAATTGACTATCATGGTATGATAAACACTGATCCTTGTTCAGCATCTGTTGGGTTTCCTGAAATCAAAATAAATCTTTAGCATAAAATTATTAGTTACTGATGGTAATACTTACTTGGTTATAACGCCACGGCCCATCGACGGTGCCCAATTTACAGTATGTAAGAAAGACATTGTTGTTATCTGCATCAACACAGCGTTCACCAAGACCGAGCTGACCTTTTTCATTGAGACGGAATAACTGATTACCACCACTACCATGGCAGCCGGACAACATGATCACGGAAGGAGGGTGGGCACTTGGCGAATCAAGGCACAAGCTTTTGTGGGCCAAAGAACGAAGCTCACCCCAGCCAATATTGGGTGGCAGTCGTGGAAAATCAATGAAAATAGATTTGGCATGATTCTGAATGAACCAATCAAATGATTTACATTGCAATCGTTCCTTCATTTGAAGTTGTTTAGAGATATCACCGGCATCATAAAACTGAGCCATTGGTTCACGAGTGTAAAAGTATTGCTTATAATCTGGATCAAACCAAACTTCGATTACTCGTTTGTAGTTGATCAAAACTAAGGGTCCTTTTCGTTTTTGTGCCAATTTTCCAAACCCGTAAGGCATGAATGGACGATAAATGTGACCGACACGAGAACAAGGTACCCAAAGCAATCGTCCGCCACATTGCCACACTTTAAAGGAAAGCTCGAAATTTTCGCCACCCCAAACAAGCAAGCCATCATCGTAGCCGCCAAGTTCAAAAAAGAAATGTCGGCTAATAGCTAAAAGACCACCAGCATGTGTGGGAGATTCGTATGGCTCCGAAAAGCGATGATTGCGGAGATGTTCTTCCAAGTTAAGACTTTGTTCTTTGTAAAGCATACCTATAAGGATAATTAAAAAAATCTTATTATCGAGAGTTTCATAATTAGATATTCAAAACAATATACCCCATTCCCAAATGCCGATAAAATGTTTGTCTCTCTGATAAACAGGTCGATATTCAAATGTGTTCGAATCAATACCATCAATAATTGGCACTGTCATTGTGCGATTATTGGCTGCAATAGGTGCCAATAATGGAACTAGCCAGTTTATATTCACCTCACAATGAGCATCCAAAAATACGACCACTTCGCCCAAAGCTTCTTTTGCCCCGTGTGCTCGACTACCAATCAATCCAAGTCGTTGTTTGTTGCGAATAACACGCACTTTACCACTGCGATCAGCTAATGTCTCGCCCGATATACTGGCCCGATCGTTCAAGTCGGGTTTCCAGCTCATTTTGAAAGCTCCAAAATGGTCCATGATGTAATCGTCCAATTGAGCTAGTGACATGGAAAATAAAGTTACACAACTATAATAATGGAATGGTTAGATCATCAATACCATGAAGATTTTCCTTATCACTAAAGTCATCTACAAGCAGAACTTCGCGCAGAAAACGTCGAGGAGATCGGATAAGCACTGAGTGTACGGTACGCATTAAGGTAGTTAAACCTTCGTTATGAAAGACAATCACCACCGAAGCACTAGGCAATCGTTCCGGATAATCCCAGTGGCGACATTCTTCGTGGCGAATGTCTGGAATAATTCGATCCATTGGAATATGATCAGATGCTACCATGTTCATCCCGTATTCATTTTTCTTAGCGGACACTTCATTTGGATCAACATCTAGTTCATCTAACGAAATTTTTTTACCATAATCACCAGGTCTGTGGACGCGCGATTTTCGTAATGATTTTGGAGGCTCAAAGTTACCTGATTATTGAAAAAATTGAGAAAAGCGATTAATAATTTTCATTTTGCTTACCTAGTCGACTGTCTTCACGAAAGATGGGAACCTGTGTTCGTGTTTCGAGTTCAATATGACTATCATCAATTTGAGATTCGAAAACATCACTATTGAGAGATTCAGCTTTAGGAGAGTTTTTATGAGCAGGATCCAAAATGTCTAATCTATCGGGCAAGAATGTCAACACCAGAATCATAAAAATTACCAATGGAATCAAAATAAAGGAACAAAAACGCCGATATCGACGAGCAAACAAGATATGCAACATGATGATGTGGGATTCCAATATCTATATAAATTAGCGAAAAAATACCCACATTTATTACTTTAAAATATTATATCGTTTCCATGGTTAAATTATATCACTACTCATCATTTACCTGATTGTAAACGTGGCTGTAAGGTTGTTAAAATGATTATCAAAATTGTAGCGTGAATAAATCACAGATGGGTTAGAATTTTTTTTAACGAAAAAAAATGCCACGTGCCTTTCGGGCACGTATATCCGATTGTTCGATGCACACTTGTTCGATTAATTCGAAATTCGACTAAAAAAAAAATTCGAATTTAAAATCGACATAGGATATACAGACAGCTAAAACGATTAAAAAAACAATTGTTGTTGACATAGGCCATGTCATCAGAAGTAAAACTCACCGGGAGGCTATATCAACTCATACATGCTAACCCATGTAGGCATTTTCCATTTGCCTTTTTTTAATGTGAATGTGAATTGTTCCTATATCGATTTAGTTAATTAATTTAGTTTGCAGATAATTTTTAATGGCTGGATATTCTCGTTTAAATTGTGAACCAGCCGATGATACAGTAACAGTATTGACGGAATTAACATTATGTCGCAAATATATTCGTATTGCAAATGTTGTGGCTCTGTATTGGTTCATATCGATAACAATGGTCTTTCTGAACAAACAAGCATTGAATCAAGTGAATGCTCCATTTTTTGTTACTTGGTTTCAATGTTTGGTCACTGGATTAATGCTGTTCATATTCCGTATATTGGCTGATTGGCGATCATCAAAACGAGCAAACAACAAAATCCATGATTCATTGATTAATGATAATGATGTTATAAGTCGTTTTTTGCTCATTCCATGTTGTCAGATTCGTTTAAATGTTGTCAAAAGAATATTACCATTATCGGTAGTGTTTGTGGCCATGATCTCGTTCAACAATCTTTCATTACAATATGTCGGCGTTGCTTTCTATTTCGTTGTTCGTTCACTGACACCTGTATTTAATGTATTATTTTCTTACATTGTTTTGCACAAAAAAACTTCCATCCGTTCTATACTATGCTGTTTAGGCATCATATTTGGTTTTGTAATGGGTAGGTTCATAAAGTTTAAATATTCTCATTCATTTATTATTGTTACTCGTTTATTAGGCGTTGACCAGGAACAAACATTGGGCACATTATCAGTGATGGGGGTATTGTGCGGTATAATGGCATCAATGTTTGTCTCGTTGAATTCAATATTCGTGGCCGACATGTTAAAGGTGGTCGACCAGAATGTAGCCTTATTAGCTTATTACAATTCGATTATTGCGGTCATACTATTCATACCATTTATATTAATGCATAATGAATGGCAAATGATCATTGCACATTTGGGAGATCATAACTTCTGGCTAATCATGATCACAGCTGGTATATTCGGTTTATTGATAAGCATAGTTACCAATTTACAGATTCAGTATACTTCACCGTTGACGCATAACATCAGCGGTACGGCCAAAGCTTGCAGTCAAACAGTATTGGCCACTTATGTTTACGAACAGCACAAAACATTTAACTGGTGGCTAAGCAATATGATCGTATTGGCCTCGTCTGCTATGTATACTTTCGTACGACAACAGGAAATGAAACAAACATTCAAACAAAACCAACAGCCTATCGACAATATAAACCGATCTGATTCGGAAAAAGGTCAAACAAACGTCTAACAATCTCACACACATGCTCTAGTCATTCTACTTTTTTACCTTCCGAGTTTTTGTATGAATTTGAATTAATTGTTCCAAAACTATCAATAAAATTTTTTTATTAATTATAACGACTTAGCTTTGTTTTTTCTCACTTACCATCAAATGTAAAGAATGACGGCCATTTTTTCCAACATCAGTACGTATCGAACGTATTCGCTGTGATTCTGGATCAACTTTAAGATTATGAAATATTCGATGATTATTTGTGCCACGAAGATAGACTTGGAGCCATTAGTGTAACAATTATGATCATAAAATACAATATTAAAAACTTACTTGATTCAAAACGATCATCTTGAGGCTGTCTTGCTAATTGAAAATTATCCGACGGTAATGCCATCAATCCAGGATGGTCATTCTGAATTCGACACGGCACATAGGCTGATAAGAATTGTGATTTGGATGACCAGAATTGTCCACCACAATGATATGATTGGCCTGACCAAATTAAATGGGTCAAACACAACCATCCAAATATTTTCCGAACAAACACTGACATAATTTGAAATGCTAGTGTGAATGAATAAAAGCAATTTATTTGACTTAAATAGTGTAACTAAAAAAGAAAGCGACCGACAAACGCATTGATGCGCAACAAACAAAAAAAAACATGAACTGTGAGAATACAAAGTTAATTTAGTAGAGCCGAAAATAGTTGTTTTTTTTAAATCAATGAGCCAGAGACAATGGAAACTCAATCATAGTTCATCTTTCACAAATGTTTCACGTTGTTGACAGCCTTGAGGACATGTTCCATAATAGTTTAGATCGTCGTCATCGGTGATAAGATGCATCGATTCATCTAATGGCGTCTGCTGAGTTAGTAACAATTGGCTATATGATTCCAATGCTTTGTAATAGTAACAATAAATAGTTGAAGGCATTAGCCATCGAATGACAGCCATTCTGGCTTCCCATATCATACGTTTGATTGGTTTCAAATCTTTTTGTTCAATTAGATTTTGCAATAGACTGGGTAGTTTGTCCAATGATTCATCTACTGAAACATAATGTTTACCTGGTTCGAATAGATGATAAAAGTGTTCATAATATTGGGATTGCTGCTTGATCACAAGAGAATTGCCTGCCAAAAGGAATGGAAACCGATATGCAGCAACCGTACCGTCCAAGTTAATTTGATAACGATAATCAAAGAATCGTTTGAATGGTACATATGGTATAGTAGTAGTATTATCGGTACGGTATTTTGTCATTCGATCGCGATAGAAAAAGAAATTTGTAATGGCCACATCGTAATGACTAGGCGTACTCATTGATTGATCAATCAATGTCAGACGAGCCTCGTTCGAATCTCGACCACGCCAAAATAGACGATTTTGTTTGAAACTAAAAGCAAGAAATTGACTGCCAAATGTAGATTGAATATCGGTAGCAACTCGATCATGGCCATTTAATACAGATTCGGTTAGTTCATAGGTGGGTAATACGATGTCGTTAGTTTTTTCAGAACCACACCAACTAAAAATGGGTAAAGGTTGAGTGTCTTGTATGTGAGATAAAGGCCAATCGCCCAGATTCATAAGCAATTGACTATCACTTAATTGAGTTTTTCGCATCAATGATAATAGCATACGATCAAAAAATTTCGAAAAACCATCGTATTGGCCATAGCAACGTTTGTATGCCTTTCATAGGACAATAAGATCAGAAATGACTTATTGAAAAAACAAAACTTACCTTATTGTTTTTGATACGATAATGACAGAAAGCATATGCTTGAGGGTGCTGTCCGAAACGATTTATAGCTTCGTCTAAGATGGCAGTGAAATTGATGCCAGATTGGAACGGAGCTAAATCCTGATCGATTCGTTTGTGTAGCCGTTGATTGGCGTTCGCATCGCATTGAGAAAGTTGTGACCATTCATTTCGAATACAGGGACAGTGTTCCGAATAGAATGGTTTATTTGGGTTTGTAATAGATCTTCTATAGATAGGTATCTGACTATCATTTTCTCTGTGTATCACTAATTCGAGTGGTTGATCACATTGCCAATGTCCTCGATGAAAGCTGTAACGAACAATAGTCATCCAGTATGTGGCCATTGATTGATCATCATTTTCCGAACCGTTTGATGGTTGCTCGTCATCGCAATAGTTGGCCATATCTAAAACATCGTTTAACGATTCAAGTCTCGCAACCGATTTACGAAGATCGGAAAAAGCTAGACGAATACAGAAACGAGTCTGATTGAAAACTTGAGGCCAGATGTGGCAACCACGAACAGGACTAGCATTCAGCCGTTTCTTTGGTCGAATTTCTACAGAACCTAGCTTCGGAATTTGATGAAGAATGAAGAAATAACGACTGGGAAAAGCAAGCTGCACATTTTGTATACCAGGACCGACCACGATGATTTTGGCTTAACCAATCACAAAAGATAAAATCCATTGAATGGATGTGTGGATTACACCTACCTATGTCTTCGTGATCAGAATTCACGACTATGGTCCAAATGGATAACAAAAACAAAACGATCAGCAGATTATGATTACGAGCCATCGTATCATGATCATATGAGCAACAGTTTGCCAAAGAATTATTCCCGACAACTGAATTTTCATTCATTGACCAAGTAAACTTGCCGGCAACTGGATTTGCTTTCATTGTGAGCAATAAATTTGCCTTGCAACACTGCTGCAAACAAATAATCATTATTTCGATTATAATCCCAGAATAATTTGTGAAAAATTGATTTTCTTGAAAAAATTAAATTTTAAAAATAGGTAGCCTATTATCATCAAGCAGACAAGTGATGTCTGAGCAAATTAAATTATTGGTCGATTCGAAAATCAATTCCAAGAAAGTGATGGTATTTTCGAAATCGTTTTGTCCTTATTGTACCAACGCCAAAAAAGTTTTGTCTGAATATCGATTGCCACCAGATGACTATGAAGTAATGGAAATTGAAAACGATCCCCAATGTTCAGAGATTCAGGCTTATCTCAAATTATTGACTGGTGCATCATCCGTGCCCCGTGTTTTCATCAATGGCCGCTGTATTGGTGGTGGCGACGATACTGGTATATTTTTATTATGACATGTAATTGTAATTGTTTTATAAGATTTCTTTTTTTCTTTTTTTACAGTTCGTCTACACAGATCAGGAGAGCTAGCCAAATTGTTGTCTTAATTATGGAATTATAGTTAATTTCAATTTTAACAATTTTTTTTTGTTAGTCAATGTGTTTGGATACGTTTTTGTTACAATAAATTTGATGTTGAGTTATGATTGAGCAAAAGAAACAAGTAAATTTTCTTCCAAATCAAATAGGAGCTTCATTAATCGTAGTTTGCGTTTGCATTCAAGATCGCCCATCAATATCGGACAGAAAATTTCAGCCAATATGTCACCATCTTGAAAACCACAATGGATCAGATGTTTGAGATGAATCAGAATGAAGCATAGACTTTGTAGATTAGCCTTGTCGAACTGTTTGAGTGTCTCTATGAGTTTTTCTCTGAGTTCTTGGTCGCTTTTTTTATCTGTTGAAATTATTGGAAAGTAATAATGACATAACAAGAATGGAATGACATTGTCAATTTACTTACGAATTATCGATGAAAAATCTTTCCATATCTGCTTAGGAAAAAGTGGTTCTATCATGTCACCTAAAAAATATTTGACCATACCACATAGATGGTCTAAATTACAGTCATCAAATTGAGGAAAGCCATGTTTGGCATCTTGGAGCAACCGTTTGCACTGATCTTTGACCAGTTTGAGCATTTCACTGTGAATGTAATACAGTTCAAAACTAGACAATTTGCCTACCGAATGATGATCATCTTTTTGACATTCATGTTCGATTTGCCTGCACAAGTGAATCAATAATGCCGGTATAGAAGGCCTTGATCGAGGAAATATGTAATTAGATACAGTTTTACTCGGTCTTATAAAAGGATCAACATATCGAATACAGGGCCGAGGTACTAATTGTCCACAGCTTGTATGGCATCCAGTCAAACAATTGAAACATCGTAAATATTTGTCTGAAAAGTTGAATTCTTTTCCGCAAAAACAATTTCTGTTGATAAAACTTTGCTTTCTAGCTGATTTGATTCCTGTTGTTCGGGAATCCTGTTGGAACACAGTTTTCATCTCGAATTGATGACGATATGAACTGGATATTTTCTCCAACAATACATTATACGTACTCATTGATGGCTTGACTTTTCCCGGTTTTACATGTTGTTCAGCCACCACTTCGATTGGATTATTGTTTTCATCTACAGTTTGATTCAATTTCGTTGGCTTTTCAACATTTTGTAGTTGTGTAGTTGTCAGTTGTTCAGAAAGTTCTTCCGTGTCAAATAATATTGATTTCTCATTGTCATCATTATTTTTGTTAGCGATTAAAACTTTATATTCAACAAGTTCAGTTTCGATTGAATCAATATGAGCCGATGTTGTCTGGAGTGGTTCAACGATAATTGGCAAAATTTCATCCACAGTTTCATCGATAGATTCATCAATTCGATTTTCAATGGTTTCCTTCCGTAGTTGATTTAGTTTTTGATTCAGGTCATCTTGTTGGTTTTTTTTCAATCGTAATTTGATTACTCGCCGTTGTTTTTTCGACGGTGATAAAGGACGACGTTGTTCTTCAAATGAATGACGTTCAGACAAATCAGATTGTTCGGATTGGAATTGAAAGCTACGATTAACAGAACTATCAGTAGCTGACCGTTGTAGGCCATTCAATAAAATTGGTTCATTTGTACATGAATAACGACGTTGATAATTGCCGGAATTATTGGCACGTTGAGCCAGATATTCGATCTCATTTTGAGCAATTTGAGCTTTCCATTCGATTATATCGTTGAATTGACCGACCAACCACGGCACAAATGAACAACGACGTCGCCGGTTACTATCGTCCATATTGATAACGGGATTTGTGGTCAACATAATAGATTTGTTTGGAAGTTCATCATGTTTTAGCTCTGCCCCTACTACCATCATCTTCATCATCATCATGATTGTCGTCAAACATGAATCTCGCGATTATCTTAGTTGCAACATCATCACAAACAATATGTGGTATTCAATGTTGTTGGCAATGGATTCCGTTACCATCAAGGATAAACTTGAACTTATTCATATTCGATACAATGGAAACTAAATTTTTGGCAGCCAATCAATTCAATATTTGCATTCCAAACAGAATTTTTTTTTAAATATCTTAGATAACTATTGTATTCAAATCAAAAGGGAATGTATAGATAATTCAATAGATGGAAGCACGTAGTACATATTTTATCAGGATACAATGTAGTAGTAGCAAAAGCAAATGTATAAGGATCCACTTTTCCAAAATAAGGGAGTGTTTGGAATTTTATCCATTTAGGTCATTATACACCAACATTAAAAACAGCAAAGGAGAGAGCAAGTCATGATCCAACTAATAAATATTACTTTAGTTATCCTGGCCATTTGTAGGGCCAAAAATCTTGATCAGTAATCATGTCCATTGAATGATTGGTAAATCTGATTCATTCATTCACACACGATAACAGAATTTTGGCAACGAATGAATTCTCTTATATGAAAGAATATAATGCCAAATTATCTACGACGAAACCTGAAATTGTGACTGATCAACAACGCTATTCTGAATATCCAAAATATAAAACGCACAGGCGCACGTTATTCTTTTAGATACATTCTTCAATACGAGTGAGGTTATTCACGTGGCAAACAAAAGAATCCCTGTCGACTACGTCGTTTGTTCGCAATTCGACATAAAACTCGATGATGTTGATGGAATCGGGCTAAATTATCATTCATATTGCTTTGAAATCACTTCGAATTTGCATCACTAAAATCTTAATTATGGATGTTCGTTTGGACTTGACACAACGGTCCATGGTAAGTGACATTTTTTCCCCGCTAAAACATAAATAGCATAAATAAATTGTTGATTCAGTCACCTCAAGGTTCTTCATTCAATGAAGTATGGCCTCAGATCGAACCTTTGGTCAAAAAAATTTTTACAAATGATACTTTAAGCAAATCTGATTGGCAAGAAATCTTCTGGTAAGATTAATTACGTAATACTGGAAAAATTTGTTATGTTGACAATAAAATTTGCAGGAAAGTTCATCTGACTTGTATGTGGGATCCTCATTCTGCTTACCAGCTTCAACAACGATTACGTGAACTTTTCAGTTTTTACATTAATCGCGAACAACAGGTGAATGAGTGAAATTGTTTATGTGATTAAAATAACTAATTTGCTTTGCCGGTATTTTTTAAAGTTCATATTTTCAAATGCACAAACAGATTTATCCTTGATGAAAGCATACATGGTCGCTTGGAAACGATTTATGTTCTACTATACGTATGTTCCATTACCTTTCGCTCCTCTTGAGAAACTAGTCTTCAATCGTGGAGGTCCTATTGGTGATAACCATCCTAAGTCCGAAGAGACTGACAACTTTCTTCGTCTGGTAAGTCGATTCTGATAATTGATTCAATTCATTGATTTCTATCGTTTTCAGTCCATGATGGAAATGTGGGTGTTACACATTTTTAGTCGAGTATCCGATCAACTGGTGCATGGAGCAATGTTACTAGTCGATGCCGAACGTAAAAACGTACACAGCGATCCTCAACTGATTGTTGGCGTTAAAGAATCTTGTGTTAATCTTTGCAAATATTTGCCCAACCGTCATTATATTTATCGAAACAATTTTGAAAGCGTATATCTTGCTTCGATCGAAAGTTTTTATCAGGCCAAAGGTCAAGAGTATTACAATGAACATGGTGTTCTTAACTATATGAAATGGGTAGACCAGAAAATCAAAGAAGAAATTGATCGAGCCAATCGCTACCTAGAACCTCATTCACTAAGCAAAGTGATTGGCTCTTGTGTAAACACACTGGTCGCTCGATACAAAGACATGTTGGCCGATAAATTCTTAGATCTCATCAAATGTCGTGATATCATTAGCTTGAATCTTATGTTCACTTTGCTCGATCGGGTTAATAACGGTATCGATCCGTTGCTCGAAAAATTCGAAAAATACATGACTCACATGGGCATGGAGAACCTACGACTCGAAGCGATGACCATCGCTCAAGATTCGGAAAAATACATTGACAATCTGCTCAAATTGTTTAACATGGCCACAGCGCTCATTCAGGAAGCATTCAATTCCGATTCCAGATTTCTCACTACACGTGATATGGTGAGTTTGTTGAGCGATGTTCAAATTTTCATGTTCCTCATTTTTTTGATCATTCTATTTTTGTTCAGTCGATTAACATGCTCATCAATGACAAAACAATTTTCGCCTTAGCTTTTGCCCTTAAACAAACTAATAACGGCCAAACCAATGATTCAAATGCTACAGATGAGAATTTATCAGTAAATAATACTACCACAGTATGCAACCAGAATCAAAAAAAATGGTTCGAATCACGTAATGCCGAACTGTTTGCTAACTATTGTGACATTCTACTTCGTCGGACCAACGTATCGCGACATTTGTCACCCGAACAAATCGAATCAAAATTGAAGAATTTAATATTGCTACTGAAATACTTGCAAGACAAGGACGTATATATGAAGTTCTACAAAGCTCATTTAACCCGTCGTCTTATTCTGGATGTGTCGATTGATTTGGATAAAGAAGAGATGATGGTTAACTGGCTTCGTGAGGTGGGAATGCCAGCCGATTACGTCAACAAAATCAGTCGCATGTTTCAGGATCTCAAAGTATCTGAGGATTTTAATCGTCAGTATAAACTTTGCTGCGACAAACAAGTTGGAGATCTGATAAATGTTAAAATACTCAATTCATCCACATGGTCCAGAAATATGGAAAAAGTGAACGTATCGTTGCCTTCAGAAATCGAAGAACTAATGCCCAAGATCGAAAATTTTTATAAGAACAAACACAACGGACGTAATCTATTCTGGCATCATCAGTTTAGCTATGGAATTGTCACTTTTCATTCAGACAATGGATCCTATGATCTTGATGTCACTTCATATCAAGCAGCCGTTCTGTTCGCTTGGAATGATAGACCCGCAGATTCTATTAGCCTTGAAACACTCGTCCTTTCTACTCAACTACCAAACGTAGAGCTACGCAAAACTTTATGGGTAATTTTAGTCGTATGACATAGAAATAATTTTGATTAACTTTGTTTCTAGTCCCTAGTCTCAAATTCCAAACTTAAGACGCAGTTGTTGCTTGTTGATTATCATGACGGTAAATCAGGAAAAGCCATTCAAGCGATAAAGAGCTTCAAAGATTTTCGTGATGATAGCCGATTCATATTGAACCTCAAATTTTCCTTATATGGGTATGTTTGTTATATAGTTGTTATTTTCCATTGTATGAATCATTATTTATCGTTCCAGAAAAACCGGTCGCATGATGAAACGAGGACGATTCAATCTGATTGGACGACTCCAATTACAACCAGAAAAGTTCCGAGAAGAAGAAGCTGAAAGTATTATCAAGTTGCGTATATTACGTACACAAGAAGCGATCATGAAAATAATGAAGATGCGTAAAACAACCACCTACACTGCATTACATCTGGAATTGACTCATGTCCTGAAAGAAATGTTTGTACCAAGTAAACAATTAATTAAGGATCAGTTGGAATGGCTCATTGAAAACGAATACATTCGTCGTGATCCAAACGATCATAATTCGCTAACATACTGTTAAAACAGAATATTGATATAGTTGTAAATAGCAATTTTAATGTAACTAATTTTGAAATAAATATACATGAGACATGGTTTCTTTGTGTGACTATAATAAGTTTGTGCAGGCAAACAATTATGGGCATCATTGTTTGTAATGAGTACCGATCACAGTCAGGTCAAATAGCTGGCAAGTTCTTGCCCAATATAATCAGTCAATTGTTCTTCCATTTGAATATTGTCAGCTGCAACACCGGTTTCATGGCACTTGTTGCTTTTGTAGATAGAACTAAGAAAAGTCAGAATCATTCGGCGATCATTGTGCAGCATACGTTGAATCTTACAGGCTGGTTTATAATCGAGATCAATGATGGATAGTCTGCATAAGTAAGGCCGGCCGGTTGTTTTGTCGGTCACATGGATCGATGAGCAGCTTGTCGATGATGGCTGTACAAATCCATTTTCGTAACGATCATCGTCGTGTTTCATTGCAATCATTATAGAACAGTCCTTAGCGGTAAGTGATATCAGAAAACGCCAAAGCTACCAAAAATAAAAGCGTTGATTAGTCAAATGATAGGAACAATAACAACATGGGATAAAATTACCGTGTCCAAATCCTGAGAATTTTGCACAATGAACTTTTCTAAGCGTTCACGGCATTCGGGTCGTTGTGTATCAATTGGATAAAGGCAATCTCCTTGAATGGATAGGTCGTGTTTCAACGTTTTATACTTGAGAAACAATTTATCCATCAAATCGACAGCTATGAATGAATCTATTGTGTCTAATTGCTGTGCACGCAATATCGAATCAAGAATACAGCCCACGGGTAAGCCATGCTGTAAGCTTTTATCTATGAAACAGAGATCAAAATGTTAGCAAAGCTAGTGATAATAAGAAAATACTCACCTTGACATTCGGATAATGAATCACAAAAGAGGGGATTTGGTTGTTTAGACGCATGCAGCCGACATTGAACCAAGCTATGGTGATCGATGGTCAGTGATTTTGATTTTTTGTTTTTTATCGCCATAAAATCATCCGACTGTCTATAATGATCGTTTATAAAGGATTGTAAAGCAGTCTGATTGTTGTTCAAATCGTTAATATTTGTTAGGTTGGCCATTTTCTCGAAAAATTCAATAAACGTTCGATAGAAAACATAACGTTGTTGGCAATCTAAATTTTCAAGCTCACGAATCACGTTTGGCATGTGTTTATAATCATTTTTGTTGCCTTTTCGATAAATTTCTGGCTGACAATCATTTTCCTTACTATCATCACATAAAGGCACAGTAAGGATCTGTGCCAACAACAGAGCAAAAGAATGTATTGGATCAATTACCTTGTTGGCGACATCGTCAGTAAAAGGGTTTGCTTTAAAGTGTTTTCCATTACGACGAACCGAAAGAAACCTAGATAGAACTGATCGAAGATGGCCAATGTCACATTGATCGTCGAAAAGAAGATGTGAATTAAGGAAGACACGAAAATTATTCTGCGGATTATTCATCAAGCAGAGTAATGCGTGAAATGTACGCGATGGACAACCAGAAAAAAGATCCAATGGACAGTAGGAACTTATCGATTTGATCGATTTTTTCTGTAGTTTATAAAATTGTGAAAGGCCGAAACGACAAATCTGTGACTTTAATTTAAGTACATCGTTCATTCGAAAAAGATTCGCATTTGGCAGGAATCCTTGTTTAGGCTTGAAATGATTAATGTATTTTTCAATTGATCATAAAGATTTACATTACAGGAACATACCTTGATTTCGACAGCAATTACGGAATGCAGGCTCCAATCATAATTATCGATGGCTGGTGGAATGGTACAACAATCATTCATGAGCAATGCATAACCACAATTGGTCAAAGTTTTTTCTAATCTAAATGCTAAACAAATTAAGCTGATAATTTAATAAAATGAATGAATAGATAAGCGTTACATACAAGGCCTTTTGTCGTGAACAAAACTTTTGATTGTCTCCAATTGTCGACTTTCCAGATAGACCAGTTGCGGTGATGAGAACAAATGTTCACCAATCACATCGGGCAATATATTTCGATTGAAATCGATGTGTTGCAAAAGATGCGTCAACACATCGTTGGCATTTTGCTATTTTTGGAAAACAAACATAAGTTATCTAATTAAGCATTTGATTCATTGATAAAATTGTGTGTTATAATTACCAGTTTTTTAGCATCCGATTTGAGCAATCTGATTACTTGACATGTCTGTAACGACAGCATTCATAAATTCATAAATTCATTCATTCCAATTAGATCGAACGATAAGAACTTACCGGTTGAATAGCAACAACTAAACTTGAATTACCTTCACCTCGATAAATAAGTTGATCGCTGGAAAATTTGCAATCAATTGCTAGTTGACAATCGTTGATCATACCTAATACCATATTGTTGTCAGGTGCATCAGATTGGTCCTAATTAGTAAAGATTAGGTTATAACGATTGATGAATTGTAATTTCACTAAAAATAAAATAAACAGATTAATTCAATGTAAAATCGACTGGATTTGTATCGATCCAATATTGGAATGAACGATATGTGCACAAGATGCTAAAGTACACAATTAATGTATGATGATCATCATAGCCAATGTTCTCAATATCATCAGATTGTTCATTTTGATTAATCAAACTAATCAATATAATCAAATAGCCATGGTCACGTGTTGCATATTATAAATAAAGATCACTTCATAATTGCAATAAGTGTTAATCAATCATTCAGTGAATCGATGTAAGTATAATAATATTGAATTGAATCGAATTGCGATATAACACAATGTAACGAACCGTAAATCAAACTAAATTAAACAAACAGACACACACATTACTAAAAATTATCAAACACTACACTATCAGAAAGAGAGAGAGAGATGCAAGTATCAATATAAATCAATGATCAATGACAATCATTTATACAGTGATAATTAACATTCCAAGGTACCATGGCAATCGTGTTCAACAAACTGACAAGGATCCACAATTAATCCGCTTAACGCACATTCCTCGACACATAATATCGACAACAATAAACAAGAGACCGGATTGTGTGAATACCTGAATTGCGAAAAACACAAAATACTAATCATACATGATGAAAAGGGTCACTTTGACATTTTTTTTAGAGTATAAAGCGACAAGTTGAATGTGTGTTCATTATATTTAATACTCCCACTACATTTCAGTCTTAGCTCAACCCTAACAATCCAATCTTCTTGTGTTACATTCAAGTTAGGGATCATCATTCGATTTGATTTAAGTAATTAACAATTACACTTACATGGCTTGAAATTAAATTGATTAAATGATGCTATTGACAATGGACAATGGTAAAAATGTATTCGATTTGTTATCACAGTAGTAGAAGATAATTGCTTCTGATTTTTTTTCTTGAATAATCAGGTAGAAATAAGTTTAGTGAATTACAAACTAAATGGTATTACGATGAACAATGATAAATGATAAAATGGAAAAATGGCCTAGAATCAAAATTAATTTTGAGATTTGTTCCTAAATAGGTTGACGTCATCTATCTAACATTGAATATCTAACGATCATCAGTAGATGATATTATTTTACCTGAATCAAGCCCATTATAATCTTCATTATCAATGTTTTTTTTTCTCTGATTGTCTCCTCCCTATACTCTAACTTTGTCCAATATGGTACGGCCCGTCATAGATACTAGGATCAAAATAAATAAATTGAGCATGTGTTTAATTTATCCATGATCAAAACAATCTTTTTGTTTTTGTTCCTGGATTACATCATTTGTATCATCGAACTTTTTTTTCGAAATTTATTTTATTAATCTTAACAAACCGATGGAATGGCCGTAATAGTACGTAATCTTATCCTTGCAACAATCAATGCAAGCAGGCATTCACGAAACATTTCAACAGCATTGTCTTATAAACATAGTATGAACAATGTTGAAATTCTTAAACAAATGTCCAAAAATACTTTCAGAATATTGAATAATTCTCGAATAGATGTTACGACTACCAGTATTTCAGCACAAAATGATTATTTCAAAATTTGTACCTTAGCACCACCTTTAGCACAGCAAAAGCAAATCATGCATAGATCTTTCCGAACTGTGATGCAATGTTTTGGCGCCAAAATGCTGGCACTCAACAAAACGATCACAAAGAAAAGTTTTTGTCCGTTGTTCTCATCATTTTTGGCGGTACTTTCTCGCTCAACATCTGTTGAACACGAGTTTTCTCATACTATTCGGAAAAAATCAACTTGGTTATCAAAAACGATGGAACAATTTATCATTAAATCATCAAAAACCAACAATGAAGACAACGATAAGAAAGAATCATCAGTCAACTCAAAAACATATTTCGATGATCGACTATTCGAAATGCCATCAATGTTTGTGAGACATAAACCAGAAACTAACCATGTTCTTAAAATAATCGTTGAAGGAAATATTGGCAGCGGAAAAACTACTTTTTTATCGATTTTTGCTAAAAATTGTTCTAAACTTTGTCATGATTCATTGATCGTACCTGAGCCAGTTGATTTGTGGCGTGATGTTGGCGGCGTCAACATATTTCAATTATTGGCTGATGATCCGAACCGTTGGAGTTTTACATTTCAATCTTACGTCCAACTAACTATGCTCAAAGTAAGTACAATTTTCAAAGGCAAAACCATTTTTTCGATTGTTTTTCTTTTTTCTTCACAGATTCACGAATTGATGCCTGAAAAGGGTAACGTAAAAGTAATGGAACGATCCCTATATTCGGCTCGTTATTGTTTCGTAGAGAATTTGCTACAAAAAAAGTTGTTATCAACTTGTGAATATTATGTCCTAAATCAATGGTTCAACAATTGTTTGCCAGCAGCCCAAATCGATCTCATCATTTATTTGCGAACCGATCCAGATATTGTTTTCGAACGAATTCAGAAACGAGGACGGCCTGAAGAATCCAAGATAACGTTAGATTATCTAAGATCATTGCATGATCTACACGAAGATTGGTTGGTTCGTAAAAAATTTCCATTACCTGCACCTGTTTTGACTATCGATGCTAATACTCCGTTAGAGGATCTGGTGAACGTCTACGAAGAACAAACTGGCGGTATACTACGTGAACATCGACTTTTGGTCTAATGAAATTATTTGCATTTAATTTTATGATTTATTAACCAATTTATTTGATCTGATTGCATTGACATTTTTTTAAATTAAATATAGTTATATTATGAGCAATATGTTACAAGAGGTATAATAATTATGATAATGATGATGATGTTAAAAAGAGAGTAAGGTAAATTTATTTACAATGGGATTGATTGTACAAAATTTTGCTACAAATGTAACAATTGACTTGACTTGATTTTACACTTGAGATATGTTGGCCGAAATGATTTTCCTGACCACACTATATTCGGGAAGACCATTATCATCCAGATTAATTGCTTGGGCAATGTGTGAAGATGATGATAGTGATGGTGGGAGAGGCGGCGGTGGTGGTAGCGACAAATAAGAATGTGGCTGATGTAATTGTTGTTGTTGTAATTGTTTCTGTTGTTGATGTTGCCAGATACTGCTGGCATTAGAATATGGCGAATAAATTGATGAAGGTGATGGTCCATTTGGATAATCAACTGATAAAGAATTTCCATAAGGAATGCCAAATTGCGATTGATCCATGTTTGACGATGACTGTACAATCGCTGGCTGACAAGCATAGCTAATATTAACATGATGCGATTGTTGTTGGCCGTGATAGTTATCGACCGAAGAACTGCCACCATACGAAAGAACACTAGGGGAATTTGAATGCATTCCCGACTGACCGTTAGCAGGTGATTCTTGTCGTAATTTGGCTTCTTGAACTCGACCCCAATGATCGAGCAATTCTTTAGCATCCCATGAATTGGGCAATAATGTGGTTACGTTTAATTCTTTCATAGCTGATTGTTCAGGTTGCTGCTGTCGTTCGATCGAATGCGATGGCATTTGATGATTCTGGTGATTATGACCCAGATATGAAGTATGGTTCGTTGTACCATTTTCGACTGTTGTGTTAACCGAACTACAGCTAGTATGATTGCTAGCTGCGCTGTTTGGCGCCATTCTGTTGTTATCGTTAAGCGAATTCGATATGAGCGAATTGCCATCTTGTGTTAGATAAAATGACTGTTTATTCGTTGGCATTGTATCGCCTTTATTATCACCGTTCATGATTGTTCCACCATTCGAAACGACACCATCCGAAGATTTGTAATCGTTATTAAGCGTCTCTTTATTTGTACGACGATAGCGGCGAATAGTAAGACAAATGATAATCAAGATTATGATAAATAGAACAAATGCCGATGCTATGCAGATGATCAATATCTGAAACCAAGGTAAAGCACGACCACGACCACTTTCTCTATAAGGTCCAGCTATGATTTAATTTAAAAAAGAAATAAAATTGAAAATGAATGAATATTGATGCGAATGATGCAATGATGCAACAACGTGCAAAAAAAAGAACAGTAAATGGGATGTTAATGTGCATGCAAGCCAGACAATTGACTAGGTGCCAATGTATATATTGAAAATCCCCTTAACACTGATGGGTTAGAATAAGGGTACTATGGAATAAGAATTTAGATAAGAAAAATGGAACCAATATTCTAAATGCCATGCTATTATCGATATAACAAAAAACTAATACCTGACAAACGACTATTATCATTTGCTAAAGCGGTGGTATTTTCAATTAGTACGTTACTTTTCAGATAAACGGTAACAATGTTTGATGGTTTCGATTCATTATCATCGTTACGTTCTTTGACAGCAATCAAATAGAATCCTTCTTCTGGACTTAGAATGCGTATGGTCACTTGTCTCAATGAATTGGTCACTACCGTATTACTGTTGCTGGCAGAAGTCGGTCGAAACGAGTTTGGCGGAAACGATGGCGATGATGATTCGTATCGTGCATATGGAGCTTGCGATGATGATAATGTATCAAACATCATATGAGCTTGTCCGTTTTCAAACGTTTGCTGTGGCTCGTTTATAGTCATAACTGAGAGCTGAGAATAATTATGATCATCATGGTTATTAGCGTCATCATCATCGGTAATTATTTGCAATTCAGCTTCATTCTGATCTCTGTCGAAAGCTTGTTTGATTTCAAGTGGAAGTTTTGAATGTCGACTATACGAATGAAATGCTTTGATGATAATCGGTTTGTTATGATCGTTTGTATAGTAGAATGGTGAACTCCATTCCAAAGCGATTGATCGATTATCAGCATTCAAATTGACAATCCGTAGATCACGTATAGCATAATTGGTCATACCACCACCATGATGTTCGTTTTGCATACTATTATAAAATGAACCACAATGTACAATTCTTTCAAATGAATTTGATTCGATTAGATCACTATTTGTTTTCACTTCGGTACCACAACAACGAGTTTTACTATTAAACATGACTGTATTGCCAAAATTACCCGGTTTGATCGCTATTTTGTGACCGCTAATTTTTGCTACAATTGTATAGGCTGCTCCATATGCATCGCCATTACCAACAAATAACGAATCCAGATAGGCTGAATAAATTCCATCGTGTGCTGTAATATCCGGATTACCACGTCCATTATCATTGGATGGTCGAGTTATTTCTTGTCGTTGTTGTGTTCGGGTAATAGCACGTGCTGCAAAACTCACGTCGGCATCATAGACAGGTCCGTTTAATCCTTGACTCACTTGAACATAGCCACGAAGCGGATTCGATTGACTAGCCTGAATCCAACATCGAGCAGATAATATGGCATCTTTATACGAATGATACAAACTTTGTTTGGATAAAACGCGAACGCTTATGGTGATAAATCTGTTTGGATCGCTCGATCGATAATTGAAACGGAATTTGCCGGCTTTGATCATTTGATAATGAATTACTATGCTTCTTTCATATGGTTCAAACGTTTGAAATTGTATAATGTTTCGGAAATCTTCGCTCAGATTAAAACCCATTACCAGATCAGATCCTTTACCATTAGTGGTCATTTCAATAAGCAAATCATTGTGACTGATTGTTGTATCAACGGTGAAATCAATACCAGATGGATCAACTGAACGAACTGTTTCTCGTTTAATTAGCAAATGACTTTGTTCGGTCAATACCTGTAACAAATCAAACAATACAGTGTTAATGATCGAAGTCAGTTGCGTTCTAAAGGCCACAATCGAAGGTGATGAATTATCCATCTGGCTGAATGCATAATCTACAGCCGAATGACTATTGAGTTTGGATTTAAGTTGATCGAAGAAACGTAACACTTCATTGCTTGGAGGGAGATCATAAAGAATTACTTGTAATCGAAGATTTTTCCGATTCAACAAATCAGCCAACTTTTCAATATAATCAATATCAGTATTTTCCAATAACATATCACCCGAATAAAATAGTACACAAGTTCCAGCTCCTGGTATTTGGTCGAAATGCTGGGACATTTGCTCAAAAATATGCAATAATTTTATTCGATGTTCATTTTGATGATCATCGAAAAAGATCATCGATAATTGTGATGATGGACGCCATCCAGAAACTACTTGTAATTGATCATCATCATAAAGAGCAAATAATGCCTGATGTGGAAAAAATCCTTGTATGGCCATTTTTTTGATTGTATCCATTGATGTTTCCAAGAATTTCGATCCATGTCTTGGCAAAGCATAAAGAACATTAGCTTTTACTGAATGTTCATCATGCAGGACATTTTTGTTTTGTAAAATCTGGAATCTAATCAATGGAATTGATGAATTCGAATCGATATTTTGTCGGTCAAATTTGGGTTTAAATCTAAAATCATAATAAAAGAATAAAAGATTAATTAGAAAAAACAATTCGATTGAACATTGATAAAGAGATAGAAAGAAAAAACGAACCTTTCAAAATCAGTATGTTTAGCAATGACATCCTGAATGGATTGATAATCGCATAAAACATTATGTTTTGTTGGTGATTGATAATCATGTGTACTAGAATTACATAGTCGATATTCTGATACAGCAATCGGTGCATACATAAATGATGATTGAATCGAATTTTTTGCCGGTATTACATCACAATTTGGATTAATTGGTCGACCAGTATTTGGATCGGTAGCATTATTACAATTATTTGAATATTTGAACTGAGCGTTCGAACCCTGAAAACATGAATTAATATTTGGCCGTACATCACCATGACGAATACCACCATCAGGTGCAGTATAGTAAACAGGATAATTATAATCATCTTCTAGACCAAATTCATTGAATACACCATATCTATAAAGAATCCATTGATGAGCCAATAAACGAGCCGAATATTCATCCGAAACATATTGCATTGGAAAATTGATGGCCATTCCACCTTCACCACAATCTCCATATTGCATAGTTAATATCTGATTTTTATCATCATCTACAAAACGAAAACAATCAATCAGACAAGGTTCAAACATTGAATGAATGATGGAAACTTACTTGTATATAAAATATCTGCATCGGCTAATGATCGATATTGTCCACGTGATTCTCGTAAATCAAATTGCATTGATGTTGATTGTTGTAATTCATTTACATCGATATGCCATTGATCGGGTAGAATGATTGTTACATCAGCTATCTGTACCGACATTAATTCTTTCAATATGGATGATGTTCGTTGTAATTGATTCTGAATTCATTAAGTAAATAATAAGTCAATATTTGAACAATAGACAAACAAATAAAACAAAAACAAAAATACTCACCATAATCGACACGATTGTAGTGTTAATATTTGGTTGTTCAAATGATTGAAAATTATTACCAAAACCAATAATCAATCCATGATAATTGCCCGTCTGATCTAGATGTATCGATTGATGTGAACAGCCAATTGATTGAATAGTAAAAATGGACACCATTAAAATGCTAAGACATAGTCTAGCATTATATAAAATCAAAGTTGACATTGTTGTTGTTGTTTGTCTGGGTTGTTGTCTGAACATTTTATATGGCAATTTTTTCAAACATATCAACAATAACTGAGAAAAAAAAGAAAAGAAAACAAATAAATTTGTTAATTCAAATCGAATAAAATTTCAGTTCAAATTATGAGTGATTGATGATTTGGGTGAATAATAAAAAAAATAAAATCGAGGTTAAAGAATTTTGACTTTGCGACAAAGATTAAAAGTTAGCTTGGTGCCATGGTATTTATTTTGCAATGATGAAGATAATGCCTTGTGTCCAATTTTAGCATAATAACCATAACTAAGGAATATCATCATCATCATCATCGATATAATGACCATAATGACCGTCATTTTGAAAATGGGATTCATTTGATTATCATTTTTGATTGTATTGTTTGGGGCAATGGACCAATAGATAAATGGCCTCAACACACGAAAGCAAGTAAGTTCGTGTGTGTGTGTGTTATTCGTATCGATCAATCGCTAAACAACAACAACAAAATTACGCTATATTTCAATTCGATCTGGCACGCAACAAGTTGTTATTGGTTGTCATCAACGCCATTATTATGATGACTACTCATCATTATCATAAACAACATCTTGATAATAGCGGTGTCTCGAGAAATTGCCAAAAAAAAAATTCAATTGATTGTATTAAATTTTTGTCCAGAACATCCCATCACGCCGGAAATTATGATGTTCCTTTAAAAAAACAATCAATCATATGGATGGTCCTTGCGCACATCAAATTGCATCAAAAAAAAATATTTACAATGGAAAATTAAGGCCAGATAATATGCAGCCATCAAATTTTTTGGCTATAGCCGGATTTCGCACGGTATATCGGTGCCATTGTCATCAAAGTATGATGATTACTGTTGCAATGAAATGCATGAAATGGAAACCCTTTTCATTCTTTCTATTTTTCTGTGATGATGACCAGGCAGAAAAAAGTTTGACTTGATTAAAAAAAACTGTGACCAAATAACGACAACAACGATGAAGCATCATCGGTGATGATGATCATCACACACAAAATTCTTTGATATATCCATATTGTGAACTTGTTGAACATTTTTTGAAGGTAAGTTGAAATTGAATTGAATTTGTCATCATCATCATCATCATCATCTACAACGATAATTCTGATAGGTAAATGTCGTGATATGGACAAGTGAAAAATATTACACAGTAGCTGTTTTTTTTATGTATGAACGTGATCAGTATATATGTGTAGAAGATAATGGCACTATCCATATTTCTTTCTATATAATATATTCGAGGACCATCATCATCATCATGTGAATCGACAATTGTCTATTGTCATCATTGTGTCGATGGATAGATAGATCAGATGGATAGATGAATGGATGCTCCACTTATGGACTTAATCGATCTTGCCTCCTCTTACCGGACATCAACTTTTTTTTTTACAATGATGATGAATTCATGAGAGCCACTCATGATCAGATTTAGAGCAATTCAAAATAAAATAATAAAGACTACTGACCAATTGTGTGTATTATTGATCAAATTGTTATTGATTCGTTTATCTAGTCAACAATTTCAAAAAAAAATCTTTGCTAGCTTTGGAAGAATCTTTGGAATTAAGGGTGCAACTTTTTTGTTTTTTTGTTACAAAGTTTAAAAAAAATGAAATGATTTCGACAGCACTTAAGGTAAATGATGACACCATTTTAAAATGAACACTTGATTTTAATTTTGATTATATAACCAAATGGTAACTATCAGCATCCTACGCAAGTTAAATGAAGAATTCAGACACACACACAAGCGCTGGTGTGATGATGGTGAAAGTGTACTTTATTATAAAATGACACTTTTCAAGATATTCACCATATCAATAACGTCATTTAGCAACGAATTCATCAAACTAAACACACATACACTTAAACACTTACAAAAAGCTCAAAAAGGTAATGTGTTAGGTCAATTTTAATTTAATAAGGTCATAGGTTAAATCAATAATTTACTTCAATGAAATGAAATAAAATAAAATTATGGGCTTGTTCGTCTTCGGTCAGTTTTATATAAATGCTTGGACCTCGGACCTTTTAGTTTTCTTTTCATTTAGAACAGAATGGTAAACGATAATAATGATGATGATAATGATCTCAATATATCAGAAAACATTAATACATTGAACAACAACAACAACAACAACAGAAGAATGACATCGTTATATTTGAATAAATTCGCTGTTTGTTCGTTGATGAAGCTGTTGCCTGGCCAACCTTTTTAGTTTTGATATTATTTGTGGAAAAAAATAGAAGAAAACATACCAATCTGGTATTTATCATTCATTGATTAAATGTGATGATAAAATGACGGAAACCATTTAACTACTACTAGTGGCCGAAATTTATTTGTCATCATCATCATCATAGATGGTAGATCGAAAATCAATCGAAATATGAATAAATAAAATGTTTTTTTTTCTTCAAATGGCATTCAAATAGATAAGCAAAGTTATTGCCTGATATCGAAAATAATAATAATGTGTGGTGGTGGTGGTGGTGGTTTGGACAGAATAAGAAAATAAATGAATAAAACCGAGAACAATGGACATTTTTTTTCACTGCCTATCGATTGCGATTGATATTCAGTTTAAATATATTGATGATGATGATGAGTAACAATGTTGGTCGTCATTTTTATTGTTGTTGGTTGGCCATCAACCGAAAGATCGATCGATACCAACGATCGATTTATTGATTGATATAAAAAATCATGGTTAGAGCATCAATACTTGATACTCGTCATCAATCGGTCTATCGTTTGTTGAGATAAGTTGTCATCATCATCATCACGTTCTCTGAGTGATTGGCAATTCCTGATTGAAAACAAAACGTTCGTACAGGTGTCAACAGCAGCAGATCTTAATGGCCATTGTTGCTTTACCTTACGATCAGTCGATCAGGATCAAAGAACGAACAAAAAAAACATATAGACACCACTAGTGTATTTTTTATCAATTCATTTTTCAGTTGTAAGAAATTTGTACAAGAATAGCAATGTGACGAATGATGGATTGATTTTTTTTAATTTAGTTTAGTTTCGTTAAAGATCGTGATCATCATTGTCCATGGGGGTATCGAACACAACAGCAACAATAACAGCAGCAGCGAATCACCAGAAGCTCAATAAGGCAATCAATTAATGTTCAGGCTTACCGGCAGCCAACTAGCCAGACAGGTGGACTTAGTCTAAGTCATTAATTAGTGATCAAACATGCATTATATATCTATGTAGAGAGAGGGGGTCAAATAATCTGGCTTGTTTGTTGCTGTGTCAAGATTGGGAGTCACTTGATTGAATGATGTTTATTGCGATTATTATATAATGTACAACGAACAACAGCAGTATTTAATCAAAGCTCACTGCAACAAAAAACTGCATTTTTTTTTGTCATCATAAGATCTATGTACACTTTCACCAATACTACCGTTTTGTTTTTTTTAATCAAAACTATTTTGGCCAAACTGGCAAGATTATCACGAACATCTGATGATCATCATTGAACAACAACCAAAGGAATAAGTATGAAGAATAAAATATCTGTCGAAAAAGGTAATTTGTTGTTTTTTTTTTTTGACCTGTCCAAACCAAACATCCAATCCACCATAAGAATCATTCATCTCTTATTCAACTAATGTGATTGTTTTTGTGATCATTTTTTATTTTTATTTTTGCCAATTCAAATTTATTCACTTGTCATATCCATCACTATCCATAGATAAAAAGTGAATGATTCATACTATTAAATTAATTGAAAAAAAATCGATATTCTTTTTTGAACATTGTGAATTTTGTCTAAATTTGTTGAAGCAAACATACAAATGTCGAAAGGTTAATTAACTATTATTGGTTATAGTGACGACTTTCTCATTTGAATGAATGAATGAATGAATGAATGAATGAATGACCAAATCGAAATGAAATGATAAACCAATCGAATGTTTTTTTTGGGGATTGTGGAATTTGGTTTAGGATAAACAAAAAACGGTCGTGCACGATTCGATCGTTAAATCGACAGACGACTTAGTTCATCAGTAATAATCTCTATACAAATGGACAGTGAATGAAACAAAACAGAAAAATATCGACATGAGCAGCAACAGACAGATAAAACAAGTAAGATAGATTCCATGATGTATACTCAAATGGTGATCATAATCGCTTTCTCGTGCTCGTGAGAGTCAGGTAAAGATCTAACTAAACAAGCACACGAGTGATAGATAGATCATAGACAGCTGGTCACGATTTTTTTTTTGCAGCAAGCACTTTGCCCGATCAAAAAGCACATTTATCGAATGTATTTTACATGAAAGAATCATGATGAACATTGCTCATCATCATCATCATTTCATTGTATTGTATTATGATCTCCATCATCATCATCTTTATTGGGGGCGAAAGGGGGAAAAAGATAAAAAATTTTCCATTTTTTCCCTTCAACATTCTCATTTTGTTTCAGTCACGTTATGATGATAGTCAATCAGATCGCGACTGACCTATGTTATAGTAGAGATTGGTGGTAAATATTATCGATGTGATTTTGTCTATATCCGGCATTCTCATCACATCATTCAGAAAAAAAAATTTGATCGAATGATAGTCAAATTTTCACTGATTTGTTCCATTGGATTGGATCTCGGTTTGTTTTTTTTTTTTTTTTTTTGAGATACACCCTTAGTTTTGATATTCTGATTATTGTTCTATAGTCATGAAAATTGATCAAAATCAGTTGGCTATAAATTCATCATGAATCTGGTAATATTCATGGTCATATAAAGTATGATATTCTGCGATAATTTGAAAAGGCGTTGCCTGAACATTTATGGTTTGAATTTTACGAAAAGAAATAACAAATAATTCAAATGATGATTCATCAACAGATAGATAGATAGATAGATTGGATTCATCACCATCATCGATCTATCGAAAAATAATGAAAAATATTATTATTAATTGAAATCAGATAGATTGAAGATTGAATGATGAATGTGATGATGAAAAATAATAATAATCTTTTTCTGTGTGTGAGAGAGAGAGTATGATCGATCCAAGGGTTCATTGTCATTTTATAAATAAAAAAATTATGATCATAATCATTACAGCAACAACAACAAAAAATGTACAATAACAAAATATGAACAATAAATGAAATAAAATGACCGTACAAAATGATGATGATGATGATGAACAAATGTTACCTGTTTGTTCATATAAGATGCTTTGAAAGAATGAAATAAATAAAGAATATACCATCATCATCATCATCATCATCATCAGTGTCATGTCACGATCTTGTTGAGATCTAGCTTGATCGAAGCATCTATATCGACATAGTCAGTCAGTCAAGATCCTCATCATCTTCATCATCAAATGAAAATGTTGTCTTCACGATGATGATGATGAGTAATTCATTTATGAATTGACCAGACCATCATCATCATCATAATGTAATCAACTTGACCATTCGACAAAACATTCGAATCAAGAATTTTTTTTGTTGTTGTTGTTGTTGTAAATCTCTTTTTTTTTTCTGTGAACGGAAAGGGCCACACAATGTGTTCGAAAAGAAAAAATGGAAAGAAAAAGAAAATTCATTGAACCCTCCTACACACATATGCGTTGGGACAAATATTTTTTTTTCAGAAAAAAAATATGAATAAAAAACGTTTAGTTGTTTGGGTGATTTTCAATGGAGATAAATTGTCAGTGAGTATAAATTTGTCAAAAAAGAAAAAACAATTTCAAAGGATTTATTTAATTTTTTTTCAACAAAAAAAAAAGAGACACACAATGGATAATGAAAAGACCACCATGCACGATATTTATTTATTTTTTTTTTGGGAAATATTCACTTTCATTGAATGAAAAATGATTATGAAAGTCAATACAATCGATTTTACTATAGTATGGTTGGATAATAATCCGAAAATTAATGTTACATTTTTTTATCATTTTAATGATTAACCTTTGATCATAATCAATTTATTTATTGATTTTGAATGACAACTTTTTTTTCTATAGGTAATTGTTATCAACGAGAATTATTTATTTGGATCATAATTAACAACATAACAACCAAATGATTAAAAAAATTAAGATTATTTTACAAACAATTTATAAGCAATGGTATAATGGATTCAATTTATCATCCTTGACAATTGTCATCATCATCATTATCATTAGGAAAAAATCATGGGATTATCATTTTTTTTTATTAATTGTCAAATTGTTATTAATAAATTCCCAAAATCATTTATTTATTATCGTAAATAAAATGGACAAAAAATTTTTTAAAATTAAAAAATTGTTTGTTTTTTGATCTAAATTGAATCACAATAACCAAGCTCAACATATAGATTGAAATCAGAAACAAAAATAATTTCAAAAAAGAAACCAAAACAAAACATACCTTGATTAGATTAATCAACAAATACAACCAATATTATTTTATCGATTGTTTTCAAGTTTGATTTGAAATTTTTATTTTATTTGGGTCGAGTTAGGCGCATCGATTATTTTCTGTGTTAACGTACAAATCACATATACGCCCATCAAATCAAAAAAAAAAAATGCTGATGATAATGATGATAATGGAGCAAAATAAAACAACAACAACAAAAAAACAATGGATATGGATATATGGTCAACACGGTTATCCGTTATATAATAATGTACGTGATGATTTTTTTTTTAAAATTCAGGTAGTTATATTCAAAATGAATTTGATGTTGTTCGCGGTTCGTTTCACACACACACACACACACACACACAAACATTCATTGAATACGAACAAAACAAAACAAAAAAATAACGGATGTTTGTTGTTGTTTTGGGATGACAACCGCGTATCTATGTGTTGTAGGTTTTTTTTTGTTGTTATTTTCACAATATATTTTCAACTATTATTTTTTGTCCGTTTTGTTTTGAAATTTTTTTTGTTTGTTAATTAATATAAACCAATGATTGTTTATATGTTACTATGTTGATTTGAATTATGGATTGTGTTATGTCTATGGTAACATGGACAAACAAAAACAGTAGAGAAACAAAAGCAAATCATGGATGTAAATCATGATCAATTTGTATTATTTAATACTGGGCAAATATTAATTAATATCGACGGATATGGACGATTTATGATATCATTATCATCAATAAATTATCCAAATAAATCATACCCGTTGATAACAAAGTTTTTGATCGAAAATAAGATTGATTGAGATCAAGAAAACAGAACAGAACAAATAAAATAACAATAACGATAACAGACAAAAAAAAAATATTAAAAGGCACATAGAAATTTTTGATTTTCAGGTAAAAAAAAAATTTACTAATTAAAATTCATTAATTAGTAAAAACATTTCATTCGAATTGGTTATATTATTCAGAATTTAAATTCAGAAAAAAATCACAAAAAAACAAAACAAACATTAATTTTTTTTGTTGTTGTTGTTAAATATCCAAATATAAAAACAAAACACATTTCATCATTATCAAATGGAACAACAATAACAAAAAAAAATATTAATAAGATCCTAACACTTGTAATGTCAATGATCAACTGGCGGCCATCAAAATTGAATGAAATTATGGTGATGGTTAAAAGTTTTCGATCCTCATTCAATATTTCGTCGTTTCAAATATCTTCTGTTCTGTTCTGTTCCATGCTAACAAGGAAAATGTGTATTGCTTTTGAAATAACATACACAACAACCATAATATTGTTGCCTATCTTCCTATTCTCCTCTTTATCTATTTGTGGTATTTATGTGCTGTGTGTGTGTTTCTATCGTAGCATAGAGATGAGAATGCAAACAAGCGCAAGTGAAAAAAAAAGAGAGAAAGAGAGAAAGAGAGAGAGAGGCGTTGTTAATATTCACCGTTGGAAAATCATATAATAAAAGGTGATGGTGGAATATGGATATCGGTTGATGTTAATCATTTTTTTTTATTTCAAAAAAAAGGGCTATAATGGAAAATAAAAGACAATCATAATTGTTATGATAATTATTTGTATTTTTTTTCAATGAATGACATTTTTTTAATAAATAAAATTCTTCATTTTAAAACATAACAAAAACAATCTAATTTTTTTTGTTGTTGTTGTTGAAATATAATTCATTCATTCATTTATTTATTCTGTATATCGATAGATAGATTTATTTTTTGCAAAATTTATTTTTGTTTTCTGAATAATCTTAATATATAATCTTTAGCTCATTCTTATTCGGTTACATCATCATCATCATCCTGATCCTGATCAATCCGTAGTCACTGAATGTCCGATGTTTCTTTTTTCTTTTTTTTGTTGTTGGTTGGCTGTTTCGATGTTTGGATGTATGGATAATGTCCAGCGCGCGTAAACATTTTATTTTTCCAAGTCCATGTCGTGCTGCACGATTTTTTTTTTCGTTTTTTTCCTTCTTTACTCGACAATAATGTGCATATATTTGATGTTTTTTTTTCAATGTTCGTTTTCAATTTCTCGACCCGTAAACATTTTCATAATATATGTTTGGGTTCATCATTTTTTTTTTTTTTTTTTTTGGTTGAAAAATGGTTTGGTTGGTTGTTTTTTTTTTTTTTTTTTCTCTCTTTCTCTTTTT